ATAATATACTTTACAGGCCTGAATAATACAGGACCAATGAACGTCACTCTTGTGCCCTTATCTTGTTGTGTTTCAATATTTATGATTTACTACTTGTGGACCAGTCGTACAGCTGCTGGAATACATCATTAACACATTTTAATGGAATTCTTCTTTGTAAGTTACTTAGACAATGTCAGTCACAATTCCATAGATTTACAGTTCTAGGTGTAAAAAAGGAACACTAAAGTCTGTATTTACATGTGCGGTCAAAGGGCACCGTCAGTTATCTGTTAATCCATATGTCATAAAATTATTTTACCTTTCAGATAGCCGTTTTCATTTTAATTTCATCCTGTAGAGGTAAGCTTGAACAAGATAATATCAACGTGTTTTATCATTATAAACTACAACCATGGGGAAATCAAAGGACAGATTTTGCACGACTAATACTAGGAAAGGCGGGCTAACACCATTGGCAAATATTATATGTTTCACTTTTGACACCGTCTCCACTCATATTCAGTATTCAATTATAACCCAAATTGAAGCAAAGACACTAACCAATTAATTTATATAAATTCTGTTCGGTGCCAAACCATAAACGCAGTGAAATGAACTGGGTTAATGAAGACATGCACATGTGGCTTACTCTTGTTACACAACAGACGTCTCAATTACAAGACAATATCCTATTGGAAACTGGGCCCGGTTTCTCGAAATTTTAACTAAGATAAAATCCAATTTTAGTAGATACTTCAATTTTGATTGGATAAGCACTACAATCAATCTAATATTATCCAATCAAATTACTAAAATTTGGATTTTATCTTAGTTAAAATTTCGTGAAACAGGCCCCAGGTCAGACAACCCGTTAACAAGACATTTCAAAACGTCGTTTGTGGTTGGCGTTTGCCACATTCTGATATGCCCCAAGGTTTTACATAACCGCTTTTCTTTTTTAGCACAAAATGTGCGTTTGGTAGGAGAACTAGGAGCTTCAGTAGGTCGTTTACAAATATATCACAATGATACCTGGGGGAATGTCTGTGATGATGGATTTGATAAAAATGCTGCGCAGGTGGTCTGCCAACAGTTAGGGTTGTTCAATTCTACAAGGTAAGAGCCAAATGGTATAATGCCCCCAAGCTGTTACCAATTGAATTGCATACTACCTGTATTTACTTTGCTTTCTCTTGAGTGTCGGGGGGGGGGGGGGGTATACAATGTTTAATTATGCCATCCATTATAAGTCTTAATCAAAGTATATGAATTGAACTAAATGTAGTAGGATGGAATTGATTCAGGCTTTACTCTATATCCCGTTGGCCTTGAATGATGGTAGTCAAATGTGTGCGTTGCAGATCATAAGGTTTGTCATGGAGTAAAGTGTTCGTTCTCCTGTTAAATACCCGAAAGATCTGATATTTTTATTAGCCAGTAAGTAACCTAGTTTATGATAAATGGAAGCTAAACGATGTGGACGTATGCTGCCGTCGCCCCTGTCCATCCGGACGTACGTCCGTCCACAATTTGTTTGTGGACATTCTACGGATCACAATTTTTATCAGATTTTGACGAAACTTGAAATATAGGTCTATCTCCCAGGGATCTCGGTTCCTGGCGATATTGGCATGTATCGGACTATAATTTCATGGATTATGGTCCCTGATTGTACGAAAAATCACGTTTTTAGCTTGTGGACACTTTAGAAGTCACAATTTTCACCCGATTAAATGCAACTTGAAACCCATGTTTATAACCCAATGATCTTGGTTCCTTTCGATGTTCGCGCATATCGGATTGTAACTTCCTGAATTATTGTAACTTCCTGAATATATACCCATTACATCATAATTATGGTTGAGTTCGAATTTCGTGAAAATCGGACCAAAACTACCGGACAAGATGGCAGCCCCTTGCACGCAAATAGTGTAAGTATCTGGACACGATTCCTAAAAAATTTTTAAGAACGTTCCTGTGCTTAGATTTTAAGTAGACGTTGCATTTAAGTAAACCTACCTTTTTTTGTGTTCCGAGAAAATTTTTAAGAACATTCTTGTGCTTAGATTGTCAGTAGATTTCAGGTATAAGCACAAGCACGTTTTTGTGTGTTCCAAGAAAATACTTGAGCACAACTTTGTTCTTAAACATTGTCAATCTAAGCACAAGCCTCAAGCAAGGTATACAGCTTGCTTACCAACCTTAAGTCTGTTTCTTCTTCAAACAAGATGGCTGACCGTTGAGATATTCTACGGCATTTCCTACATCTTTTAATACCAAAAGAGACAATTAAAAGACAGAGAAATCCTTTAGAAATATTTCGCTTCTACCCGGAAACCATTTTATTTATTTGCCAATTAGTAAACAACACAAACACAGGCTACTCTAAGATCAGGCGCTCTTACAATTATTCCGTCTGTTTCCATGTGCCTGCGTTTTTTTACCTTGTGGCACATTTTATATGTGTATAAGGGACATGTCAAATGCATCTAAATCGACCATTTGCCGGGAAGTTAATGTCATTGATCTATTTAGAACTCTATGCAGCCAACCAGTTTATGACGTAATTCAAATACCAAAATTGTTTTTATGACGTTAAAGAGCACCGTAGTCTCAATTTACCAGTCACAGTGTGCTTACGTAAGAATGGTCTTGAGAATTTTCTAGAGACGGTATTTTATAAAGTTTCTTATGTAAGAAAAAGTGAAGCATGACTTTTTGCTTACTTTAAGAATTTTCTAGGAACCGGGCCCAGGTATATCAAGGTTTTGGACCCTCTAGAGGTCACAAATTTGATAACCGATTTTGATGAAAATTGAAATGCATGTTTATAACCAAAAGATCTTGGAGCTTTTCGATATTCGCGCATATCGGATCGTAACTTCCTGAATTATGAACCCTAATTGTACGAAAAATCGTGTTTTAGCTTGTGGTCCCAGTAGAGGTCACAATTTTTATCCGATTAAAAAAAAACGCGTGAATATATCACCGTTACACACTAAGATCTTGGTTCCTTTTGATAATTGAGCATATCCGAACGTAACTTTCTGGATTATGGTCCCTGATTGTTCGAAAAATCGTCTGAAATCTCCAAACCTGAAATGCTCGAAAAAATTACGGGTTACAGACCTCTAGAGACGCCCCGCCCCCGCCCAAATAAACTTTGACGACCGTAAACGCGTTTTCCTGCTATTCCAGTCCCGGAATACAGTAAGTGGTCTGATATAGCCTAATGTGGGTGGCTGAGTCGATTTCCAGTCAACCAATCAATCGTCGGAAATTTAACTGCCGCAAACATGTTTTCCTGTTATTCCATCCTGTGAATACAGCAACTTAAATTAGATCCAATATAGCCTATCTTAGGTGGCTTACCCGAATCCCCCAAAACAATCGATCGTCGCGGGGTATGGGGCCTCGGGCTATCCGAGAAAATTTTGAAAATTTTAACCACCGCATATGCGTTTTCCTGCTATTCTAACCCATGAGTTAAGCAACTTCAAAGTTTCCTATCGTATTGTAAACGAAATCCCACTCTATGCCGACCATCCAATCGGACTGTTGAATCTGCATTCACAAATAATAATCGATGCCCGAAAAATGTGGCAGAAAGTAGTGTGGCTCCAGACAAAATGTTTTAATCCATAGTCAATTCAGAACAAATTCGTGGTATTCAATTAAAAGAAAAGTAAAATTAGTGTTTTATTAGATGAAATAATATTTTTTTGTTTTCACTTGACCCGTCTACCCGAAAATTCAGATTGCCTATGGTACTCTCCCACAGAAAATTTTGGAAAATAGGGTTTGCACCTGTAAATGACGGAAAATTTCAATTTTGAGGCTGAATTTGAGATATTGGCGTATTATGATATTAAATTTGAAGGAAGGAATGCGACTTTAACGTACCTATAATAATTTATGAGAAAATGAAAAGTTCGGAATCGGGTTAGAGTGCGACTTGTTTGAATTTTGAAGATTATCACGCCGTTTTGGGCGCCGTATTCATTCGTAGGCGCCTAACCAATCTCACTAGCATTGTGGACGCCACGCCAATTATATTATGAGGGCCCATGATCACGTCGTTGGCGGCCCACCAATCTCAGCATTATGGACGCCCCTCCTGGATGAGGCACCCCACAAATCTTGCCGTTTTGGGCGCCCATTACACAGCATTATGCATTATGTGCGGCCCGACAATCATATATTGTCATAAGGCGCCCCACCAATCATGTCCTTATGGGCTCCTCTCCGGGATAAGGCGCCCCATCAGTTGGGATGTTAATCGTGTGAGTCATAATGAGGCGCCTCACCATTAAGGGGGGGGGGGGGTGACGCCTCATATATAACGACCTGATTGGCGAGGCGCCCATAAAATCAAGTGACTTTGGTTGGGCGCCCCGCAAATCTCGTCGTGTGCGCCCAACCAATGTCATGCGGCTTTATGTCGCGTCCCTAATATGGGAACGTTGGTCGTTGGCATCGTATTGCGTTCAGTGGGAATGGCGCCAATGGAGCCCATTTTTCCCCAATGGGCAAAGGGCGAAATTTTCCGGGGGTGGGGGGGGGGGGTGCAAGGCGGCAAGCTGCCTATAATATGAAGGTTGTGGACCCCCTAGAGGTCACAATTTTTATCCCATTTTGATGAAACCTAAATCATATCTTTATATCCCAAACATCTTAGTCCATTTTGATATTTGCCGCCTCCCCCCCCCCCGCGCTACTAGCTACAAATAATCTCTATCCATCTCTTGGCGTTGGGGTATCTTGCCTGGCAGCAGCTGGTTCGAATTTCATCAATATATTTTCGTGAATTATCAAATTGTACACCCGACTCTGGTTTTCCATTCCAATAACTACATAAGCATACAGCGACCATGCCCCCTAAATAAATAAAGCTACAGCTTATAGTATTTATTCACATTATAGACCTGATGAAATTGATATTTACGTGGGTGGTAATAATTCTTGGATTACTACGGATGATTCTTATTGGATGAGTGGCATTACTTGTCAAGGAAATGAATACAGACTGGAAGAATGTGGAAATGTGACATGGAGTCAAACCAACTGCAATATAAGTAACATAGTAGGGGTGAGATGTGGTAAGGATTGAATAATCTCGGTCAACCAGAATCTCCTAGTCTTCTACGCACGGAGTGTGCGGGTCTGTTGTCAACGTTCGACAAAAAGTTCAATTGCCCAAGTAAATTTCGGCAAGCAAGTAAGAGCAACACCCCTTCCCTAAATAAATACCATAATTCATGCACTATTATAAACAAACATGAATCGTGACGGCGAATTAGGATTAATTAAATAACATAGATATGGTTCTTGAAGAGAGAGATTTTGAAGTGGCAGTGCAAATGGATTTGGCTATTCTTAAACTAATTTCTTTGGGTCGACAGCTTGTTTTATGGTTATTTGCCCCCTTAGACTTTGTTCATGATAATGTAAAAGAATGGATAATCTTGCCAATGACCTATTATTCCCAAATGTTGACACACCCCCACCTCCCATTTGTCTGAATGATAGAGACTAAGTATTGAAATGAATAGTTTACATGTATGCCGACCAAGGAGTGCCGAATTCACCATTTTTGTCTGTTGCTATATATTCGTATTCTGTACTAATAAACTTATTTTATCTTTAGAACAAGCAATACGTTTAGTAGGAGACAGGGGACCCACTGACGGACGAGTTGAAGTTCTTCATGATGGTATCTGGAAGAATGTTTGCGATGATTATTTTAGTAAAATTGCTGGAAAAATTGTTTGTAGACAATTAGGATTCCTCGATCTTCAACAGTATGTTGCATTTCTCAATTACAAAATTCACAAATTAAACAAATAAAAATTATTTGTATTTAAATTTGTTCTACTATTATATTTTTACTAGTCTTGAGGAAATTGAAATCTATGTTACGAACAATAATTCATGGATTGAGAATGGTAATTCGTATTGGTTGGATGATACTAACTGTCAGGGGTATGAAAGTCGTCTGGAATATTGTCCTCATCTAAGATTTGGGGAAAACAACTGCATGAGTAGTGAAGTAGCCGGGGTGCGCTGTGGTAAGAAACAAAATTAGAACAGGTTTTGTTAGCTCATTCTGAACAAAGATACCCGTTACCCACGGAGACATTATAGATAGCTATCGTTTAGTTTGGTACGATGATAGCTATGTGGCCCACGCCCAACCAAAGAGATATAGTAGCAGTTTCCACTGAACACTACATGGATTTGTGTAAAATATGGAATATCGACCCTGCACCCTCCCAACTATGAGATATAGTATCAGATATCCTAACACTACTTTTAGTTAATTCAGATGGCATTGAAATAGATTTCCGAACCCAATGATAACCAGAAAATTATTCAGCTTTCTTTGACGGAGTTATTTCCAATGCATCCGAAAACATGTACGTTATAATTGTGCGTGGTATTGAATTGTTATGGAATATCAAATTAATAATAATATATAGATATTACCTCATGCATATATCTGTATTTTATTGTTAGGACAAACTGTGCGGTTAATAGGACATCGAGGTCCTGGAGATGGGCGTTTGGAAATTCGTCATAATGGTATTTGGAAAAACGTTTGTGGTGACGGATTTAATAAAAAGGCTGGGCGCGTAGTTTGTCGACAGCTGGGATTTCTCGATCCAGAGAGGTAGGAAGAGACAAGCTCTCGTGATTTATCCCCTCTGTATGATGTGAATAGGATTCGATGAATTAGTGATTAAAGTAGCCAAGTCTCTAACTCAATATCATCCAAAGTCTTACAAGCTGTAAATACGAATTATTTCTCAATTCAAATCAACATTGATGTTGTGATCTTACCACTAAAGGGTAGGCTTCTGATATCTCATATCTGGAGAGCATGCGCAATAGACTGGAATAACCAGACGCTAGAAATTGCTATTCGGTTGAGACTCATGCTATATTGCGCTGGCCATAACTGATTTGAAATTAGAGTCAAAACGGTAACAATTGAATGTCAATCAGGTTTAATACAATCAGATTACATTATTATATGCGTTGCGATCCATTTGGGTCAATTTCTAGGTCCCAAATATTAGCGATTTAGCTCCTTTAAGACTGGAGCCTCTGGAGCGCCGACAAGAAAGTGTACAACGCATACAAATTTTGGCGTCATTTTCCAAGATGCACACCATTTTCATACCTTTTAATACAAAGATTTAAAAATATATACAAAATGTCAGGTTAATTGCGATACTATTCATTACAAATAGCAAAGTAATGGTCGCATGATTTGTTTTTGGTGGAACATGTAATGTACTTATGATATTTTATTCGCAAAAATTTATTCTTGTAAGATCAAATTGATGGCATTTGCATCGCCTTTGACATACTGAATTGCATCGACCATTGATCATCTGCTGTCAACTCTCGGTCTATACGATCTGCCAATTATCACTTTTCTTAGTCCACCCCCACTCAGCAGGGCTTGCCTTTTGTAGTTGGCGTACTGTTGACTGTTAACATTTAGAGCCTGGTGTAGACCCTTCATTTTGAGTGTACATCATTTAAGCTGAACTGATGTGAGCGATGTCCTCCACAAAGTAAATACAGGCCGCAGCTCCCGCCCTGGAAAGTATTACCCAAATCAATCTAAATGTAAGGATTTGAAACTTTCTCAATCACACTAATTGCTTCATCTGTCTTTAGGTCTGCATTAGTCTGATCGACGGACATTGTTGAGAACCGACACAAAGGTTTTGTTCCCCACTCTGAAACTCCTAGGTCACCGATATTAGCCCACGAGCCCAAGGAAGTGCTCGCCGAAGTACATAAGCAGTTTCTCGGAACCGTATATGGGAACTGGATAAACAGTAAGAACTAGTGTCAGAATTCCATCTAGAATTAGAAGTTGTACAACCTCTAATACTAGATCCCAAACAGCAACACCATTATGTATGATGGTCTTTCTAGTTGTATGCACCTATATTTGTTTTATATTATGGGTTCACTATGGTACAGAGTAATTCAAAAGTTCTAAAATTGACATATCGGACGTTGAAGATCTGTCGTTCCATGATCAATCAAATTGGACAATATGGTGTGATTTTCGAAAAATGCACAATTGTTTTCGGTTTGACAAATTTGGCAATAAAATAATTATTTGTTCATATTCTGACAGACTAGATGAAGTTGATATTTATGTTAATGGCAATAATTCATGGATTATCAACAATGGTTCTTATTGGTTGGATGACGTGGATTGTAAAGGAGGTGAAACCAGGCTGCAGGACTGCAACAATTTGTGGTTTGCGGATGATACATGTAGTAGTGCTGATGTAGTTGGTGTGAAATGTGGTAAGCAAGGGCGGATCTAGCAATTTTGAAAAAGGGGGGTGCCGCAAAATGAGGGCACTTACCGCGGAGACGGGGCACGCCGCTGAGAGTGTTTTTTTTGCAGGGGGGGGGGGGATCACCCCAAGAAAATTATCCGCCATTTCCTTGCATATGTAGTCATTCCAAGAGCTATTTGGCTGATATTTTCGTCTAAGTAAACGTTCGGAAATCGTTGAAAAAGAGCCTTAAAATCGAGCAAAAAAGCCAGTTGAACATGCGACTCGAAAATTGTCAAGGCGAGCGAGGCATTATGATGGGAAAAAAGACGAATCTATTCCCTAGCCACTTCACTATTTAAGCCTTGTAACTTGTACTGTGTACTCTCCACACATGAAACAATGCTACATCAAGTTAAACACATGCGCGTGGGTAATTGGCACGAGTGTTTACTCCGCCGATTCCACAAAATGCTATCATTGATAGTGGAAGCATTAATTAGACCAGACCGGTGTGTTGTGTCGATGGTTTGAGTCATTTGGGATCCCTGCAACGGGTTGGGAACGGACATATTTGGGTCTGAGACAAGGCACTATCAGCAGTAAAAAAGGACACTGTCGAAAATTAGGGTTGGCCCCAAATCTGCATTTTGTAAACTGATTTATTATTATTTTGCTGTTGTTTACAGAACAAACAGTGCGATTAACCGGTGGCCAAACACCTGCAGAAGGGCGTGTAGAAGTTTTACATAATGGAACCTGGAAAAACGTCTGTGATCATAAGTTTAATATAAAGACTGGACAAGTAATCTGTCGACAGCTTGGATTCTTTGACCCTAACAGGTATTCACATTTATTAAATCCACGAATATACTACATTCGCCACGTCATTATAAATTACCTCCCTTATTTATAATTAGTCAATAATTAGCATTTCTCTTCAGTAATATGTTCACTGACACATTAAGCAAAGCCCTAAAATTATAGATCCGGGCCTGAACAAAGTAGACGCTTACGATTTTTTTTTTTTGATTCGAAATAAATCATTGGGACATTGATATTCCCTGTTCTCCGTCCATCTATTGCAAAATGTGGGCGTTTCCTGTATGGCAACTACTTGTTTACATATTTATTTGTTTTATATTCCAAATCGGGGAACCACGGTCGCTACGTGGGAAAGACGCTGGTTCGCTAGTCTGGCGGTCACTTGTTCTATTCCTGCATTGGCCGAGGAAGTTCATCGGGTTTTTCCGATATGGTTTCCCCTTGCCAGTGGTGCAACACGGGAGGCTTGACAAGGACTGCTATCTAGTGACAAAACCCCGAGGTCCCGTGTATGCATTGGCGTGCACGTAAAAGATCCCTTGGCCGTTGAAATTCCCTCATAGCACAATGTATGGCCTATGCCCCTCTTCATTTGCCCAGTAGGACTTTAAACCCAATTTCATTTCATTTCATGTATTTTAAATTTCTTCTGACCAATCTTGCCTTTAAACTCTCTTAACGTTTGGCTTCAGAGCTACAAATAAAGAACAAAAGTCAATGTATAATTGTATTTACGTTAAAAACAGCTAATACCGATTACACTATATTCATATTCCTTCGCAAAGCTTTTCTTTCCTCATCTAGTGCGAAACGCCAATTTGCCTAAAAATCATTGAATCTTGGATTAACTCGGCCTAACTTGTAGACTAGTTCGGAAAATGAAAGGAAATTGGGTTTAACGTCCTACTGTTCTGCTCCGACTTCGGGAAGATTTCAGAATATACACACCAGTGTGCTCTCCTTTTCAGACCAGATGAAGTTGAAATCTATATAAGTGGTAATAGTTCATGGCTAGACATTACTGGAGATTATTGGTTAGATGACGTTAACTGTACAGGAAATGAAGCGAGATTAGAATTTTGTCCGCATAGAACGTGGGGAGAGCATAATTGTTCGAATCAAGTAGCTGGGGTTAAGTGTGGTAAGTGTCTAGAAGTGTTACATGCGTTGTTGCATATCAGAAACGATAAATTACTAGGTCTGAGATCAATAGACAGCTGTACGATGAATAAAGATTGAATTTATGAAACATTTTCTATTTATTTTGCTTGGACATCAATAGTTTATCATATCATCTTGTAAGATGTGGGAAAGTATATTCTACAAGATAATTTTATGTGGTGCTTTTTACCTCCACCAAATATTTTACTTAGAAATTAATTCAATTTTTTCAAACTTTTCTCACACCTCCTTATCGCCCTCTGTGGTACTACACTCCACAGAATTTTCCACTTTAATAGTAGTACCACAGAATTTTCCACATTGATAAGAGTGTTTATATGTGGTCCGTGGTGTTTTTTACCACGAGAGTTCCACAAGATATTGAAATTAAATCTTGTCAAAAATATCTTCTCAGACCCCCATATCTTCATGCGTGGTATCACATTCAGCAAAAACATTTTGAATAAATTTGATAAGTAGTATTTGATCAAATAAAATAAAAATCTAAGTCAAATGTCTTGTTGAACTCTTGTGGAAAAACACAACACAGACCAAAAACTCTCCACCAAAATTATGTGGTACTTCTGTCATTTGTTTACATGTCCAATATCTTGTGGATCTCTTGTGAAAATTCCACACAAAAGTCCCTAAACCTTGCTATAAATAGAAAACACAACCATCAAGATTATCCATTAAATTTTACTTTTCAATAGTTAGAAAATGATTGCATGGATAATTTGTAACAATCATGCTCATTGATGTTTATCTAGTTACATAAAATGCTGTACCCAACTTCCGATACTACTGTTATTATTTTTTTTATTGAACTATGTTGACATTTAGTTAAAACGGTGCGGTTAACGGGATATCAAGGATCTACAGATGGGAACTTGGAAGTTCTGCATGGCGGTATGTGGAAGAGTGTCTGTGCGGATGGATTTGACAAAAAGGCTGGACAGGTTGTTTGTCGACAATTGGGATTCCTCAATATTAATAGGTAGGAATGGGTTTTATAGAACACCTTTTTCCTGTGATATAAATACTCAATAGGGGTAGTAGACCGGAAGCCTTGAGCGGATTGTCTGTTGCGGTATCCTAGTACATAAATATGGACGTCTGCCATGCACCCGTTGGTGGGTGTGGCTGTGAGGATCATGGGAAGAGGTTGAAAACGATGAACTATAATAGCCCTCGTTTCCCAATATAGCATGAATGGGTATCGCCAGGCTTTTTTAATTTTGAGAAACCCCAACCAGGCTGCTGTAATTGGTGCACAAAAAGTAAGCTATTTCTAGGTCAGCTCAGAAGCGAACCGAATAAAACCCATTGGCCTTGCTTTTTAACTGATCCAGCTTAATTGAAAATGTTTGGCATTGTCCATTTATGATATCTGGGTTGATTGCAATTGGTGTCATTGCCGTATCCATTCATACTATCTTTGGAAATGACAGATATTTTGGAACCTCTTTCAAAAGGTTTATTTCCAGTTAATCATCTGCTTAAGCCTTCATAGCCTCACTCACAAACGGGTGCATGCCAGACGTCCATATTTATGAAATAGTGTAAACAAAGATCATCTTCACATAATAGTAAATTTGGTTCACTTTACAGTTACTTGCCCCCCGCCCCCTCTGTGGACAATTCGTAAGTATAGCAATTTCTTGTGGCATTTCTGGTAAAGAACCGTTGCTTTATATTTATAAACTGGTCATATCCACGACTTTTTATATATTTTTCATGCCACATTTATGAAAGTGTGTGGAGAGTTATATTTGTTCAACGTGGACTATCCAAGGCTACGGGTCAATGTTCTGTCATTGTCATTTTAGAACGGACGAAGTTCATATCTATAGTGGAAATAATTCATGGCTTACCGCTCCACACCCGTTTTGGATGAATGACGTTGTTTGTGGGGGATATGAAACTAGGTTGGAAGATTGTGAACATTCAACTTGGGGACAGAGCAATTGTAGTAGTGCTGGAGAAGTAGGAGTAAAGTGTGGTAAGCAAACATGATTGATTCATTTCGATATCAATTTGTTCTCTGTCCATCTCTTGCAAAATGTTGGCGAATCTTGGATGGCAACCGCCTGTTGTTTAATTTGATGACCACTTAATGGAGAAAAACATGGATCTTTATTATTATTATTATTATTATTATTGCGCAAGAAAAGACCATATCTTTTATTTAAATTCATATCTAATTCATCGTCATTTGATTAGTATTATTGCGCAAGGTGGGGTTTTGTTCTTCATAATAATCAGTGCATTTAATCATGCATTATGCAAATGCTAAATTTGCATATTGTAGGTCTTTCTTAAGGTCTGAAATGTTATCTAAATTATTAATTAATTAGACATTATTAGACATTAATTAACTTATCAAGACCATAGTCAACTCGCGATGCCATCGTTAGCCTGCGATATTCAGTGGATCTGAATACGTTTTATGATGGATAATTTGTTTATTATCGTACCAACGGTAGTAATGACGATCGAGGCTAGTATATAATTGAATCGGTAATATCTTGGTTCACATTGCAGCAATTTGACTGAAATGTTCAGCATATTCTCTTTTCATTATCTTTTTTAAAAATTAATATAGCGAGAACTGTGGGCCCTTTATCTAATCTTACCTAATGTCCCCTTAATAGGAAAAACATTATATACTTTTATTTAAATGCATATCTAATTCATTATGTTTATGGGGTTTTGTTCTTCAGAACAGACATTGCGTTTAATAGGAAACAACAGTAATTCAGATGGGCGTTTAGAGGTTTTCCATGATGGTATTTGGAAGAACGTATGCGGTGACAAATTCGATAAAATGGATGCACAAGTTGTTTGTCGACAGTTAGGATTTCTGGACCCTCAACGGTAGTAACAATTTAATTCTTTATACATTCGTATCATATTATTTCTGTCTTATCCAGATCAGTTAGAGTTAAATGAGCTAGGTAAATGCAGTCAATACTTTAAAGCCAACTGCTACTTGGCTACATATCAGTGGATCTCACGCAAATTATTGTTTAAAATATACACACTCACACTTATTACAGACTTGATTCGGTTGATATTTATGTTAGCGGTAATAATTCATGGATTATAAACAACGGTGATTACTGGTTAGATGATTTGGGTTGTCAAGGATATGAAAGTTGGATTGAAGACTGTGGTCAATTAATATGGGGTCAAACTAACTGTGGTAGTGGTAATGCAGTTGGGGTAAAGTGCGGTAAGTGTCCCAAAAACTATTTTTTAAAGGTACTGTTTGGAATTACATTTGGTACAAACAACCTCAGAAATGGATCTACAATTCGCAATGGGAATTAGTGTCAGTACTGTATGGAAACACTATTTCCTCAATGAAATTGATGTGACCTGTCATTCAAGCTCGTCCAAATGGAACTATTTTTCTTAGCAACAGCAACTGTATCTGACTAGCGCAGTAATTTTCGACTAAATATCGACGGTGGTCTTACAATACACTACTGTCATCGAGAAGGATTAAACCGGGCTAAGTTAATGAGGCTTTAATATGGTTTTATTCGCTGTCGATAAAATTATATTTTTGAAATCATTTGAAAAAAAGACACAGCAAAGAATGAAAATACACCCATAGGCAGATATGTGTTGACAGCAACTTATCCGAATGGAAACCTTGGAATTAGGACCTCACGTGGTTTTTAAAAGGGGGCGGTGGTGTATCTCCGGAACGGAAGGTGCATCCCAAATCGCATGCACAGTGTTTTCAGAAACGGAAGGGTAACTTCAGGCCGGACAGTTGGTCCTTTCATGGTCCCACAAAATTTGAAAGAAAAATCAGTTCAAAATTACAGCCTCTATCGTGTTCACAAGGTTTCCGGCAAAGTGGTGATAACTCCCAACAAGTAAGAACAGGGATGTAATTCTATTTAATTGGTTATCTGAACAAAAAAGTCAATTCCCACTGTCCAAAACATATTAACGCTAAATCCGGACATGTCCTCATTGGTCAAGGTCCAATAAAAGTGTCGATTTAATGAATTTTTATGTGCTTTTAAGCCGACACTGAGCTGAGGGTAAGAATGAATACGGAACATTTTGTGGAAATATATTACAATGAAGTATGGCATGGTGTTTGTGCAGACGATTATAATGAAGAATTTGGGATGGTTGTTTGTCATTATCTTGGATATACGGAAAGGTCTGTTAAAAGATTTTTTTTTTTTTTTTTTTTTTTTTTGCCTTTGTAAATTCTGTTAAATAGAGTTGCAACTAAAGTACACAAGATCACCACAAGTATGGCAAATGTGGTATGTGACTATATAATTAGATTTGAATACGTTTGAATTTATCCCCAATTTAAGCATGTGTGCTATGCGTCTGTGCAAGTCAGTATAATGTGTCGTCGTTCATTAGCTTTGCCATGTACTTCAATTATAAAATGTGCATAGTATTTTCGAATTTCTAACACACAAACCTTTCGAATACAATTGTATTACCGCTTGATATCATTGCTTTTTTATAAACAAATCGATATTGTAGTTGCCAAATAATTATGACCACGTCATTTCTGGTTTTATTAAATTAAGACTGAGTCCAAGTAACTTCTGTGTGATTTATTAAACATAAATAATTCAACAAATATTTACAAGAGTGAGATCCGATCCGTTCTAAATCTGCATTTCAAATATAGTTCTACAAAATATATAATAGACAATTATGACACATTAACAATCATACTATAAAATATTGCTTCTCAGTTGAAATCTAAAACAACAGAGAGTTTGGTCAATGACCAATTCTTAATCCCTCCATGCTTAGTCTAAATTATATCTGACGTAATAGCCATTGGCTGGATTAATAAGGTTCTATAACCCAGGGGCCAGTTGTCATTGGATTGTAAAGAGTTTTGTGATTTTATAAGGACAATATATCACTCATGCCAGTGTCTGTTTCATTCAACGCGTATCTTACATGAGAAATAATTAGGTAAGAAAAATAGATATTAAATTACATTAATGTTGTCAAAGATTTGTTTACCAAAATGGGAAATGTAACATAGGTTTTTAATATATAGAACTCATATGACTATGCCAGTCATATAATCTAAGAAATTCAGCTTTCGAAGTCTATATTTAAGAAATGTTGCAGACTTTTCTAAACTAGAGAGCTATGATATTATATGATATGCGCCTATATATGATATAGCGCTATATAAATGTACATATTCTTATTATTATTATGGAATAAGCAGTTGTTTTACCCAATGCATTATTAAAACTGCGACTTTTCGGTACAGTTTGTAAACTTTGGCAAGAGGTTATATATAACAAAGGTAAAAGACGAATTTGTATCGGAAAGTTGTCACTGCGCACGCATCAGTTATTGAGTTCATCGATTTGCTATTTATTTTTACAGTTTGTTTGCACAAGAACTATCCCCGAGAGTATCCCAAACACCCATCTTACCTATAGCATTTAACTGTTCAGGTAACGAACAAAAACCTGTTGAATGTCCACAGTATAACAGATCGGAAACTTGCCCAGTTAGTGAAAGTTTGAGAATGAGATGCGGTGAGTTACATTTCGATTTTAACTTCTATTCAGTTTTGGTTTTATTAACCAAGTTAATTCTAGCAACCTTAGCACCCACGTCGTCATAGGGTCCCTTATGGTTATATGCATTGTTGCCTCCCATTGCTTTACACACTATATGCCCTAGCCAATCAGCAGATAAAAGAAACATATCTGCATAGCATTGACAAACCTTAGCACACTCCCTCCATGTACTGAGTATTCTAAATGTTGAAACTGCAAAACAGAATTCTGTTTCTGATCCAAATGTCGAGCATTTGTACTTAGCAATTTTAGGTCAAAAATAAAATAGTTGTTTTCATTGGATGGTTATGTTCATTTGTTTAGATATAACTGATTTTGTGTTCGACTATTGTCACAGTCAGCTATTAGTAATAAAACAATAACGACTCTCGCTAAATGTTTTGAGGTTAATGTAATCGTTTTGTCTATGAAAAACACATCATATCAAATCAATATTTAATTTTTGAACGAAATCAAGAAGCCTTTTCTCCCAGCTCGATTATTTATATTTTTCATATTAGTGAATATGCCGATAGAAAACGCGATGTCCTTATCATGTTCTGCGAATAATTTTGGAGTTAAAGTGGATTTAGTTGGATTACAACAGCTAATTCCTGGTTTTAAAGATGAAGATTTGACACTCGGAATTAATTGTACTGGTAGACGTGAAAGCAATACTACACTTGTATTCCGTCAGAATTTTAACTCTTGTTCCACTCAGACGACAGAGGTAGGAAAATTGGTTAACTTATTCAACCTATGTTTCCGTATATACCCAACTTATTATATCAGAAGCATGTGCTAAGGATCGTGCACGAGGTTAGATACTGAGTGCAGTGGTCTGTTCGTCCGGTCTCAAGTAATGACCGGGTCCGAAGTTATTTCGCCGACCCTGGGAGATAAACATATTTCTATATCTCTATCTCAGAGTAAGATTCAGAACATAATCTTCAGGATTCGAAGAATAGGTGTTACTGAACCAATCTCCAATTTCGTCAAAATAAAAGCTAATCCTGCGCTCAATTGGCGTAAAGCACTAATGCGACATTCCTTATTTAGAGTTTATAAGATATTTCTCAATAATTGTATAATATAAAGAATGATTTTTTAAAAGCAGCTGGCTTCAGCTATCAGAATAAGAAGTCTCGTGAATGTGATACATTTGTAATAACTGAACTATCTTAATCGCTTTAAAATGTATTCTTGGAGTTGTGGGTCATAATCTCACAGTCCAGATATTTATACCATCTTAAAATATTACAAGTTGTTACTTTTTCAGATTGATAATCAAACGTTGTTGTTTACCAACTATTTAGTGTATATTAATCGTTTTCCAAATATGTTTGGAGAACACTTTCGGTGGTTTGTAGATCTTGAATGCCTTGTGAAACCTAATCAGACGATTGAGGCAATCGCAACAAACTCTTCTCAAGTGATAGCAACCATCAATTTGTATGGCGATGCCCTTTATCAAACCAAAATACAAAATATCGCCTCAGAAACGAAAGTTGGCGACAATGTCTATGTACAAGTACAACGTCCGTCATTGGCTGGATTTAGAATGGTAGTAGACAATTGTTACGCCAATGATGCCGATAAAAGTCATTCTTTGATACTGATACGAAATGGGTAAGGGAACTAATTTTATTTTTGTAAACCATTTCGATGTCCGTTAATTACCCATGAAAAAGGTGATGAGTGGTCCGGCTCGGCTGCCTTAAAGCAATTGAGTATAAATATGTATTAATGTACAGGGGACATATTATGTCACTTATTTATTTATATCGTTTGTAATTATCTAACAATTTGCTAAGAAACCAACAAATTCTGGCATATTTGGTCAACTTAAAGTAAGTGAGAATGCCTACCCTTTAGGTATCTGATAGCACTTCAAACAAAAGGAGTTTTACTTGGGGAGAGTTGCTGATTATTATGAAAGAATAATTAATATTTATTTTTGCCAGGTGTGAAGTAGATGGAGGAACACATATTACAAAATACACAGATAGCGAGACGCACTTCTTTTTTTCGGTAAATTTGGACATAATTAGTCAAGGAATTGTTGACGTTACCTGTGATGCCAGATCCTGCAGCACTTCCTCTGTCGACGCCACATGCCTTCAGGGTTGTAAAGCAGGATAGATTTTTAAGGTTTGAAACGAATTAATAAAAAAAGCTATCCTTTAATTTACTTTTTGTTACTTGTTTGGCCTATATTGGTTACAATTACTGGGACACAATGCCTCTTTAGAGCCGTGTGCCACACTTTCTTTGGAAAGTAGAGGAGACTAATTGTTCTCGTGATCGGACCACCTTTCCAAAGGTAATTACTGTATTTTAAATTCAAACCAATACTTTTAACTCTCAGGGGTTTTTTTGTCATGAGTTTAGATTTGCTTATGTATCCGACTATTTGTTATAAGTGTCCTTATTTGGTGAACAGTTGTCAGCCGACTTAAAAGGTTTGTAATTCTAAAATAATTTTCTGAAAATAAAGTTGTATTAGTAAATTTGTCCATGGATAGTTGACCAACAGATTTGTATCCCTTCTTGTGGTAGTTCAGATGGTACTTAGGTATGTTGAAATGGCCCGTAGCACACATAACAATTAAATGAAAATTGTGAACATAAACGCGGGCATTGTAATTAAAAAATAACTATTAAATCATTAAATTGGATACCCTCACGAATAAATTCAAAAGAGGGCGATTTTTGGAGTGACATGACCGTACGAAGGACACTCGATAGGCTTTTGGATAGTTGAATATTTGAAGTTTTTGGTGTTCCTATGGGAACCTATTGTGCTTTCTATGAGGATTTTTATGCGCCCACATTTTTATGTGTTCATGTTTTTTGCGGACACTCTCTAGGTCACAATTTTTAAATCCGAGTTCGATTTTGGCACATGTAGAACCCTAACTTCCTGGGTTATTGCCCCTGATTGTACGAAAATCACAAGTTTTAGTATGCGCGCACCCTTTTGTGTGCACGTAGTATGATGTCGTTCCTGTCAGTCCGTGTTTCTGGACGTCTTTACACCCAACAGGTCACAATTTTTATCCCATTTTGATGGAGCTTCAAATATATTTGTATATCCGAAGCACTTATCAGACCGTAACTCCATGGATTATAGGTTATGCTGGTAAGCGAAATGCCCTCTATAATTCACACTCTTTGTTCTATTCGGATGACACTCCTCTCTGATTTAGAGACTAATATACTTTTAGGATAATTGAGAACGAAACAGCCAAGCGAGTAAGTAACCGACCAACAACCTATACGTATTATAGTAGAACCTTGGTGAACAAGATTCCCTCGATATAGATCACAACAAATCTACCCGTTCACGTATATGTTAAGGCTTAATAGACCTCAGCTGCGTCTTATTTTTGTACGCATCAAACTTTCCGTCCCAGAGTTATACTCCCTTTCCCAAAATGCCATAGATGTCATTGTTTTAACAGATTTTTTTGTTCTAATTGGGTTGAAGCATTGAAGTCATGGGAGGACGAATCCTATTTATAATCAGCGTTTCAGCGTCCTTTCGTTTCAGACTTAGCCATGAAAAACGTCCTGAATGCGATAGAAAGCCGCAGATTTTAACATATCTTTTTAAATTTGGAGTGAAGCAACGTATCTATCTGTCATGGAAAACAAATATTTTTCTCGGTCATAAGGTCCATACAGTGGTATTAATAGTCACATATTAATATCTTAGTAAAGAAATCACAATGTTCCTCCAATAATCCCAAACATATTTTCAGGCGCATATGTAAATCAAGGAATTGCTGTCTACATATTGGATTTCAACCAGCCTGTTAAATTTTGTGACAATCGCTGAAAAATTGACGTTTTATAACCTGTTTGTGTAAAATGCCTTCTCTGTCCACCAGCGTCCCTAGATGATGGCCATAACCCGGAAAGCTGTGCACAATGACAGTGCACCACCCCCTGGTAAAGATATAGATAGCTCCCATGTTCTAAATAACAAGAGAATGAAAAATGTCAAAAAAAAAAACAAACAATTAACAAAAATAAATACTTTATAGAAAACTATGTCTGAATTAAACAAAACAACAAATAAAAAAAAATCAATGACCATTATTATTATAATATACAAAAAAAAATAAAGCAAGAAAGATAAGCGAATATTTAATAAGTTAAATATGTAAGTGAATAAAAGGCAAGTCTTTAAATGGTATTTAAAATAGACACTTTCTCAAATTATCAGCACAGGGTCCTACTAGTGACATTTATAATTTAGGTGTGCTGTGCCGAATATACATATTATCTATAACAAATCTTTCCTTATTGATCACTTGTTTGCAATACTTTGGGCGCTAGTAGAAAACGCTCTTGTCGGTGATTAGTAGGACCATCAGCTCATAGTATTTCTTCGTTTCGGTAATTCTGATGTAAAGACCAGAATACAAAGTAAGTGACAATTAAAAAAAACAAATCCCGGTCGCCTATCTCACTTTTCGGGGGCCCAAAAACACCGGAATAAATGATTATTTTTAATTACCAGCATTTAACTTGCAAACAAATACATCCATAAAATACGTGAATTATAATACCAGTATTTAATTTGCAAACTAATGTAATTATTTATTGGTGTTGGAGAAGCGATTCTGGTAAAATATTAAAATTATTTACCAAATATAATGATATTGATAAGGAAACCCATGTCACAAGATTTCCCAGTACAGATACATGCTTCTCCTGGTGTAATACTATATTTAAAGAAAGTAGTATTCACATTTGCCTAACAATTATATATATTTACTGTACAAATTATATATATCCACTATATAAAGGTTTGCCTACACGTATATTCCGTATGCCGTCTATTACAAAATCTAAAACTACGGAAGGTTGGCGTCCCTTTGATGTAAGAAATCGGACATCTTGTAATAAAGATGTATCTGTCGTATATTGTATATAGCCATATTAAAGCCATGAATAAATGTTATATATGTATATTATGGTTACTGGGGTTAACATGATCCAGATTACTGGTTTATTTTTAAATTTACATGTTTCTGGAAAGTTCATGGTTTGCTTATATATGGGATGGTTCTGACGGTTGACCGAGGTTTATATAAGGATCCTCTGTCCTGTTCTCGGCCTCGTTCTTTGTGTTTCTCTCTTCGGCGTTGGCAAATGGTGAATTGTCTGTAAAACATACGGAATGCATTGAAATCGACGATGTTCCACAATATACATATATGCATGGGTCTGATTATTTAAAGATGAATTTAATTATGTAATAATCACTTAGAGGAAATATCCAAAATACCAGATGGTCACAAAAAAAAATGAAAAAACAATACATTTTACGAGAGTTTCTTCTGCGTTTCGTTTTCAACAGGACAATAATTGCAGTTATTATATTCCGATAGCGGAAAACACAGAACAGTGGTATAATATTTGATTTCCTGGCATTAGACAGTGTCTTATCGTTCGGATGGGACAAATACAGAGGTCACGCGTACCCGTTGACGTGCAGCGTAAAAGAGCCCTCGGTAGTTGTAATTCGAAATTTTTCGCCATAGCACTGCATCTACGTTTTGCCCCTGGTTTAAAGACACTTCTTTAAAAAAAAGCATTTTTAAAATGTTTTAAAAGAAATAATCGCATAGATTTCACAAACAATAAAACACAAACCAATAGTCACTTGTATATTATTTACATATTGCTAACTCACCTGTGTTTTTTCCGAATCTATAATAATAATAATAATATGATTAATTGTTATATTAATAACAGGTAAATTGGATAGTAGATGTATTATTAAATATGTTTTTAATTAAAATTATACTGTGTATAACACGTGTTAACGTGGAGATGTTTTTCTTAAAGATTAAAACTATGTTGTTAAATTTATAGCTTTGTGTTACCGGATAGGTAAAGAAATACAAATAATTAAACAATTCAAAAAAATAATTCAACTCTTAAAATAAGAATAAGTTCAGTTATTCCTAACCACGGTACTACCTCGTTAATATAGTAATTACAATTACCTCATAAATACTTTTTAAGCATTGGTGATGCATTGTAAAAATAATAATTATTGAACTAAACTGAGCAAACGCCCTAACCCTATCCCCTGTGCGTGTTTATTATATAGAGTGTCCCAGTAAAAAGTTGCCCTAAACTCTTAAACCTGAACACTGTTTTTACGAATAACCTATTCCAATAAAAATTGATAAGTATAAAGTATATTTACCTACGAAATGGTATGGTTACACCTGTGAATTAAGAAATAAATGTACGTGTATTTTAATTGCTTGAATGTAAACACAAATCAGGAAGTGCACATATCCAGTCCCCTAGACACGTGATACAGCGGAAGGAGGAGGGTGCTTGAATATCAGCTAAACATCGGCATTCCAGCATCAGGGGCGTGGTGACCAATGGTTTTGCATGAGGAACAAGATCACGCCTCCCTCCCGCCCCCACAAAAAGAAAAAAAATACGTTGAAAACCGCATTGAAACCGCGTGATTTTTTGCCATTTCCGAGGGGCGGAGGGCAAAAACTCAAAAGGGCGCAAAAACTCAAAACCATGACGCAAAGCTCGTCATTGCGTCCCTCGTACTTAGCCCCAGATTAAGATTTAGGACTGTATACTCTTCGCGAAATGGGGTCTTATTCTCAGCAAACCGCTATACAATCTACGAAAGTGGGTGATGTAATATCGTTTTTACTAAAATATTACAGATAAATTACATATTAACTGTTGTACTGAAAATAAAGGCTTCATAAATTTGATCTTCACATTTGTGTATCGGAAAATTCACCTGAATATTGCACAGAATGTGTCAGATACGTGAACTCTTTTCACGAAATATCATAGGCTACTACCTGCAGATATTAGGGGAAAACTTTATATAGAGTTTATAGACAACTAGACCAAACGGAACTCATAAAACATAGTGAAGTCTAATAGATGACGATACCTGACTGTTCGATAAAACATAGAAACAGTGTACAAAGTACCAAAGAGTGACATGAGTCCGTGTATATTAAGTTCAACCAACAACAATTTAGTAAGCTAATGTTGTCATATTGATGAAATATAATTTTAACTTACCTCTGAAAACGCCTCTTCTGTAGCGCAAAACGATCACAATAACACCGATGATAATTATTATTATTAATGTAATAACCACAGCAATAATCGTCCCTGTATATGTTACTAAAATTAACAAAAATTGTGTATTACAAATCTTTATCGTTCCATTCAAATAAGTAATAACACACAAATAAAACTGTAATAAGTGATACGAGGTTGTTCTGCCACATGTTGATAACTGTGGTTTGTTTTTATTCAATTTGGGAATTACTTAAATTTTCAAACTCATCTTACATCTAAAATAGAATATTCTGAACAAATTGCTTAACCTGTGTTCATGCATAGACCGTATAAAAGAAAATACACGTACATGTCTACAGGTAATAATTATGCCATTTGAACCACATATATTTTATCATAAGCGCTATAGAAACCAGTTTTGTAATTTTAAAAATCAAGTAATACGGTTTGGTTATCTGTTTACACGGTAGTCTATCGCGTCCACAATCCATTTGTTGACAAATTTGAAAAAATTCTGTTATAAAACATAGCCTTTATTGCATCCACAAAGGTTTTCTGAAAAACTCTGGTACGGAAGATCGCAGAAAGCTGAGTGCCAATAGGGTTAGTCTTTTCATGACCACAATCCGTTACACCACACTTGAAAAGAATCCGATAAAATCTATAGTCTCTATCTCGTTCAAAATGGGCGGGGGATAACTCCGGGGCAGAAAGTCGCCGTACGCTGAACATCGGTTGGGTTCATCCTCTCATGGCTACAATGCTTCACCAAATTTTGAAAACACTACAGCCTCTATCACATTCACAAGGTTTTCGGGAAAGAGGGCAAAACTCCTTAAAATAATGTAGCTTCTATAGCGTCCACAAGCCAATTATTAACGGCCGGACCGACGGGCAGGTTGGTCGCATAATATACACCCAAGGTGAAATGTGGGCATATAAAAAGGTGGATTCATTTTGTAGTCTTATTAAAGGATGCCTGTGCCTACTGATCTATTTCATCATACCAATCAAGAAAATGAATCTAAAACTGATCGTAAGAGTTCGTTCTCTTACTCTTGACGCGGTATATCCAGTTATACCATTATATTACTTTTCAAAATTTGAACTCACCTTTTTTAGGAATGACAGTGACCGTTACATTGTGGGTAATAATCCTGGTCTGTCCGCTAGTTGGCTCCAATCTGATGGTAGCAACTCCTTAAAATAATGTAGCTTCCATAGCGTCCACAAGCCAATTATTAACGGCCTGACCGACGGGCAGGTTGGTCGCATAATATACACCCAAGGTGAAATGTGGGCATATAAAAAGGTGGATTCATTTTGTAGTCTTATTAAAGGATGCCTGTGCCTACTGATCTATTTCATCATACCAATCAAGAAAATGAATCTAAAACTGATCGTAAGAGTTCGTTCTCTTACTCTTGACGCGGTATATCCAGTTATACCATTATATTACTTTTCAAAATTTGAACTCACCTTTTTTAGGAATGTCAGTGACCGTTACATTGTGGGTAATAATCCTGGTCTGTCCGGTAGTTGGCTCCAATCTGATGGTAGTAACTCCTTAAAATAATGTAGCTTCTATAGCGTCCACAAGCCAATTATTAATGGCCGGACCGACGGGCAGGTTGGTCGCATAATATACACCCAAGGTGAAATGTGGGCATATAAAAAGGTGGATTCATTTTGTAGTCTTATTAAAGGATGCCTGTGCCTACTGATCTATTTCATCATACCAATCAAGAAAATGAATCTAAAACTGATCGTAAGAGTTCGTTCTCTTACTCTTGACGCGGTATATCCAGTTATACCATTATATTACTTTTCAAAATTTGAACTCACCTTTTTTAGGAATGACAGTGACCGTTACATTGTGGGTAATAATCCTGGTCTGTCCGCTAGTTGGCTCCAATCTGATGGTAGCAACTCCTTAAAATAATGTAGCTTCCATAGCGTCCACAAGCCAATTATTAACGGCCGGACCGACGGGCAGGTTGGTCGCATAATATACACCCAAGGTGAAATGTGGGCATATAAAAAGGTGGATTCATTTTGTAGTCTTATTAAAGGATGCCTGTGCCTACTGATCTATTTCATCATACCAATCAAGAAAATGAATCTAAAACTGATCGTAAGAGTTCGTTCTCTTACTCTTGACGCGGTATATCCAGTTATACCATTATATTACTTTTCAAAATTTGAACTCACCTTTTTTAGGAATGACAGTGACCGTTACATTGTGGGTAATAATCCTGGTCTGTCCGCTAGTTGGCTCCAATCTGATGGTAGCAACACACGTAAAAGTAGCACCGTTAGTAACGCCATTTATCATCAGTTCCTTAGTAGAAGAATTAATTTTCTTTCCAGCAATATCATACCACTGATAGGTCGATGGCGCAGGGTTAGAATCGACTGGGCAGTCTATTTTAAGATTGGATTTTTCCCCAAGTGCAATTGTTTTTTGTGATATAGAAGCAGTTGGACCATCTATTTAAAAAGAAAGCAAGTGAATGCTGGTATAAATAGAAACCAAAAGCCAGTACTTACCGCTTTTGTGAAATGACAGCATTAATATAGAAATCAAATAGCACAGAATAACAATTACTACGGTTTATTTTACTGGACTTGTGAAATCTTGTTGAAACGTCGCTGTGTAATAAACCATAGTAATTGTTATTCCATAAAACTGTGTTATTTGATTATGTCACAATTTCTGAATGTCAGTCAAAGAATATTGTTGTAGAAAACAATAAAAACTTATATCAGAAAGAGCAGATGGAATGAAACCTATCACAAAATGATTTAACATAGTATTTAAATCATAGTATGGTCTCGACGTTATGGCAAAGCTGTTTGCATCGGCAGAGTATTCCTACCCTTTCTAGAACCTGTAGTTTGATGGGTTTACACACAACATCTAACAAATTCGTGTTGTCCTCCTGCACTTAAAATCTACCGTCCAATCGATTTAAAAATAACGGATACGAATACACCTCGATTTGTGTTTTAAAATATAGTGTTAAAGGTCTCCGGGATTTTGGAGTGCTTGATATTTATGCCATATTCATATAAGATTATCAATTACAATCCAGCAAAAGGGACAATTGGCTGAAATTCTTGAATATGGTTTTCCGTCAGTAAACAAACTTACATAAGACGTCGACGTAGGTTTTATTGTATTTTCTTGTAGTGATTGGTTTCACTAGAGCTGTGGAGACGACGATCGTGTTGGCAACAATACAAGTGTATTCTCCAGACATGGTTCTTCGTACGTATGGTACAATCAAAGTGCTATTTGACGCCAATTGGTAATAGTATCTCGATAGGTCCAAGTCAGAGGGCCCAGACCATTTAAAATCGAGTACAGATGGGTTAGCTGTAGCGTTACACAGTATGGACAACGTCTCACGCTCTATCACTTTGATACTAGATGGTAAAGACACAATCGGGGGATCTATAAAAAAAAAAAAGGTGTGAGATTTTTTTTTATCCTGTAGATAATATAATTATTACACGCATACTTTGTTTCTACCTATGATTATTCATAGAATAGAAAATGTCTTGCTATTACAATATATCTCTTTTATTTACTGCGATATCGCCTTTGGTGGAAGCAGGCGTTAATATCATTAATGGTAATTAATTCCCACTGTATTTCTACATTTACACTGAAACCGTTGACCATTGTTTGTATGTATGGAATTGCCTAAACGAATAGGAATATCACTTACAAACTACATTTATATTGGCTGAATTGTTTCTTGTGCCAGTGTCTGTCCTAGCAGAGCATGTATAAGTTCCGTTATCAGACATCTGAATTGACTTTATACTAAACACCTTTCCAGTTTGACCAGTCACTACTTTCCCTTTCTTTGTCCACGTGTAACCACTTGTAGGCATTTTAGAACTTATATTAAAGTCACACACTATATCCAGGTCTCTGCCCTTTATTACAAAAAGTGGATTTTCGGAAGTCTTCAGTGTATTCTTGGATTTGTCTGAAATAAAAGATCTTAATTTATTAAATTACATTCAGTGATTTTTATGTCTATTAGTCTAATAATTACCCTGATTATGAAATGTCTTCGGGTGATTACGAAACAATATAAGATATATATTTACAACATGGCATATATACTATGAGAACCACCGGCAATTAAATTGAGTTACTTAAAGTTTTTTGTAGGGAACAACATGTCGTACACCCTCTGTAATAATTGTGGATAATATTTTCCATAATCATAATGATTACATAGCTTCGTTGGACAAGGACAATACCCCATCAGCAAAGGAAACAGCAACAACGTCACAAGAATCAATAACACCATCAAAAATAAACTTATGTGATTTAGAATATGTACCAGCCTGTGTGATTAATGCGCGAATCGGACGTTTGGTGTTGCCCGGGCCCAAACACCCCCTTGATTGTACGCCCTAAGGCCTAAATTTATTATATGCCCCTAAGACTTAAATAATGCGAGGTAGTCGGACGAAATATGTGAAAGAAAGACAGTTTTAGTTTTAAATAAAAAAAAAAACGATGAAGTGAACTTTTTATTTAAATAAAGTAGGTAATTTAAAGATGGGTTCCCGCGTACAAACTGGGTGATTTAATGGTATATATGGACTAAAAACTTATTCAAACTAATTAATTTGTCATAATTTTGCTTCAAATCCTTCTCAAACATTGTAATTGCGAAGGAATGTCCTGCTATAACAATTCGATCAAACCAGATCATGTTTACGTCACGGGACTTACCTCTCTTAGAAGTCAGAGGAGAATTCATTGCATACATAAGACGATGTTGTCTTTAATCGCTTACTATTTATTAGAAATATCGAATCCTAATTAAATTCTAGGATTATCCACTACCCGCGTCTTTTTCCGTCATTTTTATCTCAGAAAGTGTTGAACATCTAACTCTTCATAAAGTTTATCCACTTTGTAAATCAAGCGCTCAATGTTCGCGTGTGCCCTTTGATATCACGCGTGCAGAAATTCCTAATCGTCGGGCTGTTGATTAGGGGAACCCTTACATTTTTGTCCTGTATATGCACCAGGAGTGTTTTTCGGGGAATCCAGTATTTTTCTAGTATGATTGGATATCTCTACTTTCCATATATACCAAAATTACCATACTTTTATTGGAAATAACCACCCGATAAATACTTTTCTGGGAACCCATCTTTAAAAAAAACAACAAAACAATCTGAACCGATGCTGGGGGCAATCCGCCGACCACCGAGAGACGTATTTAAACGGTATATTTGACATTGTAACTGATACTGTTTAAATAAGGTAGGGAAATTTTTTTTTTAAATGTCACTCTTTAATTGTATGACCCCCCCCCCCCCCCGCACCCTGAAACGGATGCCCGGGTGAAGTCTGTCGCTCACCACCGGGAGACTTATCTAAACATTGTATTTGACACTGTAACTCATACTGTTACACCTTTTGGAACACCTCTTACCAGATCTCGTCTGATAAGTTCACACAACTGTTCAAACATGTTCACACATTTCTGTTGTACTTTTATATATTACTATATTTATAAAATGGCCAAATTTATCTAGGAGTAAATGTTGGACATTAAAATTGTCTAACCTTCTACACAATTGTTATTACGCAGAATAAAACCATTTTTACAGTTACAGGAAAACATGCTATTCTGTTTAGGTAAACAAAGTTGTTGACATTTAGAATTCTTACAAACACTGGTACCTGAAAGAAATAAAATTAGTATATTTATTTCACATGTTACCGTACATAAAAGTGGATTTAAGTATGTCAATCAGGCGCCAAATCATTCGATATATCTGACAGTTCATTTAACATTAATTGTCTGTGTCAATAACAGTGAGGTACCATGGAATCCTTGTGAACGCAAAGTCTTTATGTTCATTCCATGTTTCCCATTTGCATACTATTCTAGGAATGGTGGTTTTACGTATTATTAAACACTAACTGAGTTAAACTCGGTTGTTCTTACCTTGCTCTATCTCACTTGAATTAAAGGCATACAGACCCAATGATCGAATTAATAATGGTGAACCAAAATATTCCCTTGGCCCACCTGTCTTCTTCATGCGTTTCATGTACCTAAATCAAAAGTACAGAGATGATTCAGGCTGATGATTATACCTACACAAATAATATACCTTAGAAAAAACGAGCTAATCAGTCTTGTGTTATTAACCATTCCAATATTCCACCCAATGATCACCATTGTATGTGTCTATGGTATATGAATCTCTTAATCTCAATGAATTTACTCGATTAAACGGATTACATTTCTCTCGGTGGCTATTCATAATATACGATAAATGGGCCCCGGCCCTGACACAGTACTGGGTTTAGGCATTAAGCTAAACAGGCCACAGTTTAGAGTATTACAATCCGTGGGGGAAATAAAATTTTCGGGGGCATTGTTGTTTGTTTTTCAAATTTTATGTGTGCCGAATTTGTAGGTATAATTTTAACGCTCATTAATTTAAATAATATTTAAGTCTAAATTTTTGATGTGTTCACAGGCCTCTAATCTTAAATTGGTCCATACGAAGTTTGAATCCTTCACCAGCATGACATACTATAGATCCTTAAGGACACTCGAATTCGTAAAACATAAATAGTGACATAGAGTGTAAGAGTTGGTGGACTCTCTAGATATGTGTTTTATCTTCTTGAATATTGAACAATTTACTCACGGGCTGGACCAGTCATTGAAGTAAAGATAATCTCCCATTAAAACGATAGCGAAGTAGTGAGTGCGATTTCTCTGTAACAACATTTCCCTGTTGGATCCATTTAAGTTCACCGACTCTATGGTATCAGACTTCGCATTTACCCAGTACAGAACTTAAAAGATAAATCAGATAGCCACGCAAAGCGTGGAAATAAACCTACATAGCAAAGATATCATCCACAGACAGCAGCTTATCCGAAAAGAAAACTGGAAGTTTGGTGCATAATAATTATTTGAGCTAGACTCAAAAGAGAAACAGATCTATACCGATCTAATTCCAGATACCCTTGGCTTATTATCAAAGCCAAACCATGTACGTAATCAAACCGCGGCACTGAATTACGACGTCAAAGGAATCCGTGTATATTGAGTCTAGTATGCATCTTTACTATAAAGTTACCAAATCAATCGCGATTATTTCGCTGTATATTAAACTAATTTGAGGTAATAACAGATGTATTACTGTCTTCGACAGAGAACAGTACACTGTCACTTTGAACCTCCATTTAAAACCATAATTACGGCATACTTCTGTCTTAGGGATTTGGATAACTATCCTTTTGAATACTGGGAGATTCCTTCTCTCTAATACTCCGCGTTTGAATACTAATAAAATCGACGTAATAAATAAGTCTGTGTTTACCGTTTCGCTGGCTATCAATAGTTAACCCATTTGGCCAGGTACCATTTTCAAGCGAGAGAAATATACGTCTGTTGGAGCCATCCATGTCGGCAACTTCTATTTTGGCGTGTCTTCCCCAATCAGTCCAATACATTTGTCTGTAAATAGAAAATGATGGGTGAATTGTAACATAACAGTAATTATTATCCATTTCTATCAATCCTAACAAAAGTTATGGTCATCTAAAATTTCCATTACTGTCTATTGATTTCGTGCTGCCATCTTACCTTTTTTTCAAGATCGTTAGTTGACGCCTGAGAGATATTCCAAAGGTGCATAAATCCTCCGGTTTTAATTTTGATTATTTTAAACTAAAGATCACTATTGTTCTGTTTTTAAATCAGGAAAATATTTATTGGATGTCTTGCGTATTGATGATTTATTTCTGAAATGTTACTGATATGGACATTCATCAGTATTACTGATATTTACCCTCTGTTAGGTAGAAGAGCAATGCCTCTCGGTTCATCTAATCCTGTGTCAATCAATGTTAATCTATAATCGTAATTATCTAAAGATAAAACATTGATAGTATCTGGTCCTGTATCTGTATAGTATAATAATCTATTTATATAATCTACAGCCATACCATCTATAGTAGATGCTGAAATAATTAATAACATGTTCAAACTACAGACACTAAAATACATCATGAAAATAGTAAATAACCTGTCCAATCTACATCAAGCATAATTAATATTAACAACTAGGCAAAATGGATGAATTTGGTAATATGGTGAAATGACGGAAGATAGAATCACAACATTATTGAACTGCGGGTTTAATGTGCATAACTTCTATGATATGATTTATATCTAGAGTGATGAAGAGAGGTAGAAACCAATTGAGTATTATTGTAACATATGATTAGGGACCGCGCTAAGAGACGCCCCTTGCTACATTTTAAGCGATCTGTTCCTAATTACGTTTTCGTCACTCACGGTATAATTGTTACCAAAGCAATACCTTTCTGATTTCTGATAGTCTTCTCGGTTACAAATCTAATACACCAATATTACAAGTAACAGACCTCTCACAATTGCGGTTAACGTGAAGGCTGGAGAATTTGATAAACCAGGACGCGATCATTTACAAGAAACCTTAGCGTAATATTTCAGGTTTTGGGAGAAAACAAACAACATATAGTAATTCTCATTTGGGTGAATCTTTCCGTTTCTTGACTGCGGGCATAAATTAATTATTCTTACTTGTACTTGTACCCGCTGTTCCTGTCACTACCTCGGCCATATTCCCCTCAGTATCAGCTGTTCTTATAATATCATTGCGGTTATCGCCCCAGTATATTTGATTTGTTGTCGGATCGTAGGACAGAGCCCCTGGCGCGCCACCTAGAATCATATTTAGTATGGAGTGAATTCTGGTCCTCATGTCTGTTTTAAATATCGCAAACCGCGGGCTCTCGGCACTTATAAGAAATTCACCTCTGGCAACAACTGAAATAAACATTTGAGAAAATATTTTCTACATTGCAAACAATACAATATTTATATAGATATAAATATAATATATTTATATCTATCTATATAAATAATTCTAATTACAATGTATCAAAACACGTTTTATTCCCTACTTAAATTCAAATATTTTCGGTCTCTTGCTTGGTTGGTCTGTTCCATTCATAATTTTGTAACATTATATATAAAGGTTATCAGGTTCTTCTAATATACGCAATGCTATACATAGTTAGAATGGTGTAATTGTTTGGGGATCTGTCTGGATTGGACATAACATTCCTATGGTGGATGATTGACATCATGTAGTGATGTTGTCCTTCTTAAGGCGGCAACCCGACATCACGACATTTTAACTCGACATGACGTAGTACCGTAATGTCGCGTAAAAATGTCGTAATGTCGCGTAAAATTGTCGTATGGTCGGGTGAAAATGTCTTGAAATTAAATGGGATTTAACGTTCTACTGTTCTGCTCCAACTGGGCTAATGAAGACGGGCATACGTCATACAGTGTGCTATGAGAGAAAATTTTCCCAGGCAGCGACACTATGGCCTGTTCTTATATCGAATTCCAACTGCCATGCGATCTTTTACGTACATGCCAATGCATACACGGGACCTCGATTTTTCGTCAAATCCGAACAAAGAAAAGTGTCCAGCTGTTTAAATGGAACAAAAAAAAAAGCTCCTGTGTACACATTGGCCGTGCACATGCAGAGTCCTTCAAAAATAGCACAGGCTCTGGTGTACACATTGGCGTGTACATAAAAGAATTCCAACGTCACTCTTACCTTTGATATTCTGTGTAATGCTAAAATCGCTTCCGTTACATATCCACGTCCCTGCATCTCTTTGCCTGGAAACACTTGTAATATTTACAGTCAGGCTATTATGAGTTTTAGAAGCGATGTAGAGATCACATCCAGCAGTACCGCTAGTACAATCCGGTAATGGTCCACCATTATAACTTAGCGTATTAACAACGCCAACTTGGGTTATACAGGTGATGGCAGCGGAGTTACCTTCTACTAGTATAGGTGGGTTCGTCTCTATATGGGGTGTTCCTAGAAAGGCAACAGACGTGTAATTAATCGATCAGATTTGTGATCGGAGAGTAAAGGAACGTAATATCACGATATCAAAGAAGGTGAGATTTATTAACCATTTTAGTGAGAAAATGACAGCATTTGATTCCGTGGTAGATTACCTTTCAGGCCACAAAGATTATAACCTTGGGTTCCGCGGGTAAAATGGGCCACCCTGCAGTCTGTGACTAAAAATTAGACTTACTTAAAGATACATTATTGGAGATTAGATAAAGAGCTAGCAGTTCTCACAATAATAGTTAAAAACTAGATAATGTAAAGGGAATTTGCTGAAAATCTCAGTCAAATTAATCCACTCTGAACCGAGAATTTATCGATTGAATTTTCGGCCTAGCCTTGATCATTATTACTAAAGTTGGTACGATAAAAATCATTGTCTCGATTATCCATTTAATCATGAATGAGCGTTGAGCAGCAGATCGGATTATAATCCAGTAAATATCGCAGCCTAACGATGACATCGAGAGTTGATTATGGTCTGGATAAGTTAATTAATATCTAATTAATAATTTAGATAAAATTGCGCGCCTAAAGAAAGACATGCAAATGGCAGATTTAGCTCCTGCATATGTTTAATGAAAAACAGTAAATTAAATCAAACATCTAATCTTTATGGTCATGGCCTGACTAACCAAGGATATAGGTAAGCCCTATCTAATGAAGCGCGGGGGGTGGATGGGGAGCGTCAGGGAGCCCTCCCCCATAAAATTTTGAAAAATCAATGCCATTTGGTGGATTCTGACGTATATCTTGGGTAAAAAGAAATCATGTTTGCTTCTTAGTGGTAGGTTTTCCGTCCATTGGAGTGCAGTACGAGAACAAAATTAGAGGTGGCGAGGTTTTCCACTAACCTGCGCCAAAGTAAAGCTTATTCCATCACTACATTAGTTCACGAAAGGGAATATTTAATCAAAACATAATTGTGGTGGCCCTGAGATGACTGTTATTTTAACATAAAAACATAATTTTTTAAAGGCCTTACGAAATTAAAAAGTTGAAGCCGAAAACAATTTTTCTTATTTGAATTTATAATAACAAAACCAAAGATTAGTTTTTAGATACCAATATGAACGATCAAAAAACATAAACTAGGTTAGATGTCATCTTGAGCTTGATATTTGTTCATAGAAATGAAAGAAGTTGAATATATTTTTGTCCAAATGCGCTTTTTTTTAAAAAGAATATCATTTTACGCATATCAATAGAACGTCTATATTATGCCTTTCTAACTAGATCAAAGGCCGATATGTATACATGATTGTTCCTTTCAGCAGTTGACAGGATACGATGAATAAAGTAAAAATACAGTATTATGTGTTAACCATTTGTTAAATTATTATAGGACACTGAACGTTTGTGTATGTATAATAATCAAACGCAGGTCATATAAAAATGTAAACCTAACAGATATACTCGACAGCCGCGAAAACGTATCCGGTTGTCACGTACACGAGTGGGATTAGAATCACGGCATTTTCATTTATGACAGAGATCTTAAGATCTAACATACAAGTGTGAAACCATTTGATCTTATAGTAGTCTAACCGATTTTATTTCTATATTGCCGTTAATTATTCCGAATTTCAAATTTCCGGTGTATTATGTATGATTTAGATAAAGAGTCGGACGTTCTTGCTATAGTAGTTCAGAATTCGATAATGAAAAATGAAGATATTGAAAATAAATTAGTTATTTTAAAAATAAAAAACAATAATTTTATTCGGGTTGTCTGAATGGGATTAGTCTATGTAAAACCCTTCTCTCTCTAAATAATATATAATACGTAATATTAATGCAAAGGGGTGTATATACATAGTTAAAATAGCAAACACATACATATTATATAAATATAATACAATGGATGAAAATATACATTATATATAATAGGTTATAGTTCTACATACATACACATTGTGCTACTAAACAACATTAGAGAAACAAGTCAAAGTTATACATAAAATTGAAAAGTAAAATACTATTTGATCGAGATTAAAATCTGTTTGACATATCAATAAACTTATGGACTTGATTACAAAATATGATTAACATCTAGACTGTAGGTTGTGGCGCCGAACAGGAGTTTATGTTTTAAAAATCATATTGTAGTTTGTCTATGGATTCATTTCGTGCATTTGAATGTAAAGAACACCCGAGATCGGGATCTTTAAATATATACAGAGGCATGTGGGACTGTCAGAAACATATCTATGGAATTTGTGACCCTGCAGGTCAGAGCATCGGAGTCTTAGTCGACTTTATTCTGAGGGAAGGTATCAGTGTTTGAAGTTTTTACAAGATTTATCGTAGATTGTTGATTATCGTAGCAACGGCATATGTCTACTTGCCAATCGAGATCAATTTTATCGATAATGTTTTAAATCTCTCGAGTGTGCTAATTCATTTAAATCTCGGCCATCCAATGGGAGAGGGAGAGAGAGAGAGAGAGAGAGAGAGAGAGATGGGTTTAACGTCCAAATTAGGTCATTTCGGGACTAACACACGGTTCATTTTTATTTCAACAATTCGCATGCGCAGGGGTCTTAAGCAGTGGGAGGAAACCGGAGGACCCGGAGGAAACCCACGAGGTTGGACAGGGGACCCTACTCCTTGCCATCCAATGGTCTAGAGAATTGATTATAGCCTTGTCGCTTTAATAAATGTCTAATTAATAGTTTATATAACATTTGAATCCAAAATAAAGACCTGCAATAGGCAGATATAGCCCTTACATAATGCATCTTTAACTTATTAAGCTCCATCTTATCTGCAAGAGGTAATTTCACCTGGGTCTGGAACATGCACTACGAAGTTTCGTATTGAGCTCACAACATAACTTGATGTTAGTAATTGAATTCATTATGCCAAACTCCGATCTGTCACCACCAAGTTATATGAGTTCAAGCCGAAATTGTACGATATATCGCTCCCCGAACGGACCCCGCCGAAAAATTCACGAGGCTCGCCTGTACCCCTGTCAACGAATATTGCGTACAGTTAAACTAAATTAAAGCCCAAATATCTTTTGTTAGCCACAAACCTGCGGTTTATGTTTACAGAGCGATACGATAAACCATCTCTATTTTTAACTCACCATGGCAAAACATTAAAAAAAATTGATGGGTCTAACTGCCCGTTTCACACCTTAATCAATATCAGTTGATACGAGATATCGGTAGCGATAGCGCATGTTATCTAAATTAAATATACTTACCAACAACAAGAACTAATAGATAATTTAGTAGAAATAACCAGATGTTAATCATATTGAAGCTACGATATCTGCGACTATTTACATTAAAATCTTCACGCCTAGCTGGTCAGTTTTTTTTTTAACCACGTGAGATATCTAGGTATACAATTTGAAACTTCCTGAATGGTTTACTTATTTGTATCATATATACACGTATATATTAATATGAACATAAATGTTACTTACTAAACGATTAGTTATAGTTGAATGTGCATTTTGTTTAGCATTTCAATAGAGTGAAAGAAAAGTAACGTCTGCTTAAAAAATACCCTCCATTATGTAAAAAAAGCATGTTGTATGTTATTTATGCTATACCTTGTCCGAGTTTACCTGGTGCGAGATAAAAAATGCAATTAAGGTTTGTGCACACCAATGACTATTTGTCGCCGAAAGTCCAATTTAGATCGGACAAAATACTATACCAATATCCCGTCACCTATGTTTCATCTGGAATGGTCTGTCGAGAGTTCTTCACGCCCGTCATGATTAATATAATACGAGGACTGGCTGCAAAGCTCTAAGACTATCTATGAAAACTTGTACAGAGTTGCCAACGATGTTGCAAGGCCTGGGTGCCGGTCAGAAAGATATGTTTTTCAGCAGTCAGGAGCTTTGGCACCCATCTTGCAGAAACGTTCGTCATTCCTAACTCGTTGGCGATAATGAGCTCAATCCTCTCATAAGAGATGCCTACAACACTAGCAATATGTCGCGTGGTCAATCGTCGATTAGCCATCACCAAGTCATGTACCCAGGGTAATGGTTTCAGACTCAGAACTTATCAACCAGTCCTCGTATCTAAGCCTCCACTTAACTACAAGTACACATAGTGGCCCTCATTAAAGATTGTTCGTCGGTGATGCAAAATCCTCGACAAAAAGCTATTCAAGATTTCCAAACATCCTAAAAGGAAAGAAGACAGAACAAAAGCAAAAGGAAAAAAAAACATTGTGTAATTCCATATCTCCCACCCTTCTCACCACACCACACCACACCACACCACACACGAGCCCTATTATGTTGCTCCTTGTGTGGGGTTTTATGCAATAAATTTATCTTATCTTAATATTTCAGGTAACCATTTACATGTATTGTAAAGAATGTAACAAAACATGTGTGATATAGGTGTGTCGATATTACAATATTACATGTATTATGTAAATAAATAACCGCGACATGTTTAAAGGGGTAGTTTTCCCTGGGTATCAGTAACAAAGTCCGTTTAAGTATGTAAATCAGACACCAAAATGTGAATATGGTTTATTAATGCCCACCAAAACAATTTCATTAAGTAACCTGATAAACACGTCTAATGGATACCGTTTGTAAACATTATTAAGAGGTACTCAAAATGCAGCAATAACATGCAACAGCTATATTACCAGATAGGAAACAAAATATAAAACAAACTAAAGTTTAGCGGGAAATTGTCACTGTCCATGTGTGCATGTTTATCCCGACATTATATTACCCTCAAATCATATTCATTGTGGTAGTGGTAGTATGACACCTATTCTTCGTGACGTTATGCAATAAGTAATGTCTACACTACAGCTCATATTTACATGTATATATAATAAACGAAATAAAAGTATGTCAATTAGATGACATTTCCATCATCACAACACAAGCAATAAGACATGATTATATTACATCTGGCATTTAAAATGGGTGGGGATTCAGTCTTATCAAATCTATGTGTGTGTGTTTGTCATTGGGGGGGGGGGGGGTCTTTTCGAGCGAAGTAAGCAACCACTGGTCGTTTCCTGGGGTAAAGCCTCAGCGGGAGTCCCCTGGCGTTTTTCAGTTCGACCACAGCTGTGATGTTCGATACCTGGAGAGTTATTTTGATAATATTAAAAAAAAATTAATAACATCTATTTTATTTTCCTGAAACAAGGAATAATGTGCACATATAACAGCTCCGAATTAAATTCGTGTATGGATGCAAATCAAACGTCAAATGGTGGCGAAATAGCCTCTTTAACTTGTCCGACAGTTTGAGAAGACATTATTGAGCCATTTAGAAATAATACCTAAAACGGTTTATAAGGGTGGCGTGACAAACGTGACTATTCGATAGAGTTTGTAATCTCTGCTAAGAGATAAATTATAACGAAACATTTAGCGAAAAAAGGCAAAACGCCAGGGCAATTGAAAAGATTTATCTAGACACAAAGTTATAGCTAGTCAAGACGCTCGGCTCGTCTCAAACTGAACAGAACCACTGGGCGTTGGTGTGTCTCTTTAATAGACTAGATCAAAAACAATTCAAGTGTCTTCGTCACAACTTAACTCGTTTATCACGCAAATATATCTCGCATTTCTCCAGAACGACGACCGTAATACTGACCAAAGAGAGTAAGCGCGAACATTGTAAGGACCATTACAGGCTGCGATTCCATTGTCAACTGGACTCAAACAATGTCATTTCGAGACTAACATATGGTTCAATTTTATTTCAATAATTCGCTTGCACGTAGGGGTCTTTGACAGTGGGAGGAAACTGGAGGACCCGGAGAAAACCCACGAGGTTGGTCAGGCTATCCAATCTATAATGATGCTGCTCAAATGTGGGTGGTATTTGTCTTTTTTTGTCATAGACTGGACGAGGGACCAGAAGTTAAATTATCCTCAAGCCATTCATATGACACTATTTTGCTGGCAACGTCTGGTAATAGCCCTGTAAAGGGCCCCTGACTGCAATCCAGTCACCCCCCCCCCCTCTTTAATTCGACCCTGCTGCTTAAACCCACAACTGTACAAAAGGTATCGTTGCATGATAAAGTGAGAACTTAAATTTGGAAGAACTGTTTTATAGTGGAGACATATCGAACGGCATTAGAGGTGTATCCTAAATGCACTCTGACTGCATTCGTAACGTTCTTACGGCATTCTAACAGCATTCGAAACATTCTGATCGCACTCGAAGAAGATTCAATGAGAATGAGCCGAATTGGCCGAAAAGCACCTCGAAAGCATCTCGATTGCTGTTGGAATCTATTCGTGTTACGTTCTAAATTTCGAGCCGTATTCTGTTTGAATCCTTTAACATTTGAACCATATTCGGTGGTTATTCTGGGAGCGTGCTGACTGCATTCCGGTGAATTCGTATAGCATCCGGGGCACCTTGCAACCAGACTTCGGGCAGCAATCTAAGCACACTCGTACGGCATTCGGGGTGCATTCTAAATATTCTGACAACATTCTAACAGCATTTTAAATATTCCTACTGTGTTCAAACTATATCTGAGCGCCATTCGAGAGCTAGCTACACCCGCAATGTACAAGAATCATTCAAGGCAGGTTCGAAGCGCATTCTGAGTATTCGAAAGGCATTCTTACTAAGCTGTAAGAATTTTGGTAAATTTGAAATTCCCTCCAGAATTTTGAGAATTCTTCATTCCGGCTGGTTTTGTCTGACTCCGAATACGTGTGGCTAGTCCTTTAGGTAATTCTGGCCATGTATTATTCCATGAAAGGGTATTTTATACAGAAATCTAATGGCGTGCAGTGGCGGGCGCGGGATAGTTGGTTATGGGTGTCTCAATGGTAATTTGTGGACTATCGAGAATACCGACATCTGCTTACTTTGAGTGGGTCTGCCAAGCACTCATAAAGTCCCCCCACCCATTCACCCCATCCAACAAATAGAAACAGAATAATAAGTGATTTTTACAAATAAAACCTGAAAACTGGCTGCTCGCTATTTTTTTTCAGGAGTCACAGATATATGCTGTGCATATATGATATGGATAAAGAGACTTTCAAAGAGGATCAACCACTTTGTTTTCTCTAAAATATCTTGGGTGGTTCAGACCTATAAATTGTATTAAAGCCTAGTTCAATAAAATTTCAAATTATTGTGTGTCAGGGACATAATCAGGGACATAAACTATGTAGGCGGGTTGGATGGCTGAATGTTTAGCACGTGCACGCTGTATCATAAAGCCTGTCATTGAGTCAACTGGCATGGTTTCGAATCCCCGGTTGTACGTGACAAGGAGTAGGGTCGCCTGTCCAACCTCGTGGGTTTTCTCCGGGTCCTCCGATTTCCTTCCACTGCTAAAGACCCCTACGCGCAAGCGAATTATTAAAATAAAATTAAACCATATGTTAGTCCCGAAATGACCTATAAACTATGTAGTGTTAAATTGTTTTATAAGGAGTATACCCAGCTGCTTATTGTAAGACACATATTACTAGGCCGTGTATTTTTTGAATATTGTGATTATTTTTACTTTAAATAGATAAGTGCCATGGTATCATATGTTCTAGAAAGAAAACATAGTTTGTCTCACAGAGGATACCTGTCACAATTTAAAGTCAAAAAAATACTTAAAAAGTTTTCTTTTAATCTTAATAATTATAATAACGAGAACTCCTAAGTCACTGTGGCTCCTTTGTGATAAAACATCGAATCCAACCCATGGTCACCAATATGGTCAAATAAAAAATAAAATTATAAATTTCTTATATAAGTTTTATATACAAAAGGATATAAATATAATATAGTCATGAATTTTATATCATGAATATAATAGATCATATTTGAATGACCTACTAGAAATTCTCTTTGACTAATAGCGCTCACATAAACATCCAGATTCAAACAGTTTTTACACTCTATACCAACCCATATTTTACTATTTGCTATTTGATGTCTCGTAAAACTAACAGTGTTTGACCCATTCCTGTCTTCTATGAAATATTACTTAATTCAATGAAATCAACTTATATTTAAATATATATAAACAGAACAAAAACAATATAATGATTTGACAGAAATAGTTCCAAGAAATCTGAAAAAGAACCTGAAATTGTTCAACATTTAATGATTTCAATCAAATTTAAATAGCCTTTGATTAAGAACTTTGATTCAGAGAGGAAAATCAGTATAACTAATAGAAATATGTACTTGAGTTTTAGGAAAACAATATTTGGAACAAGATTCATGTTATGTATCAAGTTCTGCTAAAGAAAGATAGTTGTGCATAGGTAAGGGAAGAATTCCTCTCAATGCTTGTAACTTTTTCACAAATTCTGGTTTCAGAAACTGGCGAACGCGAATCCGACATTGTTGTTGTAGAATTACAGGGCGTATCATAAGATTGAGATTGCTTTCAATAGTTTGATAAAAATCATTCAGAGTAAATGTATGATAAATGGCTGACTTTTTAAATTTAGCTCCTGCCATGAATAAAATCTTCACCATTTCAAGGTTATTTTGGACCAAAGCACATATCAAAGGGGACATGGACTCTCCTTGGGTAACTCCTGGTATATCAACATCACAATTATGTTGTAACAATATCACTGCACATTCAATATGACCTTTACAGGTTGCATGCAACAGGGGAGTTTTATGTAGATAGTCACATACATCAGGGTCAGCACCTTTGTCTAAAAGCAAGTGTGTAAAATCTGTTCTTCCTCTAATGACTGCCGCATGTAAAGCAGTCTGACGAAACTTCAATGAACAGTGATGAACATCTGCACCAGAGTCAATTAAAGTTTTTATAACGGAGTCATTAGGAGCATAAATAACCGCCCATATCAATGGAGTAAATCCATTGAATTCCTGACAATTTACATCAGCCCCATTCTCCAACAGGAACCTTACTAAGAAATTATGTCCTAGTCTAGATGCCCAACACAATGCACTATTTAGTTCATCTGTTGAAATCTCTCTTTTAAAAGCTTTACAAACTTGCTCAAGTTCACCACTTTTTACAGCTTCTAATAAAGAGACTTGGTTATCCATGACAACAATTATTTATTTTACCATACATCAGATCATCACATTTTTCTTTAAGAAGACATTACCTTTCTGAAATGAAATCAATGACATATATTTTAACATCTCATCAACACAAATAAACATGTATACAGATGATCATATATTTCTAAAGGTAAGTAAGCACTGTGGGCGAGTCTGGTGTGAGTATTTCTATGGAGGCACATAAACATACATTATGCAAGAGCTAAATCTGCTTATTGCAGGTCTTTTTTTTAGGCCTGAAATGTTATCGAAATTATTAATTAGACATTAATTAACTTATCCAGACCATTATTAACTCTCGATGTCAACGCTAGCCTGTGATATTTATTGGATGAGGAACCGTTTTGCTGCTAAACTTTTATTCATGATTTAATCATGAAAAGGATAATCGAGACTATGTCTTTTATCATATCGACTTTAGTAATGACGATCGAGGCTAAGCCGCAAATTCAATCGCTGAAATCTTGGTTTAGAATGGATCAATTTGACTGAAATTTTCAGCAAATTCCATTTAATTTATCTAGATGACCTGGTGCCTGGTACGTTCGGGCATTTGCTACTAAACAAACCCATCGGTTTATTTTCTCAACAGTGTGACCCGAAGTGACCGCGGATTTATTGACCTTGTATGAACTTATCCATAGCTATATCCTTACACCGAGAGAAATTATCTAGTCTCGGTGAAAAGAACCATGGTCATCTGGTAGAAAATTACTTTTGTATTTTTTGGAACGGAAAACAGTGTTTTTAGAAGCAAATTAACCTGCCGCACATGAGGAAGTCATTATACTAATAATAAAAGGCGAGACCTCTTTTTGCGGCGCAGGCTTATCACTGAGTAGTAAACCGTCCACAAACAATAATATAGGAAGCCTAGTGACCAGTGTAGTAAGTAGGCTATAGACTATAGGTTTGAGTCGAGATTACTCGCTTTCAGTTTACTCTGTTTTTGCGATAACCAATTATGTGAGAAATACCATACTGACATTCGGTTTTTAAAAGTTGTACGCGAACTAAATGCATTTGTTAGATACTGACAGAGCAGCCCCGAGTCGAACAATCGCCGCCCGAGCTGTCTTCGTCAGCTAGTTTCACAATATCGTGCAATAGGTGTATTAATGTGATTTTTAAGTTTAACCCCGCAAACAATGCCAAAATAGTGTTTTCACTGCTTACAGAAAACTGAAATTTTAAAAAAAAATTTTTTATGAGGGTGACCCTCCCACACACTCCCTATCGAGCTCCCGCTCGGTCTGCGCAGCCTCATGCCTGGCACATACTGTCAACATTGTATATTTTTCCGTTTCCGCCCTTCCCCCCCACAATTGCGACGGTACCAGCATACCCAGTTGTTGACACCCATTACATCACTCCTGTCTAACAAATCATAAAGCCACTCTAACCATTCATAATACATCTAACTATCCCTTTACAGCACTTCACTCCCTACACATTTGCCCTCGTCCTACTTTCCCAAACGTCAACAACACATCTCATACATCCAGTTCGCTGATTAACCCTTGTACCACGTCTACTGGATTTTAACTATTATAGTGAGAACTGCCAGCTCTTTATCTAATCTCCCATAATGTATCTTTAAATTCTATTTACATATATGTACATGTACCATGCACACTGGATCTCCAATTGTAAAGTGAAATGAAGTCCTGGACTTCAGAGATTTGCTATTGTTTACATATGATATTCAGTCTGTGATACATGAATTTTTAGTGACATATAAATTTGAGACTGCACTAGATGAACTACTTAAATAGCAATTACATTATAAATATAACCCTGACCAAGAAAATAAATGTAAATTAATATTAATAATAACCCTAGTCTCACCTACATGTAAATAAGTATAGAAAATCATAGCAGTGACCTACTTAGTAAATTGAAAATTCACACAAGTAACTCAGAAGGGTTTAGAAGATTTATTTCAAATTAGACATACAAAAAAATTTGAAAATGCCTTCAATGTAACTGCATATTCAAGCCATTTCAATATCATAATTAAATTGAAAATTATTATTTTACCAACCGATGATTTTCTTTTTTCTATTTAAACAATATTTTTATTCAGGATATTTGAATGGGATTGGGCCACTTAGCCTATGTAAAACCCCACTCTCTCTCTCCAACCATTGATGACTCCCAATTAAGCGCTAATGTCTCTATAACCACAAAAAGTGAATATATCTTGGAACACAAACAGCAACATACAAACCTCAATACAATGTTCAATTTCAGATTGAACCTGTAGATTACGATTCCCATCAAATTCCTTACGTAATCTTTTCAAATAATATTCTTTATCAGTGTACTTTAAATTTTTACCATATCTAAACAGCATTCGATACAAACTGAGTACAGTACCTCTAGTGACGTCCATAATCACTGAAAAATTAAAAAGATCAATTTAAATGGAAAATGGTTGTAAAGCCATATAAATTTGCTAATTAAAACTTTATGAAAAAGTATCTGTAGTAAAAGAAGTTTTATTTGCTTAAAAATACAATACAACTTGAGGACATGAACTGCAAATAAATTCGAATTGTGCAAAAATATGCCAGAAAAGACTGTTTAACTCCCCAACAACAGTTTGACAGCTGGGAATTTGTTTGCCATCAATTACAAATGAGAGGATCTCTCAAAATTGACAAATATGTCAGATTGATGGAACATCTGTACCTAACATACATGCGACACTGCATATCCATTATTTTGTTGCTCTCGATTTTCTATCCAAACACTGGAAACTAATTTAATATGTTACTCTTTCTTGCCCACAAAACTTAATGACAACAAAAGAGTCACGTGATATTTTGTTTACCGTACAAGGTCAAGGTCGATTTTTCGTGACCCTCAAAAATAAAAATAAGATTTTGGAGAGAATATCAGTGGCAGCGTGAAAAAAAAAAACCCCAAAACACTTCATGTTTTTGTCTGGTGTACGCAGCTTGTCTTAATCGGTTAAATCCCCAGAGCTATAAACATATTTTATGGTGCGGGCGGTACCTTTTGTTTATTTCTTCTTTTCTGTCCTCGTGTTCTTTAAAATAAAGTCGACCAGTAATTGTAAAATTATAAACTTGAGTAAAGAACGAACGAAATATTTTATTACCTTATTTTATATTTTAATTAGAACATATTCAGTTTCAGTAAGAGTCACGTCAATTTTTCTAAAGCGTTCAAAGGAATCTGTATTTGAAATTTACGTTAAAATAGTATCAATGGATTTCTGAAATATTCAGATCTGTTCGAGTGAGAATTTGGACGCAACATTCAACAGGTGGCGCTGTCAATGCAATGGTTGACAAGACGCTAGTTGTCCTAATTTTGCAAGAATAATTGACTAATTTAAGGTATTTATATGTCATGATATCATAATTATTTAAGAAATATAGTCTTGTTATAAATATATCTTCTTGGCGTTTAAAAAGCGCGTGAAAACCTCGAACTTTGTGCCGTAATTTTCAAGTAATTGGTTGGTTGGTGGGGAAAACAAATCCCTTACCGAAAAGAAGCAAGTACCTGCAAGTTCTGACCTCAGCGCGTCAAATTAAGGTATGATGATCATGGTTGGTTATTTTGAATTGTGACCATCTATCTACAGAATTTAAACAGTTCACTGTGTATTCTAGGTATATTTCGGTTAAGACTGTCGTAATTATCCAGGTTGCATTTAGAGAAGGTAGCTAAAATCGTTGATGATATACCGAGTGATGTGTTTTGTTTAACTTTTAGCTACAATTAGAAGCCTTTGGTTTCACATGGCAAACTTAATTTCTTTAGACTATTATGAGATCGTTTTATATTATTAGGGCTAACTAAACATACCTGCCCCAAGGTAGCCTAGTAACACAACTATCTGTTAACTGCAAATATATTGACAGATATGTTAATCAAGAATCAAGCTTGTTGTGGTTTTTTTTTTGGTGACTTGGAATGTCCTTTCCTGTATTTGCGATTTTTCCCTTGACTAAGTCGCACATTTTAATGGGCTGTTGTTCACGTCATATATTTGGCCCCACCTTCATGACGTTTAGATTTAGATGTCAGACCTCTCCCATAGGCGTAGCAAAAGATTGTAACACTTTGATTTAAAAGGGATGATTTGTACCCATGTCAGGTAGGATTATGTCCTTAATTGAAGTTGGTTATGACAGGAATGTGATAAATAATATTAATCAATGACTGTTTTGAAGAAAACATTGGCAGTTTTGCTTTGTGATTTCTGACGTACTTTACATGTACATGCCAGAAAGAACCATCTCATTGTGGCACTCAGGGTTGAGCTATGAAGTTTTTTTTATCTAGGTTGCATTCTGTTGCCCTGTCACTTTCATACACATACGTGTATATGTAGTATAGCTTATCTATGATGTAACATGTATCTGTGGCATGCTATGGCCATTGTCCTTAGACTTTTGTATAATCTTTGCAGCATTATACATCTATCTCTTGTGAAGGAAATTGGCATAGGAAATATAGTTTTAGCTAAATTAGCTTACCCATGGCAATAAATTGGACCAACCGGAAGTATGCCATTACATTTGACTCAGATAATTGTCAGTAATGTGCAGGATTTTTGTCACATAAATTTTTGAATGTTTGTAAAATTTAGTGATTAAAATATTGCTGTATAAACTATTCATATAAAAATTGATTATGATATATATGCACAAAACATTTTTTTTTAAATCATTGTTTTACAGGTTTAATCTAAATAAAGATATGTCACGGGAAGTGCCCAAATTGAAGCTTCATCTTTATAATTTTGAGGATGGCCAGTATGAGGACAGTAAATATGTCTTAACCAGTCCAAGATCACTAGAGGCATGTTCGAGGCTTGATGTTAAACCAGTTGATTTGCTTTACAAACCTCTTTCTGAATACCAGGAAGAGCTTCTTCCACAAGATATTCCTTTACGAACTATATTTAATATTTATGATGAACAGGAACAAGCTAGACAGAGTAAGTATGTGTACACCATGCACATATCATATATATTAAATTTAAAGAGAATTTCATATTAAATCATTCATGGTGTAACTAGAATCTGTAATTATCATTTACAGCCTAGCCAATCTCATAGAGTCCCACATTTTTCTAATACATACATGTACCAGTAGTTCGAAAACTCAATAATAAATAATAATGACATCTGTTTACAGTCAGCAGCTTCATTGAGTTATAGTACAACTTCTATGTTAGAAATAGAAGATAGTACTAGATAATGATGACATTGACTGCATGTACACACTGCTCAACTTTTGGAAATATCCTATAGACACTATTGTAACGGTACTTAAAGGATATGTTAGTGACATCATTAATGTGACTTCATTAATGTTACCAGATTGTTCAGTCAAAATTAACCGTTGGTCATGTTTCTGTCAATTCCAATAGACATTGGCTGGTACTGGTCCCATAATAGAAACAGTCTTTGATTTTTGTTATAAAATAAATTGCTTACTTATTTTAGCTATCATAGACAGGAACTCTAATTCTGTGTCGAACATCAATTCATTGTCCCTGCCATCAATACCTTGTAATATATCTCTAAAGGTTCGAGTTCTTTAGATTTGTTTTTCAAATGTCCTTGAATTGTTTGATCATATTAAATCCTTTCAAAAATCAAGAGTTATTGCCCTTATGGTCAAAATTTTCTTTTGAAACTTTTAGGAATTGTTCCACTAGTCCTGGAGATGAAATCTATGAAAGTCCAGTGTCACATGTCAGTTATTTGCAGAATTATTGCCCTTGCCACCAGAAGCCTTACTCATACATTAAAATGACATTGTAGGAAAATTGAGATGGAATCTACTAAAATTCTAATTTACTCAAGATAATCATGAATACTAAACAAAGCAGTGTTCCAGATTTTTTTCAAAATTCATGTGCTTGTTTGATTAAAGAGATCTGGTGGTGGGGGAAGGGTATATATCTCACAATCACATTTACCTGTACTGATTGTTGACCCAAATCAATATTTTAGTGGAAAGACTCCTTTTTGTCTCATATTACCATGCTTGACATCTACTATAAGTCCTTTATAATCATGTGTACATTTCTATTTTTCTATTTAGCCAAATTACAATTGTGTAGAAAAGAAAGAAGTCGTATCATCGAGGATGAAAGGGAAAATAGACGAGTAGGTCGCAGCTTGTCTTTAGAACGGCCATCAAGTGCTAGACCATCAAGAAGACAAAAATGTATAAAGATCACTCGATCATATTCTGGTGAGCAATTGGTTAAAAATAATTAATTCCTAGTTCTATTAAATATTAAATAATGCTTAAAGATGTGTTATTTAAGAGCTTAATCTTCCTATTGCACATCTTTCTTTTGGCCTGAAATGTTGTATTTATTATTAGACATTTATTCATATGACAAGCACATAATGAACTATCTAGACCACCCACAAGATTTTGAAATATAACGATAAAATGGATAATAGAGACTTAGTCGCGGTTGTCAACTACCATTGCTACGATAATAAACGATATTCAAACCTTCATATCTTCACCCAGAATAAAGTAATTTGAATGAAATTTTCAAACCCAGTATATTCATTCTTCATTTTGAACTATTATAGTCTATTGATTGGGTTGCAAGATTGTTCATATGGTATTAGGCTATACTACAGATCATTCTGAGTTTGTCTTTTTTGTTTGATAACATTATATGTGTACAATACAAAATAAAATGACTTCAGACGATGATTTAAGTCAAGAAAAATTACAGAGAAAAAGAACTGCTTGGGCAACTAGTCTTGGTCATAAACGTTTTACCCATAATGAACTAGAAGAAAGGTGAGTTAACCCCCGTCTAGCTAGTTACTGTGCATTATCTTTCTTTTAAATCATTTGTACAGTTTGCCCTTTTAAATATGAGTTAATGATACAGTAATTAAGATTTTGTTGATGGAATAAATATTTTGATCCTGTATTATTACAGTACTCCTAAAAAGCCTGTTTGTCTCAGTTATAAAGTCTCAAGAAAAATTAAACATACACTCTGCCCCAGATGAAAAATGTGATATGGGCTAAAGTCCGCATCCAATAATTGTTGACAATAAAAATGATCTTGTTAGTCTGAAAATGATAGTAATATTGTGCTGACAAGATATTTAAAGAGGCAGTTCCAAATTTCCCAGAGCGCTGTAAATAAAAGTGGATTTAAGAATATGATGATGGTTATTGACCTAGTGTGTAAATGTCATCAAAGTATTGAGGTTTTCAAAAATGAGCTCAACATAATTTTGCTTAATGGGTTTTTTTTTCTTCAATTTTTGTAAGAGTGACTTGATAATCAGACAAACACATTCAACTTTGATTTCGGCAAGTATATATCACATGTATATCTACACACTTATGTAGCATGAAATTTGTGGATTTATAGCTACTGACCACACTTGCAAACTAAAAGTTTCAATTTTTGAAAGAGTACCACAGACCTTTGGGATACATGTAGTCTTTCATCTGGAACAAATTTAATCTCAATCCTATCCTTATGTTTTAAATAGAGCAAGAGAACTACATGAAGAAAGCCAAAGATTAAGAAAAATATTACTAGCCAGGAAAGAAGACAAATCTGATCAGTGAGTGTTGATCAAATATATTTATTAACATTTTTTAGGAATATGATATTGTATAATAATGAACATTCCACTTCACAGATTTTATATAATAGGATGTATCTATAAAATTAATGATAATGGCTTATCATATTCAGCAATGTGGTGTCTGTTTTTTAACAGAAATATAGAGATTTAAATGCAGATAGAAAAAATAAAGATAGCAAAACAGTTGCCTTTTTTCAAAATAAGATTACCTTTCTTTTATTTAGTCAAAGTCGCAGCAGAAGAACCAAAAATTTTAATAGTTCACCAAAGTCTAGAAGGTCAAGTGTATCGAATTTATCTCGAACTAGTTATAATGATAAAATACCCAGTAGATCTCATTCAGTATCAAGATTAGCATCATCTACCACCAGTGACATCACCATTCCACCTCGGGTAAGTTACACTTTGTCACCAGTTCAACTTTGGGTTCTAGCTTTAGTTCAATTCGTAAAAATTGTAGTAGTAACATCTTATAATGATCAGTTGATTTAATGTGTTTTGAGGGATGTCTATGATTTTGTGTTCAGCTATCGATGTTTGAAAAATAATATAAAATTAATTGCAAAGTTACCAAAGGTTAGACATGGCAACGCCCTTAAGCCAGAATGCCCCCCCCCCCCATTTGTAGACTTATGAAATGAGCGCAGTAGTGTTAAATGAAGTTTATCTTGATTGGTCATTAGGGCGTTGGGATAGAATAAATGAGTTTCTTTGGGCATTTCGAATTCAAAATAATTAAGGCACAATTCTTCACCTGTACATTTTAATTGAAATGTTTATTTTTTTCCCAGGATCAAAGAATTATTGAAATAATGAAGGCTAAACGAGAAGAAGAGATAGCGCTGAATAAATTACGTAGAAAGGCTGTTTTAGCGTGGGATAAAGATAGGAAACTTGAAAATGAAGCTAGAAATGAGGCAGAAAATAGACGAAGGAAATTATTGACTAATGAAAGTAAAATTGATGAACGTAGACGTGTAAGTGTTTTAATATTTTGATAATAACTAACAGACAGCCATTAAAGTAGTATTAAAATACAGATGAGATGTTGGCATCCCTTTACGTGAAATAACCATCAAATAGCCAATTAGTACTATTAAAATACAGATGAGATATTGGACTCATGTGATGGTTTCATTGATATGCGTGATAGTATCTGTATTTTAAGTTGTTTAATGATCTCGAGCAAGACATTGTGTAATATATTGAAACAACACTCCGACTAATGTTCAGAGCAGTATCAATATGCTCTCAATCATTAAACCACACATAATGTGTTACTGACCTAGATTTTACCAAGAGATGGTGCAACATCAGTTTTATAACATTAGGTTTAATCATTTCTAACAAATTTATTTCAGAGGAAGAACCAATTAATGAGGAGAGGAATGGATGAAGAAGATCAACTCTTACAAGCAGAGAAACTTAAACAAAAAAATTTAAAATGGAAATCATCTTTCTTAAATCAGCTTCATTCCAAGGTATTAATTTTCCAAAATTTTAGGTTTTGATATGACTTGATCATATACATAGTGTTGTATTCCAAAACAATGTCTTTATTTAATCAAAATATCCTTTCTTCTTCAGTCTGGATCTAGTCAATTTTTAGAAATATGAGAATTAGTAATTATATAATGGAAAAGTGAAAGTCCTGCATGCATACTAGTAGTAAAGACTCCTCAACAGTTGTAATTTAAATAATATCCAGACAAAGATACCAATGAAAATAATATTACAATAAGTATTGATGAATCATAGTGATATATTGTGAAAAGTTTTAATAAATTTTATTTTGTTTTATATAGGAACAGAAATTAGCTGATAAAAGGATGAGAGATCAGTTAAAAAAGAGAGCACAGGTATAAAGGCCACACCGTTTTTATTATGTGATTCACTTGCTTACCACCCTTCAATTGAAACTGAATAAGTACTTGGATATCATGTTTATAAATTCATAATTAAATTATAATTCCTTTAATCATTTTCTTTGTTTTTCAGAAGAAAACTGTGGAGTTACATCATCTTGATGATATGGCTTATGTAAATTCAGTTGATAGACAACAGAAAAACACTCTAGCGAAAACACAAACACGACGAGAAAATTTACTTCATCATAATAATAAGGTAGGGTGTGTGGAGGGTACAAATCAATTTGTTACTATCCTTCGTATAAACTATAAAAATTGGATAAAGAGTCAGCTGTATTGGCAGAACTTCCCTCATAGAAAATGACATGACATAACCCCGTCTTCATCAGCTAGGTTGGTGTATTAAGTCAAACATTAAACCTCATATCATTTCGTCTATTTGAATGTGACAATACAGTATTCAATTATGTGTATTAAGAAGGAAATTCTGATAATTATCTTAAAATTGAATAAATATGTGAATTTTTATTTTAACAGAATCATTTAATGAACAATAGAAATGAACGAAGATTACATCAATCCAAGAAAAATATCATAGATAAATCATTGGTGTAAGTTTAATTATCAAATTCAATTTTTCTGGATTTTATTATGATTTTAATGTTTGCTAAATTTGAAATTGGGGAATATATTCAGTTAACTTTTTCAAACTCAAACTAAGGTCTCAATTTTCACCTAATGTAAGGTATTTACCTCAAATTGATAATCAATTGAGAAAAAATAAGGAACCATAGCTAAGGCCATTAATGTGTTTCCTTGACTTTTTGCCTTAATATTTCAGTCCTGTGTATAACATGTACTTTTGTAACATGAGATAATTTAGAGATAGATTATAGAAGCAAATATTTCTTTCTTAAACTTAAGGTACATCAATTAAATAACAATTTACACAATTAAATAACAATTTACACAATTAAATAACAATTTACACAATTAAATAACAATTTACACACGTTTCCTAAACGTTAATTGAACAGGTTTCCTCCCTTATGTTCACCTTAATTTTCAGTTCTTTTTGTTTCTTGAAAAATAAATAGTCACTCAAATCACATGAAATATGTTTAGTTTAAAATTAGAGATAAGAACCAAAATTTTAATAGGTATCTTGAATTTAAATGTTTCCTTTAAGTAAGTTAACTGAATATGGGACCACTACTCAAGTTGTTTAATTCTGGTCAAATAAATCCTCAGTGCACACTAGACTTCATGAACTAAGCATATTGTCTGAACAATCTATCATGATATTTATACAGTATGTAGTAGTTCTCTTATTAGTCAAATTTGTATGTCTTAATTGACACAAACCTCGATATTTCAAAGAATTCAACTGTAAAAAATATTAAAATATAGTTTTGTTCTGAAAAGTTGTTATTGTTTGTTTGTTTATTGTTTTGTTTGTTTATTGTTTGTTTGTTTTAAATTGTGTTTCAGAGACAAGTTAGATAAATCCAGATTATTAAGTGACCTTAGACATTCACGAGCCAAATCTAATTATTCACAAATGTTGGATAGTCAGTACAGATCTATGCGTTTAATTCAGTATGTATTTTATAAAATGTAGATCTTCTTTGAGCAGTACTTAGCAATTTACACATGTAATAAACAAAAAAATATAATATGCAACACAATTACTACTTTAATTAAAGAGACGTTTCTTTGTGGGTTTTCTCAACATATTGAACATAATATTCAGAAGTTTTATATACAAATGAAAGTAGCAACTAATTAACCAATATACTTGGTATTGTATATAAACCTTCAAAATATTGATAATGTATAACATCAATTATAAAACAGAATTAAATACCTCTATTGTAAAATATTAAAAACATGGATACATAATTAATAACCAAACCGTCTCACTATATATGAACCATATTTATACAGCTTTCATCTTCACTGAGGTATTTTTATCTTTAGTCAAGCCCGGGAAGAACGACAGGAGAAAGCTCGACAGTCAATGAATAAAATGGAAGAAGAACTTGAATCGTGGAGGAAACAAGTAGTAAAAGATCGACATAAGGTATTTAAAACATTTTGTTTATCATTATTTACTGAATTTAGGCTTTAAACTTAAAGTGTTCACCCCGAAAAACAAATGGTTTTCTATTTTATAAATAACTTGCTTTCTACTATTTTTTTAGAATGATAATTATGCTGAAAATGTTGTACACAAGTTGAATGAAATGAAAGCCTTACAAGCTCACAATAAACGTCTTGCCAAAGAAATCGAACAAAAACACAAACTCAAAAGGTTGGTTATTATCTTTTCTTCATTTTGTGTCAAATTTATCATTGGATCTCTGAAACAAATGTTCCTTTAAGCATGTAAATCAAATACCAAAATGTGACCAAATAATTTGTCTTCAAGGTCAAGCTCAAAATATTGAACCGTTCTAATTCTAAAAAAAAAAAAGAATCCATGGTTCATGCACACTATAAGCACTCAAAAAAATTGTTATCATTACAAAGAATTATTTTGTAGAATTGAAGCTAATGAAGAAGCCTGGCGATATGATACACAAATAGAAATGGCCGAGAAAGAGAGAAAGGTAGAAATGTTACAGCAAGATAAAGACTATGCTGTTGAACAGGTCAGTATATACCATTAAGATGTAGACTAATACATTTAAATATTTGGAGAAAGGTATCACAGACATACCCACGACCAACAAGATTTATATATATTTGTGAAACAATCTACCAATAATTTGATTTAAAGACTCACCCCCTAATTACCCAAGATTTTTCCACATAGACAATTTCATCATGTGTGTTGTTTTTTTAATGTGATGACCCTTGCTAAAAGCTAGAAATTTTCTCAAAGTTACAATGTACAGATTTTAAAAATCAATTTTGAATGTAGCTATAAGTAATGACTGATGTCATTCATTAAGCAGTGATACAATCTTCTTATTGTTTGGTAAATTCGCAGATTTACAGTGTTTTTTGTATTATACATGAAATTATTACATATTTGTATATATTTTTCTTTTTTATTCGTAGATGCGAGCTACAGCCAAAGCAAGCCAGAATCTTCGTGATTCCATCAGAAAGAAATATGACACAGATACATTTGATAAAAAAGTTCTTCAAGCTGAAATTCATGCTAATTTAGGGAAGAGAACTCATAACAAAGCAACTAAAAATCGTTCTAGTGTGGAAATATTGTGATCAGTGGAGACTATGGGACAAATGAATAAATGGGGACACAGAAAATTATGATTTTTGTTTTAATTCACTTCGAAACAAATTCTGTTATGAGTTCAACCCCAGAGTAGGGTTACTTCAGATCTCAACTGTTGTCAACACACTCTCGCTAGTGTAGCCATTAATATACAACACATGATCATAGACCATTATCAAAATCAGACTTTCTTTCATAAGGTCACATAGTAGAAATTCTTGTAAACAAAATTGTGAAATGGTATTAAATATGCTAGAACAGTCCATATCTGAGTTGTATGTAGAACTGTGTGTGGTTTCTGTCAGAGTCTCTGGTTTCCTCCCACTACAAAAGACCCTGTGTCTGTGTACTATTGAAATAAAGAACTATGATATGTTAGTCCCAAAAAATATTTTTCGCTCCTGCTATTAATCTGTTTATCTCGTTCATATATGATTTATTATTAAAGATGATTAACATTTGATGGAATTGTAGTAAAAAATGTGTTTAATGTGGATTTCCAAGAAATATCCATTTATTTATTTTTACATCTCTATGGCCGTAGTACATAATTGACATATATGAAAATTAACCAATGGGTTAAAATACATTTTTCTCTTCATCTACTTGTTTATATATTTCATTTTATTTAAAAAATCACAGGGAATTAGATATTACCATTACTGAATAAACTAAAGAAGTGGAAATTTTTTGTCACCTTAGAACTTGAAAGCATGAAATATTTTGGTCTAACTAAACTAAATAATTGATATCACTACTATTCAGTCAAATAGTCTGGAGATATTTTGTAATAGGTTTGTTATTGTATATCAAACATAATATGATAACAAAAGAAGAACACAAACAAACTTGAAGTGTTTTCTATTTAAACAATATTGTAAATAAAACAATATCCGTCCTTTCCTATTTATATTATTTTGAAATAATAAATATTTTATTTGTGTACTTGTAAGCTGTGATATTATTACTATTGTTATATGAAATTTATTATTTCCCTGATATGACAATAAAATTATTGTAACTTTAGCAGCTTTTATTATTGCTTATATATTTCTGTTAACTTCAATATTTAGAGGTCCAGTGGGTGCTAAGTGAGTCCTTCGTTGCATTACGTTTGATTTTTGTTCCGTTTTGAACACTTTAACATATATACCATGATAAAAATATAAAAAAGAACCAAATTAGTAAGGTATCATGAGTTAACTCCATAAACTGGAGGTGATGCACCCTTATACCACCATAATAAAGAATTGGAAGTCGGCAGCTTGTTTCTCAAATCTTCTACAGGTAAGAGTTATGTACAAGCTCTAACACTCTACAAGTACAAGTTTTAGCCAGTCTTCTTCTGTACTCTACAGGGTAAAGTTCCGTACACAGTGGTATATGCAGGTTATTTTGTTAGGGAGAGATATATTCCTAAAGCAACGACCGCGAGTTTTACAACATCTAGACGTTGCTAGATTGTTCTGCAATTCCTGAACTTATAGCTACATTATCTCCCTTTAACGCAAACACGCGAATGATAGCGTTCAATCAGAGGTTGTGACAAAAACACATTCAATCAAACATGGCGACCTCCACGGAAACCTTGACATCGAACGAACCCTGAACTATGGTAATTGTGATGATCGAGGAATCTGATAGGCTCCCCAGCTGGGTCATTAGCCAATCGAAATAAGTGCCGAAATATGCAGGGTATAACGTGAAGGTTTTGATACAATGTTAAAGCAAGATCAAGCTTTCTGTTAATGATGAGGGGAAGGGGGGGGGGGGGGGGCTGTACATATTTTAGTCTAAAATGGTTTAGTGATCTAAGGGATAATAAATTTCTTGACAGACAAGAATGGGAAATTCGCAGTGGATCATCATAATAGATAACCCAAATTTCCCAATGATAGAATTATATCTGGTTATATTTCCAATTAATAAAGAGTTCTGAATTCAGTATCAACAAAATAAAAATATTTATTTCCGTATAGAAATATTTGTAAAGAAAACCATACCAAAGATGAAAAATTATATCTACTTTAATATACAAATAAAATAATACAATTAAAAGTCTGTGTATGTTGATCTGATTGTTAAAGAAAAATATTTATTGCTAACAAAATAAAACAAATGACTGTATTCAGGTCTAAGGTAGATCTGATTTGAAATGAAAGATATTAATTAAAGGTATAAATAGATTTTTTAAAATTTTATATTCAATCGCACGCTCGAGATTTTTGATATTTGTTTAGAAAGATATCTATACCAATCCGACCTAATTGGATAGCTCAATATTGGGTTAACTGTTTTGCCTCCGATATTTTTTTATCCGTAAAACTGATATTAATGACCTGGAATAATCCATTATGCCTATATAAACTAGATGGACGGCCAGTAAACCCTGTGTTTCTATGATAGCGTTTGAATTACTCGCACGATACTAGGTGACGCTGGCGACGACCCAGTCTGTCATCATCTTGAAAGTGTACTGCATACGAAATGTGTAGAATGTTTTCCATGCAGTGGTGATGTATTTAAATAATTCCTAATGTTGCATAACGGATAAGTGACTATATAAAACAATAATACGCATACACATTATTAAAGGAACTAAATCATCTATTCTTTGGGAGATAAACTGGGTAGAAAAGTACATATTGATTATTAATGTAATATGGATGTACATGTATTTAAACTGATCTACATTCAATATTTTAAATTTTTATTGTAATTTTTAATATTTATGTTCGGCGAAATACGCTTGCGTCTGGTTAGTCCGATTTGACATTTCACTTTCCTCTGACGTTTAGCCTTTTACTTCTAGGCGCCCCATTACAAATGACACTCAAAGGCGCAGAGAAAACATCGTCGCAGACTGATATTACAATGTTCATTGCATCTATCATTATTGATTGAAATGGACCAATAATATATTCTAGTTCTTTTTTTTTTAATGTCGAAGATTATGTATAATACTGAATGAGAGATTTAGCTACTTTAAACTACTACAACAAAAAGTATTAAATAAATTATAATATACAGCTTGTATTTATTCATGCTTTAATAAAAACCACTTTAACAGTTGAATGTTTCAAATATACACAAGAAGACTGTAAATTATTGACTTGAAGAAGTAAATATAAAAATAGAAATGTCTCCTTATTTACTGAAAATCCGCTGACTCGACTTTTGCGTTTTTGCAAACAATGTATAAAGCAAATACTACCAAGATGACCTGAAAAGAAAAGAAAACACTAAAATGGTGTTTTATATAAAATTTTAATGTGTCAAATAATATTTCAACACAAATAAGAAGATGTTGCGAAGGGTAGCATGGCTTTAGTTGTTTGTAGTTATTTCATAAAAATAGGATTGTGTTTGTTAATTAAAACAGTTTTAGGCGTGTCTAGTAAAATAAATAAAACAAAAAACAAACGAAGGTTTACTCCTGAACATCCGACATGGGTGGACACAAGTGCCTAACGTTAATTGCAATGTTCGCAGTGTAGTCATATCATGTTTTAACTTCTATTTCATCAGCATTTATATATTTTATCGAACATATTATAGAGCAGGAGCCCATACGTGCTAGATATTAGTATCCTACGCATCCTGGGTAAAATCTAATTTTTTAGAACACGGGAACAGTGCCTGCGAAGCTAGCCTAGTTGGGGGGCGTGGCATTTTGGGGCGTGTCTGTTAGGGGTAACCCATCGCACAAACTGTCTGGCAGTGGTCATTCATGACTCCTGTGGTGGTACTGAACAACTCCGAAGCTGTTTTAGGTAGTACAGATTTCAGCTAATCTAGCCTAGCTTTGGTCTAAATATTAGATAACTCTTGTCAGGGATACCCCACCACTACAAATGTCTGGCAATTACATAGCTCTGTCAGGGGTACCCCACCACTAGAAATGTCCGTCAGAGTGTTTTTGTAATACCTGAAGATGTACGGTACACTGCAGTAAGATTTTCGTGTGGTACACTTTTGAGCTAATCTAGCCTAGTTGGGGATCATGGCATTTAGGGCGTGGAACACCACACCCACCACCAGAAACCCGGCAGACTTACATTCTGATGATACCAGATATACATACATTGATACCATATAGGAGAAAATTGGTACACTTTTCAGCTAGGTTGACCCCCTGGACTCCCGGTCTATTAATTCATACATATTAGAGATTGTAATGATCGATTGAATTCTGTGTGGGTTCTGTTTGGTTCACACGATAGGTTCCTTACTGGATGTTGTAGCCTAATGCTTACATGCACGGGTAGGGTATGCTTGCTCTTACCGGAAAGCCTAATATTACTTGCCGTGATACACACTGGTAAGTTCACCAATTTAATGGTTGGGTATTCACTCGGGTTACATTTATTTATTACTAGCAGGATACCCAGCTTCGCTCGGGGGTCATAACTCTGAAACCGGAAGTGGTAGACTAACGCCACCTGGTCTATGGTACTCCCCGGTCCGAGCTACCCCTATACCCCAAATTTCAGACTCGGGGCAGACCTAGTGTAGCCGCCAACAGACAGACAGACAGACAAACGACAGTCACAAATATATAGATAGATGTCGTTGTAAAGGACTTAATAGTTCGCTTTCACGTTTAGATTGTCTGTGGCGTATGTGGCAGTTGAGGAGTCTAGTGATCTAACGCGTGCGCATTAGATCACAAGGTCTGCCATTCAGTAAGTGACGTGGTTTTGCTCCCAAGCATGTACGTGACAGGGCGTAGGGTCGCCTCCCTAATATCGTATGTTTTTTCCGGGCCATTCCACTACTAAAGACCCCTTGAGCGCAATCGAATTGTTGTTATAAATTGCACCATATGATAGTCCAAAAATGACCTAGTTTGTGTAGACGTTAAACCCCAGTTTTATGTTTTGTTGGGAGATTGTGCTATATTGTCTTATAAATATTCTGACCTGTAGTATTATGATGGCTGAACATATACCAATAACCAAAGGTTGTTCTTCGTCCACAGAACTCCACAATGCGTCGTAACAACCCTGTATGAATTATTTAAACAAGATAGTATTTAAAAATACGAATAATGGTTTTGGAACCAATCGCTAGACAAGGGATCCTCTGTGCCGACCATGTTTATATCTACCAAGGGTAACTAAAGTGAATCATTGACTGAATGGTGGGTTGTGGGGGTTTCCCTTAACCTCGTGCTAAATGCTTTCAATCCGATTCACTGATTTTTCAGAAATAAAAGTATTTGAAACTGAAGTTATAGCTGCTGTACAGTGGAAACACGCCACATCAAGGCCTCGTTTATATTAAAGTTACAATTTCATATTTTTAAGTTATATTTTTAAAATATATTAAAAAAAGCCTTAAAATAGATGGTATCTATAAACAGTCCTACCTTGTTAAAGACCAATCCTATTAATCCTATAATTCACTATTGCCAGTTGAGAAATTGGCAAAAATATCATTTTCAACTTCCAATTCAAGCGTTTGAAGATAGCTACTCCATGGTAGAGAATAGTAAACAAGGGAGGTAATTGTGTTATTATTTCCGGTGTAAATGAGTTTTAAGTGGGAGAATGTCACCAATGATCGTATAATAGTGAGTTGACAACCTATTGAGCAAAAAACATAGAAATAATTATGTTTTGACTTTCTTAGAAAATATGAAATTGTAACTTTAATGTGTAAAAATAATAGTTTACCCTGTTTGCATTATTTATGTCTTTGTTCATGTAATCAGGGGATCTTGCACACGCACTAGCTTCTTTTGTTGTGGGAATTTCAACACAGCAAAATAAAGGGGTTTCAAGAGGAGGTCCGGTTGCGGTATTATTCCATGATCCACCATTCGCAATCGTCTTAAAATCTTTATAGTCGTTAACACCACAACATTTTAACTATAAAAACAATAATTATGTAAAGTTGAATGGGCGAATAATGAATGAATGAAGTTTAAAGTCCTATATGTCTACACCTACTGGGCTAATGAATACGAGCACCAGACCTGTTGAATCCAGTGTTATAAGAAAGTCGTTTGAATATTCAAGGCTTCTGTGTTCACCATAGTTTTAACAGTTTTCATTTATAGAGACATATATTGTAGCTTAATATCACAACTTTATCTGACTGGTTACACGCAAAGTTTTAAATTGAAATACAATGAACAGTGCCCGTAGCTGCCGATAAAAAGGGATATTTATATAATTTATAAACATTTCATCCCATGAAATAGTGACGACGCATGGGTGAAACCTAACGTCACACGCTTTTAAAGTTAATTAGTTAAATATGTCGATGCACTTTTTAATCCGCTCCAATTCTTATTGTATTTTGTTTCATTCTTGCCAGCAAGCCCCCCTCCCCACGCCGACCATTACGACGACGCTTATTAACAATATATTACAGGGAAAAACCTAAAATATAACTTTAGTATTTACCGAAACCATAAGGAAATTCATGGTGACAGTATCCGAGTCTTTTGCGTCATACTGCTTATATTTGTTGGTCATATCAAGTAGTGGTTGCTTTACACTGCCATCCAGCTGAAATAGTAAAAACAAAAATCACATATATGATACTAAATTTTATATTTTGTCTCATCAAACATTATAGTCATGTTTCCACAATTCATTTTAAACAACAACCCGTGATGTTATTCATTTCCATTTAAGTCCAAGTGACTAAGAATATGGTTAAACATTTTGTAATTAAGGTAGAAACGATCAAAGTGTATTATGAAGGAATAACGTCTGGGATTAAACAATATTAACACCAAAGTTGTCTAAGATATGGTAGTAAGTTGTCGTCGCGTTTATCAAGTCACCCATAGAATTGCAATTCCTCAACTGGGTTATGTAACCCCGTTCAGGAAATATTTTTAACATTTCTGGAAGGCTTGATATTTTTTGAAAGCTTATTTTCATACAAGGTAAATAGGCTATGTCGCCATGGCTTAGTATTTAGTTTACATGTTAAAGCAAGCTGGGGCCTCCAATGGGGGGAGGCAACCCAGGCGTAGAGAACTTTAGGGGGAGTGGCAGCGCCGGGGAATGTTTAGTTCTGTGGCACATGCTAGAGTCGAGTTGACGTATATCTGAGCCATGACATACCACACATTGATACTTGGTTAAGGGATAATGATTAGGTCCTGAAGATCTGAGTCCCTATTCAAAGTATGTTTTAAGTCTACGATAGTCACTTAACTACTAGATTTCACTTAAATGTACGTAACTTCCTGTAAGTAATGGGTAAGCGGTATTCAAAGTCAATGTTAAGTATCAAATTTTCCCTTAAAGTTAAGCTGCCTCAAACTTTTTTTATATCATCAGCTTTGATATGGTGGCTGATTGGTATCATGCCATGTTGTCGTGATGTTGCCTTTCATGATTCCTCCCTGATAGAGGTGCAGGGCGGAGGGCCCGGCAAGGAATAGCGTATAGTCGTTGGGATTCGACAAAAAACAACGTCCCATGTACATTCTGACGTGCACGTAAAAGACCCCCTTACAGTTGGAATTCAATAGAAATTGAGGCCGTAGCACCGCTATCCGGACAAAGTTTCCATTTATAGCACACTGTAGAGCGTATGCCCGTCTTCATTAGCCCAGTTGGAGCAGAACATTTCATTTGCCTACACCAAACGGAGAGAGAGAGAGAGAAATGGGGTTTAACGTCCACTCGACACAAACTAGGTCATTTCGGGACCAACATATGGTTTAATTTTCTTTCAATAATTCGCTTGCGCTTAGTGGTCTTTAGCAGTGGGAGGAAAAGGGAGGACCCGGAGAAAACCCACGAGGTTGGACAGGCGACCCTACTCCTTGTCACGTACAACCGGGGATTCGAAACCACGCCAGTCGACTCAATGACAGACTTTATGATACAGCACGCGCACGCTAACCATTCAGCCATCCAACCCCCCTACACCAATCAGACTATTGATGTTGTAGTGCCATAATAATGTATAAGGTTACTACCACCGAGATGGTCAAGGATTTTTGTTCTGATCATATATCATGTTCGTATTGCTTAATCATGTTTTCTACGACTATCATATAATAAAGTTTGCGGCGTTAAATTCAATTGTGAAATTTTACAACTATTTATATTGCGTGGGTAATCATATCACGATTTATTTTTTTTACAATTCATTCCCATATACATAATTCTGATTGGTAATAGTATTAATAGCAACATGTTCTTGTCTTCGTTCGTATATAAATATATAATGACCCAACCGCGATGGTGGCCCAACGAAACCAGTTGGTCTCAGGACCAAGAGCTACCTAGTCACCCATTGACAATTTTACCACGGGGCTAAATACGGAATTGGGATTATAAATCACTAGAAGCACTTTAACTGGTTATCTAAGCTACTGAGGGGTGCGAAGGGCACATAGCTACACACACTCCTATACCCAGGTACGAAATCTATTGGATTCGACGTTATCAACCATTTCCAGTTTCTTTTTTTTGTTGCATTTTTGTTTACCCGTGCAGCATGCCTCTGGCAACCTATTTTATGAAACCATGGGTTCGCCATAGAAATTAGCGTATACAGATTTTGGTTTAGCCAATGCAATGTAACATTTATCTAAAGAAACTCCAACTGAAAAACCCAATGTTTGGTGAAGAATTTGTCTTAGTGACAAGAAATAAGTTTTTTACTTTTATACCTTTATATGGTTATAGAAGTCTTATAGTATCAAAGTGGAAGTCCTGGATTCCACTGGGTATACAAACGTAAATGTGTGCATAAAAAGTCCAAATTGCTTCTCTGGAAGTTTTAGCTCAAAACATAGAGCTGTTCTGCAGTTATCCGGAATTTGCTTCGCGAGGTTATGTTACTCACTGATATAGAAAGCTAGGTGTTAAAAAACAGGTTTTTACTGATATACAAAGCTAGAGGTATATAATAGGTTTTATTGAAATGAAATGAAATGAAATGGGGTTTAACGTCCCACTGTTCTGCTCCTATACTGGGCTAATGAAGACGGGAATACGCCATACAGTGTGCTATGAGGGAAATTTTGCCCGGGCAGCGGCACTATCGCCTACTCTTATATCGAATTCCAATTGCCAAGGGATCTTTTACGTGCATTCCAATGTATACACGGGACCTCGGTTTTTCGTCTCATCCGAAGGACTAGACAGCTGTCCTTGTCAGGCCCTCCGTTCTACACCACTGACAAGGGGGGATATAGAAAGCTAGGTGTATATAGTAGGTTTTTACTGATATAGAAAGCTAGGTGTATATAATAGGTTTTACTGATATAGAAAGCTAGGTGTATATAATATGTTCTACTGATATAGAAAGCTAGGTGTATATAATAGATTTTTACTGATATAGAAAGCTAGGTGTATATAGTAGGTTTTTACTGATATAGAAAGCTAGGTGTATATAATAGGTTTTTACTGATATAGAAAGCTAGGTGTATATAATAGGTTTTACTGATAGAAAGCTAATTGTATATAATAAGTTTTTTGATATTAGGATTACTTACCACGTCTCTCTGTGAAAAGACTATAATGAGGAAAATAATCTGAGCCAAGATAAGCAAGATCATCAATACGACATACTGAAAAACAAATTATATCGTCATTGTATAATTTCACCACTGTTTTCATAAGCCCGGTTCCTGTAGAAAAGTAGGACGTTAAACCCCACATGGTTTTGCCGTTGCTAAAGTCGTACAAATCAACGTGCGTCACATACTTATTTTTAAAATTTTTTTTTTAAAAATCACTGTTATAAAATCTGTAACGTAATTTCTGATTAACAAAAATTAGATCGCGCCAAAAAATTCAAGTCTAAGCTATCGCTCCAAAGGCTGCATAAATTATGTACCTGCTTACCATTCCTAGAAGATATGATACTACGTGTATTTTTTCTGGGAAATTCAAATTTGTCCTGTTGTATTTTAAGTTTAAGAATATTACAAGATTTGGTTCTTGTCTTTGAAAAGGGGATTTCTTTGACACTTTCAACACTATAGACTTAGGTTGCGTGTATGTGAGAATAAATTCGCCTTTACATGTATAAATTCAAACGGTTTTAAGAAAAGTGTTTTAATTAAATTTGGTATTTTCCATATTACGAACAGCAATACCGGTCCTATGGCTAGAAGTGTAGAATGATGCATCAACCGGAATGGGGTGGCTTAAATTGTGACGTTTGTTTTTGCAATACGATTGGGAAGAGGGGAATTAGAATCAATTAGAATCTTGTCCTACTATTCTTCTAGAAATTTCAACTGCCAAGGGTTCGTCTACATTTGGAAGTGACGACATTTAGTCAGTCGGAACAACTACACTGTATTCAAACTTGCTTGTCAACATCTTACGCTTGAATTAAATAAATACGTACCACAATTAGAGAACAATTCACTTTACAGCATCCACCGATCAACCCCAATAAACCAATTAGAAAGAAGAAGATACCAAAGATAATGAGGGCGTATGCTGCCGCCTGGAAGAGTTCCGTCAGGTTTTCAACTGGGAAACCTGTACCCTCGGTAAGTTTTACTGCAGCGAATTGTCCACTACTAGAATCAAGAAGAAATTGAATTCCTGGTATATAGGCAGCTGCTAAAATTCCAAACACCAGAAGTACGAAGCCAATTATCTGTCAAATAAAACAATTTAAACACCATTTATTTGATATACTCCTTTGCGAATCACTGTTATCTATTAAGTAATATATGTATACAAATAAATATTATTGTCATGAATTAAGCAACATGGATTTAAATTTCAGAAAATATGTTCTTAAACAGCCCATACTGCATATTTTCTCGGATCTCATCGCTGTATTAAAATGGATACAGTTACCGATTGACAAATATAAATACTATTGTTCATTTCATTGAAAAACAACACAGCCATGTATCTATCCCATTGTTAATCTTTACCAGTGCTTTAGTTTATTTTGATTTCGTCTGTTTCTTACAATTGAAATTATGATCATTGGTCTATAAAATAGTCGATATATAACTTATATATCCAAATCCGAGCCACAGTGCTTGGGAAATTGCGAAGCGACTATATCAAATCCTAGCAACATTGGCAGAGGGCATGGGTGCGGGTCGGTTTCTAGAGATGTCTGGTTTCGTGTTCAGCTTACCTCTGTCTGAAATACCACGATACCATGAATAGCTCATTAAACGCTGTTTGGACCTAAATGGATATTAAAATTAAGACCACTCACCATAACCAATGTATTTAAAATACCCAGAATTATTCGACCTGTTACCGAGAAGCAGTCATCATTAGAACCCATCTTATCAGTAGGCTCTTATGTCTGAAATACAAAAAATAGGAACGGAAATTGTTGTAAATAGTACAAATCTCAATAATTTAAATAAGTTTTATCGACATTTAAACATACATTATGCAAGAGCTAAATCTGCCTATTGCAGGTCTTTCTTTAGGCCTGAAATTTTATCTAAATTATTAATTAGACATTAATTAACTTATCCAGACCATAATCAACTCTCGATGGCATCGCTAGCCTGCGATGTTTATTGGATTAGATTCCGATTTGCTGTTCGACTTCCATTCATAATTAAATCAAAAAAACGGATAATCGAGACTATGTTTTTATCCCACTGACTTTAGTAATGATGATCGAGGCTAGCCCCAATATTCAATCGTTTAAAATCTCGGTTCAGAGTGGATCAATTTGTCTGAAATTTTCAGCAAATTCCCTTAATATTATCTAGTTTTTAACTATTATAGTGAGAACTGCCAGCTTTTTATCTAATCTCCCATAATGTATCTTGAAGCTTTTCAAATGTGATAACTTGTGAACTGCGTACCTTTTGATTTTATAATCAATTGATGTGTAAATAAAGTATTTTTGATATGAACGTAATCCTGTTTATATGATGTCTATTGGCTAGGGATTTGACGTCACCGTGGTAAAGTAACGGGAGACTTCAAGAATAGGATTTATACGATGTTTTGTCTTGTTTTCTCTTATAATATTGTGGTTTTCTTCGACAAAATTCCACGCGGGTTCTCCATTTAGACGAATTTGTATATGAAATAAGACCTATACACAAATTTGGTAATTTCGTCCTAATTGAATTAAGTATCTCACATTTCAGAGCTATAAGGTTGTTATTTGTGAGGAACTAAAGTTCTTTATATGTATTCCTTGTTTATTTATTTTAATTTATTATTTATACAGGTCACAATTCTATGGAATACAATTACTGCTTATATAACTGAGCGACGTTTCGACTAGGCTTCTCTAGTCATTAACATTCCTTGATAATGACTAGATAATCATAGTCGAAACGTCGCTCATCATTGCTTGATAAAGGTTACAATTGAAAGTCCTGGGTTAATGCTTGATGATTTCCACGGGCAGTGAAAAGGGAAAAGGGGAAAATTGAGAAATTACAAATTATTCATAAAACTGTATTCTTCCCACAACTGCTTACTGATTTCATAAGTCGTTCAACGTTATTGGGATTTATGAAATATGCTATACCTCATGTGATATATATATCCAAGGTCCGTTGTATAAATAACGGCGTGTAACTATGTTTATGTTATAATAAATCATATTGGCTAACTGCTGTATCAGACTCGCCAACCCACCACACCACCCCTACCCTAACTCCCCGCCATTCTTTTTTGCGTATGACTTTTATTCAGTGGCGGATCCAGGAATTTTTGCAGGTGGGGGGGGGGTCATTTTCCTGAGATAATGTATCTCCCCCACCCTCCCGCATGGTCTCTATCGTCATTCTGGCGTATATACATACACACACATTGAGCTTTTTAACCAGAAATTCAACACCTCGTTTGACGTCAATTTTTATTATGAATTAATACAATGACATTGTGATTCAATTTCATGGATGCAAAGCATTAATTGTGATATCACATAATATAATGTCTAAATCATTATCTCGTGCTTTGAGTGCCCATCCTGTCCCAAATCTGACGATAAAGGATAAAGCACACGCCGGTGAAACCTTTCTCATAAAAAGTGTTGATTTACCAAAAAAAAATATGTAGCTGAGCAGGGGGGGGGGGGGTCGACCCCCACCCCCACCCCCTCTGGATCCGCCCCTGCATCCAGGCCAATGGTTTCAATATATAAACAAAAATTTTAGGCCAGGAATTAGGCACCATAATAATTATGGTTGTCTTCGTAAAAAGGTTCGTAAATTCAAGTAACATCGATATGAAACTTGACATGCGTGTTCCTTGTACAAATATACTTCGATTGGTTTTGTAGGCCGATGAACTCCTCAGTTGAATTATACTTTTATGAACATAAAATATGTACTGCAGCACCGTGCCTTGCTCTCCACCATCATCGACAACTTAAGATAACCAGACCATCCTTTTAAATGCGAATTGATTTGAGCAAATTTAAAGGAACAGTTCCGCTGTTAAAAAATTTAAAGGAAAATCGCTTGGTGTTTAATTAACAAATTAATACGCCGACTGCCGCATTAGGAGGGGAAATGCCTGTCACTGGAGAGAGAGAGAGAGAGAGAGAGAGAGAGAGAGCTGGGGTTTAACGTCCACTCGACACAAACTAGGTCATTTCGGGACTAACATATGGGTTTTAATTTTATTTCAATAATTCGCTTGCGCGTAGGGGTCTTTAGCAGTGGGAGGAAACCGGGGGACCCGGGGAAAACCCACGAGGCTGGACAGGCCCCCCTACTCCTTGTCACGTACAACCGGGTACTCGAAACCACGCCAGTTGACTCAATGACAGACCTTATGATACAGCGTGCACATGCTAACCATTCGCGCCCCCTCCTCCCCTGTAAATAAACAAACTGGCGCCACTGTTGGTGTTTTCCTGGTATGTCTTTTTGAATCTGGGTTAAAATTAAAATTGCAGATTTCATTGTTTTCGTTGAAAATTGTACGTCCTTTTGATAAGAGTCGATTTTAAGATTGATTTTTTAAATTTCGACATGTAAACTATTAATCCAACCAACATTAGTAAATACACAGACTACCATTTAATCTTTTTAACATAATCTTAATCGAAATAAATCATAATCTTCTTCATAGAGCGAATAATAGATTACTACGAACAATAGATTACTACGAACGAAGAGAAACGTCAGCTACACGGGAAAGAAAGGAAACAAACAGAGGTTGTTTTTTTGATAATCCACAAACTAAAGTTGATTACCTAACCAATACTCTTAATCCCCTGAACCGTCGAGTGCTTCTGAACTTCTTATAGATATTCGACATAAACGTACTTTGTTTTCTGGAGTTCTGAACTATACATGCGCGGATCCAGGATTTTTTGCAGGGGGGGGGGGGGGCGCTAAATTTGGTAAATTAGATTCAATTTGGTGCATTCTGACGTATTTCCGGAAGGTAAATTCCAAAATTACAGGTCTAAAAATCGCCAATAAAATCGCATAAAATGTCCTTAAAATGTTGATGGGGAATGCTCCCTTCACAGGTGAGGATTGATGATGAATTTAGTTTATTGTTAATCTCTAATTACCCGATTTTAAACACACGTGGTGTTACGTCTCACGCAGCAATTGTTTTAAATGCGCGTATAAAAAAGTCTTACGAATGACGACCTGTCGGAAGTATTTTACCTGCACTCTCGATCGCTGTAGTAGGCCTACCTTCCACTGTTTCGCGGTAAGGGCATGTTCCAAGTTCACTTAATAAGACATTCTCTTCAGGTTTAATAATAATAATTAAATAATAATAATAATAATAAAATATAAGCGTTGAATATGTTATGTATCAAATTTTTTAAAAAAATCTTATAAATTCCCCTAGCATATTTTTTTTTTTTTTTTTTAAATTTGATAAAATAAATGACCAGGTTTTTTTTTCTTATCAACGCTGCTGATAAAATTAAAAAAACCAAACACAACAATATTCAACGTCAACAGGCGAATAGCGTTAATAAAACTCTTTAAATTTCAATTAACTTATATTTTCATACAGTACAGTATTAAAAAATTGCCGTCGTCAATAGGCGATTTGCCGTGGGGTCAATTGGTCCCGACGGCAATTTATGCTGTCGACGTTTTTGGCTAATTGTCGGAGCTGTATGTGACTATTCAGTATTTGTTTTTGCCCTCAACTCAATGTAAACAAACTCGCAATTTTTGGGTCAGATTCAGGCTTTTAGATTTAAGTTTCTCGGACCCTTCAAATTTTCAACCCTGAGCAGGGTGGGGGGCCGGACCCCCTGGACCCCCCTGTGGATCCGCGCCTGTTATTACGTTCATAGAGGTATTGAAATTTGGTTGTCTATGAATAAGCCTTACACTAGCTGACGTTTTTATGTTTATGTCCATAGAGTTATTGCAATTATGTTTATATGTATTGACTAGATTATGTTTAAATATATTTCAATGACTACTTATAGCCATGTTCTGTTTAATAAACAATGATCAATACAAGACATATATTGCGATTTCAGTATTGCATGGAGGATTACTAACAAGTGATCAACACTTGGTTGTCTATTGCCAACAGAATGTAATGTTGAGAGAGAGAGAGAGAGAGAGAGAGATGGGGTTTTAACGTCATTTCGGGACTAACATATGGTTCAATTTTATTTCAATAATTTACTTGCGCGTATGGATCTTTAGCAGTGGGATGAAACCGGAGGACCCAGAGAAAACCCACGAGGCTGGACAGGCGACCCTACTCCTTTGTCACGTACAACTGGGGAATCGAAACCACGTCTGTTGACTCAGTGACAAACCTTATGATGCAGCACGCACGCGCTAACCATTCAGTCATACACCCCCACCCCCACCGTAAAGTTTAGAAGAATAAAATCTCAAGCTATTATTACTCCACGCACCTTATGCCAGTACTTGTTTAACATAACTTTTATGTGTAGGTTTATAAAAGATATAAAACATGTCTCAATAAATTGTCCAAGTATCGTCCCGGGTCTTCTATATATCGTGGGCTGCGGCAATCACCTCCCGTTATCATTTGTCAGAAATGGCACTTGCTGGAAAATGTGCTTTATCCATCAGATGGTATAATTGGAAGGAAATTAAATTGCACACGTAACCATTAAAAGGAAAATTATCATATATTAGCTTCAAAATGAATCAAGTATTGAGTTTGAATCTTATTCCTGTCAGTTCTTCTATATTACCTGAAAGTATGCAACACCCTTGCTTTAACAAACACTGCACTTTTTATATATAATAATAAACAATCTAAGAACCAGGTTGAAAATAAGTATTTAAAAGATAATTGCCGAATTCGGATTTTCCAGTCGGGGTTTCCTTTGTCGGTGATTTAGGACGAGGGGTCTGGCGCGAAAACCTTAGGTCCCGTATATACCATCGGCAATACGTTCAAGATGCACAGATAGTTGGAAATGACAATAGGCAAAGTCCAAAGCGTCCCCATGGTTCACTGTCTGGCGTATGCTTGCTTTCAACCGTTGTTTAAAAAAGGTAATACCCCCGTCAGACTGGGGTAGCGTCCTTACTGCGACGCTACGGCGACGGAAAATGGTCGCAAAGCGCGTCAAGATCGCCATAAGCGCGGTAAACGCGTGGTGGAAACGACAGATATCGTGCTGTGGTCTCCATGGTCGTGAATGATCGCCTAGTCACCGCGTTTGTTTTAAGCATGTTCAAAACAAACGCCTAGGCTTTGCGATCTAACGTGGAAAGTTGTAATGCCCCAGTCAGACCGGGGTGGCGTCCATGCTGCGCTGCAGCGACCGTCCGGCGACCAGAAAATGCACAAGGTCGCCGGCAAACGTGAAAACAACGTACGAAAATGTCCCAAAATATTACAAACTTGAAAAAAATTAGTGTTTTCCCATCTTTCCAGGGCAGATCGCACAACCTTGGCGTTTGTTTTGAACATGCTCAAAACAAACGCCGTGACTCGGCGATTATTTGCGACCATCGAGACCACAGCGCGATATCTGGCGTTTCCACCACGCTTTTACCACGCGCTCTGGGGCCATTTTCCGTCGCCGTAGCAGCGCCGTAAAGGCGCCACCCCGGTCTGACGGGGTAAAGAACGAGACTTTTATCAATTTTGTAAATTTTGGGGGACAATTTCTCGCGTTGTGTTTTACGTTTGCCGGCGACCTTGTGCATTTTCTAGTAGCTGTACGATCGCAGCAGCGCAGTAAGGACGCCACCCGGTCTGACGGGGGCATTAGACGCCAAACCCCATTTCATTCATTCAGATTATTGTTGAATGTCATGCAGTTACCTTATTATTTAGAACCAATCATAGCTTTGATAAAGATACCTGTAAGATTACTCAAACGTTGAATGTAAAGTAGTGCTATTATGAATGTTATACATCTACTTCTAAATGGTATTTACGGATATTATCAATCATCGTGTTTAAATTGAGATATTCTAACGACTTTAGTTAAACATACATTCTGTAAGATTTAGATAAAAAGCTGACAGTTCTCGCTATAATAGTTTTAAAAATAGATAATGAAAGTGGAATATGTTGAACATTTAAGTAAAATTACTTCAGTCTGAGCGGAGTTATCGTCGATTACAGAACTGTGTAATTAAGATTGCCATTGGTACGATAATAGACATAGTCTCGATTATCCATTTTTAAATAAAATCATTAACCGCAAATCGTATTTACATCTGTTGAAAATCTTGAGCATCCGATGGCATCGAGGGTTGATTATGGTCTTGGCAAGTTAATAGATGTCTGATTAATAATTAAGGCCTAACGAAAGACCTGCAATAGGCACATTTAGGTCTTGAATAATTCCCCTATCAAAACATTTCATCGGAGCCTTTGTCGCGCTCACGAGCTTCAATATTCGAAATGTAAATGGTAGTTTTCTTTTTATATTCCAATAGACAATCATAAAGTTTTTAAAAATCTATCTCGGTCACAGTATTCATAACTCAAAATGCTAGACATGGAGAGTAATACTGTACAAAGATGTCTTGAAGAAAAAAAAAAAAATTTCGATGCAGGGTATATCTTGTATTAGATGTATTGAGGTTATTTATGAGATTCCATTTTTCAAAAACCTGTCATACCTAAATAAACTAGAGCAAATCTTGGGTTATTTAGCGAATGAGGGGGGGGGGGTGCGTGCAGGCTACATAATGTTACTGTATTCAGGAAATGAACTGGGTGTGCTGTTGACATATTCTTTGCTAATTATTTGTTTATGGTACTCGTAATATAAAACTTTACATTTAATGCAACGAAAAAATTAATTCCCAAATCTTACCTGTTAATCAGGTGTTTCCTTTAAACTTTTTCTTTGGGGTGTATCAAAAACGGTCTGACGTGCTCAACAGTACGATACAAATATATTTCCCCAATATAGCTATTGACCTATGGCTTAAGTCTATGCACTTACTGTTGTAAGTTGTCAAAACATATCGAAATAATCAGTTGTGACACAAGTACATACAATGGTCTCTCTCAATGGTGTTATTGTAAAAAAAGAATTACGTGGTTCTAAAGTATAACGTCTTACTGTTCTACACAGAAATATTTGAATTCGGTTAATGCGCTTTTACATTGGAAAAGGTTTTTATTCATTGCCAAATGACTAACGTCCATTGCGCAACCTAACTGAATCTTGCGCTTGTTAAATATTATCTGCTTCATGTCTGCAGTACATGATATTTCCAGGTGAAACTTTAATGAGAGTTGCATTATGAAAAGGGGGTATATTGAAAATTTCAGTTAACTTACTTTGTTCTGAGCGAAGTTCATACTCCTCGCAGTGTTTCGTTTGATTATACCTAATCCCACCTAACACTGCTGTAAAGGAAGCAATTTTCTGTTCCAAATTATGACTGGTCAATAGTCCGATTAACAACCAATACCTAACTGCGTAATAATATCATTACCCTTTAAACAGAACTCCAAATTGAACCAAATATGTTTACATAACTTTACACAGAAGTACAGTACCAGTACATAGCAGAATATTGCAGAAAACAAAACTAATTGTGTGACAAACGCGGCTATCAAAACGAATACAATGTAAACAACACTATTTGGAGACAACAATACTTTCACCGTTTTTAATACCTTAAATCTCTGTCCAAAGTTTTAGGGAAGACCCCAGATTAAACGAAGGTCTGTCATGTTGCTGTACAGTGTACTTGTGACAGATTGGATTGAACGGGAAGACACACTACATCAAAAGCTCAAGTATCAGATGCCAATCCAGTAATGGCCAGAGAGGGATTTCTCGGACCATTGCTTCAGGAATATGAGCGAAGTTATGAATGTTGGAAGTTTTGATAAAAAATAGTGTCGATTTTCATGGCTTCCATTATTACGGTAATAAACAAAGTCTCGATTACCCATTTTTAAATTAAATTAATAAATGCCGATCGTGTTTCAATCCATTAAAAATCGCGACCACCCGATCGTCTAGTGAGTGGATTATGGGCTTGTCATGTGAACTAATGTCTCATTAATAATATATGTAGCATTTAAGACGAAATGAAAGACCTACAATGCATCTTTAATACGAATTGTCCTGGTGCAAATTGAAATGAATCCTTGCATTAACATAGTACCGTATGTTCATTGAAATAACCCGTTGTATTAAGTCACTACATATTGTTGTCGAAGAAGGTGATTCATGGTACAATGTAAGGGAAAAAAACAACTAAAACACAGACAGCTGATTTGCTTGTAATTGTATTTTTATTTCTAGATAACATTGTACAGTGAATGAAGAACAGAGGACTCGATAAACTTCATTGACTAATACCCTTCAATTTCCATATTTACTGTGCGAAAACTATTTCAGGCGATTCTGCCTCACTGTGTGGAAAGTATTTGAAATAAGGTAAGAAATACATTTCTCTTAAATAGAATATTATGTCAATCTAGATCAGTATTTAGCTGAACGGACAGTTTATTGCTATCCATGTACACTAATTCGGCCCCCCTCTTTACAATATTATATTATTCATTCGTTTAAAATATTCACAATCATATTAATTTGAATTATTGATATTTCTGGTATTATGAATATATCATATATTTAAAAAATAGATATAAAAATATAATTTATGTTTTTGTACACTATTTACATACACTGTGTATTAATATTGTTGTGATAATTATTTCTATAATACTTAATTGCATAGTTTAAAGAATCAGTTACAGAAGAATTAGATCCCGATATAAGACAGCATTCAACCTACCGCACTCTAACTAAAACCAAACATTAATTAATTTCCGTATACCCTGTGTTTTATAAAAGTCCTAATAAGTTTAAAATCATATTCGTACAAGCCAGGTCATCATTCATAAAATTTTGTTGTATTAAGGGTTCGATGCGTCATTTGAGTTTTCGCTAATATATCAAATTTCTTGAGGTGTAATACACACTAAATATGAATTCCGATTGAATTGGGCATTTAGTTAAGAAAATACAATCGAAATACCTACGCTAGATAATGCCCCGACTTACAAAACTTTGTATATACTGAATGGAATTGAACCATTTCGTCAACAGATATTCCTATTAGCCATTCATCTTTTACAATATTGTAGATTGCAAGGGATTCATATTGCTTAAATTGACGCATCGAAACACTAAACTGATAATAGTTTTTCACATTAAAGTATTTTGAACATTGTTCTATTTGTTATATTGTGTATCATTGAGCATGTTGTAGTCTGAAATTAATTAAAGTCTTTTAAAATATCTAATACCTGTCACCATGTACTTGACTTAACTTTTATGTCTTCATTTGCAACATTTGTTTTTAGTTTCAGGTGCTCATATAGCCAATATATACGGAGGGTCAAATGTGGGAATATTAACAGCAGGAATTTCCTGGGTATAATAAAATAAAATTAGACACCCACTGATGCCTCTGATTTTGCCATTCTGTAGATAATGTAAATAGCAAAGAATACTAAGATGGCCTGAAATTAACAAAACAAAAGGAATATCAATAGATTTTGTTCAGAATGATGATGTATACAATTTGTAAGCCACGTGAAAACCTCAAATGGTCTTCGCGGGAGAAATCGGATGTAAGTGGAAATATATAATTCTAGACATAGGCTAACAAAATACTCTAATTTATGGTAATTTCAAGGATTAATTTAAAACAAATTCATAAAAATTTGATCGGTTTTTATGTTAGTCCACCCACCTGAAGCACTATGATGGCTGACCAGACTCCAATAACGAGTGCTTGTTGTGTATCCACAGAACTCCATATTTCATTGTAACAACCCTGTAATGTTAAGTATTGATATCATTACAATAATAGCCAACATTGGGCGAAGTTAATACAATCAGTGAACAATACTTATATTTGAAGATAAGAAGCCAGAAACAGAAGGTATCGATCACTTTACTTACAAACAACGAGTCACATAAAGATTCAAACAATTCTGTTTCATTTCCAAACCAGAAGCAACAGGTTGCGAATTGCGTCCAAATTGTATACTGGGGCTAATGTTCTTAACCACACTTTATCTGATCGCGTCGCTTTATTTAATAACATCTCTTTGTAATCTGTTAGTTCCAGGAACACATAAACAGAACAAATTGTTCTGTGAAACAAACACTGAAGCAATATTGGAGAGAGAGAGAGAGATAGAAATGGGGTTTAACGTCCACTCGACACAAACTAGGTCATTTTGGTACTAAAATATGGTTTAATTTTTTTATTTCAATAATTCGCTTCCGCGTAGGGGTCTTTAGTAGTGGTAGGAAAACGGAGGACCCAGAGAAAACCCACGAAGTTGGACAGGCAACCCTACTCCTTCTCACGTACAACCGGGGATTTGAAACCACGCCAGTTGACTCAATGACAGGCTTTATGATACACGTGCTAACCATTCGGCCATCCAACCCCCCATTTTGGATAGAGGTACTTGGACTTACACATTAATCTTTGAATAACCTACACGTATCATTATGCTTTCAACGAGTAACCACCCTCGTAATGTTAAAAACAATGTGACGACCCAGCAACTTTGTCTCGACTGCAGCTTTTCCGAAAGGAAAACTTGGATATGGAGCAAATTCCAATCATGACCCCAATGCTTCACACCAAATTTGAAAGAAAAAAAAATCCGTTAAAAACAAGAGCTTCAAATTGTGTTCACAAGGTTTATGTTAAAGGTGGATGATTCCGGAACGGAAAATTTGGGAACACTAGATGCCGATAGGGATTGTCCCCTCATGACCACGATGCTTCGCGCCAAATTTGAAAACAAATCTGTCGCTTATATCGACTTCACAACGGATAGTCGTGAAAAGCTGAAAAGGGTTCATTCTCTCCTGACTACAATGCTTCCCAGCACAATTGAAAACAATCTGTTAAAAAGGTTTTCGGGGCACAACGCTGGTACCAAAGGTTAAAGAGCGTTGAATCCCTTTAAAAACTATCGCCTCTATCGCGTTTACAAGTCAATTGTTTACAGACGGAAGGACGGACAGGGATTTTAAATACTGGTCGTTTCAGTATCAACTAAACACGACACTTATTATCCATAAATACTTAACCGGTTTAGGTTCTTATTTTGAACCATATGAATATCGTAATATACTCTTCAAAAAAGGTAGGGGCTATTCAGAAACAATATAAAACTGCGGAAATGCTCTGCTGTTTATATACTATTGAAAAAAAGTAGGGGATATTTGATTTTTAAGTGTTATTAAAGTCACCTAATGAAACTGACGAAGAAACAAATGACAAAATGAAATGAAGTTCACATTCATCGATTTATTCCAAATGATCGTTAGACTAAGTAAGGCACAGACTGACCATTATAAGGGTAAAATGATACCCGGGGTCAAACAGCAAAGTTACCACAGCATCACAACCAAGTCAGTAACGGGTAAATCCTCCTCTGTTTGCCAAACAAGCATTGATCCGACGTGGCATACTCCTAATGAGACGTCTAAGGTCATTTTGGTCCAGATTGTCCCATTCCTGTTGCAACGCAGCAGCAAGTTCTTGGACATTGGCAGGACGTTGTTGACGTTGACGTAACCTCTGTCCAAGCATGTCCCAGACATGCTCGATGGTGGAGAGGTCGGGACTCAGTGCTGGCCAAGGTAATGTGGTGATGTTCTGTTGTTGGAGGTAACCTGTAACGATCCTGGCCCTGTGACATCTTGCGTTGTCATCCTGGAAGATGAAACGGCGGCCATGACGTCGTGCGAACGGCACAATATGGACTGCCAAGATGTTGTCCCGGTAGTACTGGCCTGTAACACGCCCTGCAACAACATGTAAAGCCGTTCTTCCAGCAACAGTGATGCCTCCCCACACCATAACAGAACCACCCCCAAATCGATCATGTCTGATGACGTTAACGTCTTGGAAGCGCTCGTTTCGACGACGCCACACCCTCCTACGTCTGTCCAAAAAATCAACAGTGAACCTTGACTCATCTGAAAACATCACATTGCTCCAGCGTCGATTATCCCAGTGTTGACGATCCCTACACCAACGACGTCTTGCCTGAATGTGATGATCTCTCAAACAAGGGATCACGCGAGGACGTCGGGCGCGAAGGTGACCCCTATGCAGTCGATTCCGAATCGTCTGGCCACTCACTCTCACACCAGTGTCTGTTTGAAGACGAGCGCTGATCTGATTTGCTGTGATGACACGATTTCTCAAGGCCAAGGTACGGATAAATCGATCCTGGGCTTGAGTTGTCGCCCTTGGTCGACCTGAGCGTGGTCTGTCCTGTACAGATTGTGTATCACGGTATCTGGACCATAGCCTGCTTATGACAGACTGAGAAACATTCATCGTCCGCGCCACAACCGCCTGTGTTGTGCCGATCTGTAGCATGCCAAGGGCACGTAACCTTTCATTTTGGGTAAGCCGACGCATATCAAAATTTGTTTTCTGGTCACTAAAACAATTAAACTGATGTTTCCACCCTGGAATTCAATGCCACAATGACTGTAACATTCAAAGTCAGAGTCGTGCAAATCTTGGGTTGGACCCCCATGATGATCCCAAGCATCACCTGCATTCCATGCGGTAGCTGTTGGTGCGTTTGGGCGTCACATGTAACTGGAAATGTTTCTTCTGTTAGGTTCCATAGTGACTTTTTTCGTAGTCATTTGCATATTTTAGTATTATGCCCCCAAAATCAAATATCCCCTACTTTTTTTGAATAGTATATTAGAGGTAACCAGTGTATGCTAATAACTGGCCAATTGCCTACACATGAACATAAACAGTTCATATGGGTGGCTTAATCTGACGACCTCATTTCACTCGCAAAGAGATACACCGTCAAAAGTGAAAATTGACGTTTTTGATTTTTGTCTTAATAATGAGTAATTGCTCCACAAATCCTCAGACATTCATCAATTCGTCGTGGCATGCCCCTAATCAACCGTCCAATCACGATTTGGGACAATCTGGTCCATTCATCTTGCAGTGCCACGGCCAATTCTTGCAGTGTTGTCGGTTGATACGCTAAACAGTAAATCTTATGCAAGAACCGATAGGAAAGCAAACGTGGATAGATAAAACAGCACGCGGCAGTTTTCATCAACCCTTCCTTGAAGTGTCAAATTTGACAATGACCCCCTCCCATGTGCAGCTCAGTGGTTCTGTTGGGGCGATAAATTCTTCATCTGTGAACATATTCTCAAAGCGTGTCAAGTGTCAATGACTATTTACCATCTCATAGCCTGCATAGGTATTTGCATTTCAATATCCCCTACTTTTTTTTTGAAGAGTATATAAAACGTCTTATTTTATAGAGGTATCGTGAATCACATGACCAAGTACTCTCGCAAATCTTCGAATTCCCTGAGTGTTGGAGCTCAGAAGATTAACACCACGCTGTAATCCGAATACAGGTGCATTCAGTATCAAAGTTACTAAAATCATGCTTTGAATAAAATGACTAAATCGATCACCAATATTGACTACTTTGCTCTAGAAAAAAGTCCGCATTCAGATTGTAAATTATTCGTCACAAAACTAAATATCTAAACACGACTTCGAAAACATCAGCACAGAACACTTACAGAAGAAAGGTCACGGCACCTGGAATTGTCGTCAATATTTCGTCGAGAGTTCGAATATTAGCACCGCCGTGCCGTTAGTAAAATTATGTCACCTGAATATGACTTGGGGACACACAGGATGTTATTATTCATGGATACTTGCATTCCATATGTCATTTTAAGTATACGGTAAAATGTTTATTATTTATTTACTAACATTTCTCGCTTTATTACTGAGTAAGGTTGCAGAATTTTATTGTAGAAAATCGCACCAGGATTTGAAAGGGTATGTTTTGGGGGCGGACATTGTCAAGTTCAACCTAGAAACGGCATTACGTCCAAGTTCAATCTAGAATTACCTTTTCTGCGTTGCTGAGGCTAGGATCCATGTAACCAGGACTCTGGGCACAAGCTGTACTAGCTGAGTTCGCTGAGGCACAACACATTACAGGAGTTGTTAGATCTTGACCCGTTGCCGTGCTATCCCATGTTCCACCTGCTGATACTTTTGTAAAATCCCTATAACTATCAACACCGCAGCACTTCAACTGTAAAATAAAAAAACTTTAATATATCTATAATCTTATGGAAAATTATATAAAACAGGCCTTTCTAATCCCTCTAGGACAAATAATGACTTGGTACTAACTTAATAGTCTAAATATCAAAATGTATTTCACACATGCGATTTTCAATAATAATAAGGGATTTCGTAAAGCTTATAGTGACCTAACGTTTCGTTCCTCACTTTCAGGTCATTTCCATCTGATATTGGTCCTAATCTTAGGTTTGTAAAGTAAGCGTCAATATATCCCAATGGGCGGGCGGTAGGGGTAGGGAAGGTCAACATCCAAACAACAGGATTTGCTTGCCAGCAACAATGAGGTCGATTATATTTTGATTGTTGTATAAATTCTATACCGTATACATAAGGAAATTCATGGTAACGGTCTCTGAATTTGTAGCATCGTACTTCTGGTATTTGTTGGTCATATCTACTAACGGTTGTTTAATACTGCCATCAATCTGAAACATATATTAAATTATGATTGTATTTTCAAATCCCTAAAACAAACCCTGTACTGATTTATGTTGGCAATTTTATTTTTATTTAAAGATGTTAGTCGTGACATGTGACGTACGGCCACTTATTGGATCTGATCTAATGATTTGATACCACGAAATGATGCTTCTCCTGATATTAATGGTTTTATGACACAGGTCAAAAGTAAGGGCTTTATATAATTATCTTTTTATATACTTATTGAGTAACAATATGTTCTTACCACTTGTCTCTGTGAAAATAATATAATAAGGGCAACAATCTGGGCGATAATAAGCAACAACAACAAAATCACATACTGAAAAAAAGAAAGATTTTATCGTTTATATTTTTATAATATTACTGATATTACAATTATCAACGACATATTTTATAATATTACAGATATTACAATTATTAACGACATATGTAATAATATTACTGATATTACAATTATTATCAACCATATATTTTATAATATTGCTGATATTACAGTTATCACAGACATTGGTTAAAGCATTTTTAATCATGCGAGCGGGGGATATTTGCGGTAAATCTGACGGCCTTTTCGGCTTAATATAAATAATTTCTTACTTTTTATTTCATCACTTTTTTAAAAACAATTTCCTGTGTTTTGTGCGTTTTTGCGAGGGCTGGCGACTTACATGTACGCCGACATCTATCTACAATTTCTGTTTTTTGCGTGGCTGTTTCCATGAAAGTTGATTGTTTGACTTTAACAAGCGACCACGTTTAAAAGTTTAAGCTGATATTTCTCATCATTATTTATACCGTATTGGTGGCCGTCCGCTCCATATTTTAAACATAATATTGATACTTACCACAATCAGAGCACATTTCACTTTACAGCAACCTCCAATTAGACCAAGCAAACCAATCAAGAAGAAAAACACACCAAAGCCAATGAGAGCATAAGCGGCAACCTTGACCAAGTCCACAAGATTCTCTGCTCCAAACGCAGCACTGCCTCCAGTACTAGCACTAGCAAAAGAATCCGTAGCTGTGGCGAAGAGCAAGTCCAATGCCGGTGTATAAGCAAATACTAAAATACCAACAATTAGTAATATGAAGCCGATTACCTGAAAAAAAGTAAAATGCAATCTAGAAATTGGGAGTGGCAAGCAATTATTTTCAACTATCATGTCAAATCAAGAGCTTTAGATTTAACAATATTTTATTCATAAACGAATGGGGTTGAGCAGCAGGCTTGAAACCTATATCGGCTCTTTCCATAGATACAAAGGTAATAAAGAGGAATATGTTATTTACAAAATATGTTTAAAAAGTGTACAAACATTAGATTTAATGAACATGTATACAGAGGTTGTCAAGAGATGCAGCTTTAGTTACATCTCTGTGTGCGTTATGTATCGTTAAACGTCACACGAAAGAGTCAATCCTTATATAAAAGATATATTTGTTTTTTGGTACTTTAATTAAAAAAAAAAATGATTATTTTAGGGGAAATCATTTGTTTCCATTAAACGCATTCCTCATTTTCCTATTTAAAACCTATACCGGATATTGTGTAGTAAATGATATTAAGCTACCCAGAAAACTTCCTACCAGCATTCGATGGACAATACAAGTATACTTTCTGTTATTTAAACAATAAATATGGATACAGTGGTCAAAGGTCGTTCTTGTTTTCAATTGACATGTAAATTCAGGTTTATAACCGACTCTTCGCGGGCTCTACCAATCCCTGTATTCTATTTGTCATCCGTTAGTCATATTACTATCCATTAACAGATTTCACAGTCTGATAAATTTCTACTGATAAATAAAGACTTACCATTACTATGGTGTTTAACACACCCAAAATGATGCGTCCACATATGGACAAACAATTATCATCTGCACCCATTTTATCTGTTAAAAACCCTCTTCAGCTATAAAATAAACAAACAAATTATCTATCAGGATTTCTCTCTATTTTAATCAAACAGACTTGTGGGTTCCTTGAAGTATAAATTGACAACTGGTTAACAAAGAATGATAAACTGTCATTAAGTCAAGCTTTGTTCAAATTGAGAACTATTTCGTTTTTTCATATCCGCGCGTGACATTTCCGATGATGACGTAGTATGATGTATTCAATTCATTGTTCATTAAGACAGCGAGGTGGACAGACGTGTTCTTGTTTCATTAAACTACGGTAATAGATTTTATTTTTAATTGAAGATACCTAGGTAGCCAATAGCCTTGGTGGCTTCGGGTTGTACCTTGGTGGTATTCAACTTTTAAAGTGCTGATGGCGTGGCGTTAAAGTATTTGTGTGGAATAATTAGTAATTTTAAGTGGAGAAATTTATTGGTGAATGTTATTTGAAGCAATTTATATATCTTAGATCGACACAATTGATTAAGAGAAATTGATGACACAACAGATTCACTAAGCGCCTTTTTTGCGTGTAAATTGTTTGTATGCTTGATTGTGGATACGTGTTTGTATTGAATTGTAGTTAGTGTCATCAGCCATGATCGGGGTTTTAGACAAGTAAACGGGTTGTGACAATGTGGCGTGATCACTTCGTCCCATTTTTCGTAGTTTTGTTTTGTTGTTTACATGATGGGTGTAATGATTTGTATCTTTCTAGCTTGGATCTTTCTTACCACTGACCCGAGGGACACTGATGCCTTAAGTCGATTTTTTTCTATTCAGGTGAGTCAGGGGTGATTTGATCTGGTTTAGTAGTATTTTCAATTGTTTATGGAATGAAATTTATTATCACTTCAGGGAAAGTATTTACAGGCTCCGTGTTTATTTGTACCAGAATGGGAGAGAAGTCGTACTTTGATTTCAGTCTGAGCTAAGCCAGAGTGGATTACACTGGGGACAGTTCTCCCTCATCACCTGACTTACACCCGACAAGTGTTACTTAACAAAGATTATATCAGTTATGTTTATAATTATTTAAATATTATTGATTTACTTGCGATGGAATAAAGAGATTTTTGTGATGTTTTGATATTTTTCGTTTCGAGTATTGTAAATAGAGGGATATGCTGGCGCTAATGCATTTGAAGGGGGTTCCGGAGATTTTAATGCATTATTGCGCCCCAATACTTCTGAAAGCTGAAGGAATTGACGTGCTTGGGATTGGTGCAGATCCTCATGTGACATTTTTGATGATGACGTAGTATGATGTATTCAATTCATTCTTCATTAAAAGAGCAAGAGTGGTAGTCACTTGTACAGGTGGACATGGGAGATGCACACTGTCCTGTTCTTAGTCGATTTGTCCCAGCCAATCCCACCCATGGTCTTTTAGTAGTGTTGATCCTCTTGCATTCAGATTTATCGCATTATTGCTTCCCAATACTTAATACGTGTGGAAGCTGGAGGAATTCACATGTTGACGATTGGTGCACATCTAGTATCGCCTAAACGGGATATACAATAATTGATAGTGCTCATACGTCATTTTTTTTAATTATCTTCCAAACAATACCATTTATGTTTTGGATGATAAATGAACCAAATTTGGTGAACGAGACATTCAGTGGCACTTGGGACTTCTACTCCCTTTATTTATACTCTCAGATGTTTGCTGGTGAACTGAACATAATTAGCAAACTGATCAGCAGTAAATATTCGCGTGATTGCTCCTATCGCTGACAGGGATGAAATCGGGACTGGTTAATTAGCTCTCAATATTAACTTTTTTCTTCTGAAAATTGAATTCTAAAGCAACTTTTTATTTATTAAGATAAACAAATAAAGGGTTCGAAGGACATCGAGATGAAAAATTCACTAGTTTGTGTCACTTTGTCCGATGTAAACCATGCACTGTAATCGACGCCATAAAAGGCTTTCGTTAGCTTAATTAGATTTATTGTCTACGATATCACCCTTGGACGTGGACTTAAAACTCCAGGTACGAACGATAATTAAATCAATGGCATTCTATGTCAGTTCGAGACTAACATGTTCCATCTTTATTTCATAAATTCGCCAGCGTGCAAGAAGGAGCTTTTTCAGTGGCAAGCTAGGAAAGTGATCCTACCTTTGTCAACTACAAACTCACGACACGTGCATAGATGACAGACCGTATTATAATTATCTTCAGCACTGGAGTTCGACTACATAACAAATCTTCTATTTTATATATATTTTAGCCATTTTTCAATCTGTACTAAAATGAATATTTTATAATGGGTATATAATATCATACTGTTAGTTTAATATATCGACAAATGGATTAATATTAGAATACGGTGCGGTAGTCGTCGATTGGCATCTTTGATCTGTAATTGATCGTTTATGCAAATATTGTCAGCCGAAACATGCAAGCTCAGCGTAATTACGAATTGTGGCGATTTAGTTACGAATGAGTTACGAATCTGCCGAATTGCTTATGCTAGGTTCCCACTGTCGTGCTGACTGACCTCGATAGATGATAAGATCTGATAGGATTACCACGATTACTCCACGATGAAAACCACGATTTCAATTGCAGCACGAATCGTGATAGTGGGAACCTGACATTACGAATATGCCAAATTCAGTTACAGATACACTACGCTCTCCTTGAATGATGCCGATAAAGCTACGAAAAGTTTACGTTATTTGGCACTATTCGTCAAAGAATGGAATAGAAAGTTGTTACGGACAATAAAAAGGGACTACGACGGGTTTACGATGCATCTACGAATTCCGAAATGTGTAGCCCTGCCACGAAAGTTTTTGACAAACAAAAAATTGCGTGGCCTAACTACGAACTGCTACGAATAATATGAATGTGTATGAACCAATAAGTATCACTTACGAACTTCAGGAACCGTCTACTATTTATCTACGAATCGGAAACGTTTGGATTCGGGAAGATTCGTGCAAGCATTCGTAGCTCATGTGAAACCAGTCCGCGAAAGGTTTTGCTTCAGACATCACGATTTAGGATTCGTGGCATTCGTAGCCCATGTGAAAGTGATCTGCGAAAGGTTTTGTTTCAAAAATCACTCACGAACTTCAAGAACCGTTTACGATTTATATTCGGGACGATTCGTTACATTCGTAGCCCACATAAAAGCGGGAATTAATGTGTTATGAAATTCTGAGTGACGAAAGAATTACCAGCGCCAGAGCCTCTATTCAGAGATTCGTCACTGTTTGTTATAACAATGAATCAATCTCTTGGCCTTAAAATATAAGTCATTCAATAATATGTTACTATATCGAATGTAAATATTTATTTCATGACGTACATATCCCACTATTTATTGAAGAATAAATACATGACTCATTATAAATACGTTCTACTAATGCTCAAATTGTTGTATATATAACCCTACATTTAAAGATTATATGAATAGCGCTATTATTTCTATTCAATCTGACTTCTTATAGAATGAGAGAGAAATTCACTTTATATATAGGCGGAGTCTTTCACAAAGTATATGGTATCAATAGGCCGTGTGAGGTGCGAACTTAAAGGTTTTTGGGCAGATGACAAGTACAAACTACACAGACCTTTATGTAAGTTTTATTATGGGCTGATATGGTAAACAACTTTGAGTGATTCACAGATTTGTATAACTAGCACCTAGTCAAACGTTAAGCACCCCAGTTTGCTTTAGCATAGATTTTTGCCAGGCACAGTAATATACGCCTGCAAGTTTTTTCTTTTTCTTTCTGCTTCAATACAACAATTTGTTGGGGTTTTTTAATGTCTTAAATGGAGAGAGAGAGGGGGGGGGGTCTTTAGTCTTTAGGCAAGAGTGGGATCGAAACCATGCCACTTATTCGTCAGTGACATACCTTATGATCTAAAGCGCACGTGTTAAAACCACCCCTCCCCCGCCCGATTGGAAAGGAAAATGATCCTGCCCGACATAGTATTTGTTACTGTATAAAGTTTCTAGATTCTAATATCAACATGGACACGCAGAAGATTCACTTTGAGACTATTTTAAAACTGTCGATGGGTAAAATAGAAACATCCTATAGCTTATACGTTTTGTTTTAATCTCTTCAATGACGTGCTCTGCAGTGGGACTTTAACGGTAAATATAAAGGAATTAGTTTGAACTGATCTATTCCGATGGAAAATAATCTTCGAAAAATACACCTACACTCAAAAATACGTCGATCAAACAAACCTGCGAAGCATTGCCGTCTCTTAGTCTCACTCCTCTCTAATCAAATAAAATCATGTATGTACCTAAATAAATCGCCATATTGTGTCAGCATGCGATTTTATAAAATTTTCGGGTGATATCCCCTTAGGTCCAACTTGACATTGTAATTTTCCGGACCCTCCCCTGCCAAATTCCTGAACACGCAGCTGAGAAACTCACCTAGTGTGCGTTCTCCCGGTTACGCATGCGTGCCATTCAAAAGGATATGAAATAATCTTTTCGTCGCGTTAGGGGCCCCGCGATTCTAGTCAGGCCCAGGCCCCCGCTCCGGTTAAGCTGGGCTTTGCGATTGACCTCAATATTGACCTGATAGGATCACCACGTTTACTCCACGATTAAAACCCGGATTTCAATCGTAGCGCGAAACGTGATAGTGGGAACCTCGCATTAGATAGATATCTAACTTTGTCATAGATACACGAACTAAGGAACGGGTTATAGTATATCATTAAAGATTCATTCATTATAATCTACCTATTGCACATCTTTCTTTTGGCCTCAAATGTTATATAAGTTATAACATTTATTCACATGACCTGCCCATATCTAGAACATTGGGTGGTTTTGATTTTGAACGGATTGAAACACAATCGCCATTTAATAATCTAATTTGAAAATGAATAATCGAGACTTTGTTTATTATCGTTACAACTGTAGCGGTGAAAATCGAGACAACGCTATTCTTCAAAAGTCATTACTTCGCTCAGAATGCAGTAATCTGACTGAAATTTTAAATATATTCCTTTTCATTATCTATTTTGTAACTATTATAGCAAAGATTGTCAGCTCTTTATCAAAATCTTACATAATGCATCTTTAAATTATGGTGCACAATGATAATTGATGGTGCGTTTTATATAATGCTAGCTTTTACTGAATAGTGAGCAAGTGAATATTTACATCATAAAAATCCGACACGTGTTTCATTTGTGTTCGTTATTGGACATTATAATGTTATTTGTTGATCGAGATTATTATATGATGATATTTGGGTGGTGGGCCATATAAAGTGGACAATTGCCTTTTAGTGTTGCTGCTTATTAGCTGGAATAATTGATCGTATTAGATATATGTACACAGTGTATTTAGGGGGTGTGGCACGCGACATAGTTAAACTGTTTACATTAAGGTAAGATAGGAACCATTTAAACACTTTATAAATACCTGAAATGTTATATGGCCACATTATATTATTATATAGTCAATTATTAATCTATGAATATTCGGATTCAATTTTAAACAAAACAAATATATTAATGACTAAATAAATTAATATTAAAAAATATAACTATCTTTATACTTGAGCATTTCTATTTTGATCTGTAGGTACAGAGTTCTACGCAGTTACCAGGAATCGAAAGTAGTGACACGTTTGTGCACAAACCATGGTCTGGTGGAGATTTGAAAGATGTTTTCGTTTGGAGTGTTCACATATCTACAATGCAAGGAAGTTATACTTCTTCTTTAGACTCGGTCAATAGATTTATCCAAAACAACCCAAAACAACTTTAATTACCCAAAACAACTGAATAAAACAACACATTTTTATTGTTTTTTCTTTCTTTTTATATGTATAGATGATTAATATTCCCTACACTTTACTTTTTTTGTAAATAGTTCTTAAAAAAAATTACCCTCTAGAAATAAATGGAAAATCAAGGCAAGAAAGATAACTTTTATTGTTACCCTAGTAGGTTCGGATCGTTTCTTTAATTCTTTACTTGTTGTCTTATTTCCACATGTGAATATTTGTTTTACAACTCAAACATTTGTCATATCAGATTTGTAAATTGTATCTTTGTTTAATTTAATTGTATTTAATATAATGATGAAATTTCTTTTAAAAATCAAAAAATTACATTTAAATTCATCAGAAACATACAACAAAAAAACAAATCTCGAACCCACTACGATAACAATAAGAGTTGTCTTCCATTTATTTCTAGAGGTTTTTTTTCAGAACTATTAAAAAAAAGAATATTTTATATTCAAACAGACAGAAAAGACAATACAAATGTGCTGTTTTATTCAAAATACAGGTTGTTTTGGGTAATTTAATTAAGTTGTCTTGGGTTGTTTTGAGGTAAATATTTGGACCTCTTTAAACTGAATTCAGATAGAATCATCTCACACTCACAAGCTCTTAAGATATTTTTTGTCTATATTGCAACATCACAAGAATAACATTTGAAAAAATGCATTAACTTATTAACATTTTCGGTCTAGTTCATCTTTATATTATTTTTAATTTTTTTCATACATTTCTAATTCTATAGCCAGCTAAAACATATAGCCTAGTGGTGTACCACAGGGTTCTATGTTTAGACCGTTACTTTTAAAAGTAAAAGCAAACAACTGGTGGTTATACAACTATTTTTAAAGATTGTTGCCTATAAAAAATAGTAACATTAATTTAATTAACAGATTTCTAATATCCTGAAAGATATATTTTCAAAATCTAGAGTCTCTAATGAAACCCCTACAAGATCTATGTTCTTAACTCATGCATTTGTATAACTATCTTCATATATTATATATTTGAATATATCTGTATAATATGTATTTTATAACTCCAAAAAAATAAATAGCAGGACTTGAAGATAATCTAAGTATTTGACTAAGATTGTCTTGTTCTGGAATCGTTAGTTTTTTCCGTTTAATATTCACGCTTAACCCTTCAACTCTTAGGCTGCTTTCCCACGCTAAATTTTCAGAACAGTTTAAATAAACATAATGCTGGGTATAACAAGAAAAATGACCATCCAACTTACCTGTAAGGTTAATCGATGTTCACGATAGATCTTCGCAGTATTCTAGAATATTGTTGGCATAACGATAAGAAAAAAACAAACACAATGTCAAGCGAACTATTGATAATAATCAAGGTATGAGATTGTCAGTCCTTTACCTATAATTTTCAATTGTGGACCGTGACCATAGATATAAAGGTTATAAAAGCGAAGGATAGCAAAGAGTAGCCAATCATAATCTATCAATATTATATATATCTAAATGATCCATACGTGATCCATACATTTGTGTAAATGGGTAATGTCCTTTTGCGTGGTATTTTCTCTCATAACATTTGTCCGATATTCTTGGTGCAAATAACCCGAATAATTCTATTTGTAGGTAGACAAACAGTTATGGTCGATATATAATAATGGCAATTAATATTACCTAGCTTCTCGTATCAGGGTTGTGATAATATTTTGAAAGATAAATCCAACGACGATTTATTACATATAATTAAGCTTTTATCTCGACAAGGTGATCTACAGAAATATATATTGTCAAATTTATTCCTATACAAACAACCGTTTGGGAAAATGTAAGAATAAAATATAGAAAAATGAATAACAAATTGCGTACCCATCGGAACACCTGGGGTTGTTCTAATTCTCATATTCAAACCTTTGCGAGATTACATTACAAAAGTCATTGTTTTTAAATTATATCTTTAACTACATTTCTCATTTATAATATAGATGAGATAAAAGTTAAATGGGGGGGTCATAATCAACCTGAGCAAACCCACAATTTTGAAAACTTTTGAATTTTAAATTAATAGAATTGATATTCTCTATTCAGGACCACGCTGTTCTTTCTTTTATCTGATATGTCTCGAAATGTAATTAGAAATACGTCATCACGTGGTTGTATGCAGAGTCTAACTTATGAAAAAAGGGGATTAAAATTTATAAATAACCTGATTTAACAGATAACAGTTCAGGCAAGTCAGCTCAATTTGATTCAAACCCTTCAAATTACAATACGGATAAATCGGTTAAACTTATTACCAGGGTCGGAGTCATAAAACGTCATGCTATTATCACCAAGGAATTTGCGGGGCATATCTACATATATTCGAGAAATAATAGTAATACACAAGGGATTGGACAATATCTGTGAATTAAACTGAAAACATTTCTCAAGAATTATTTATGTTAAAGTACGTATTTGAAATAATAGAACTATTCTTTCAATGACTACATTTCCATGAACGGCATACAGAAATGGTTTGGTCTTCTGGTTTGATAAACCTTCTTCTTTCAACTGAAAAATAAAATGATGTTATTTACTTGAGCAACAAGGAGTGTTCTTTCGTCATTTAAATACATCGAGTAAATTTTCGTATGAAGTTTTTTTTTTCTTTCTTTTTTTTTTGTACACTGCTATTAAAATAGATTGTTACATAATATTTAACGGTTTTAAAGTTAAACATACATTATGCAAGAGCTAAATCTGTCTATTGCAGGTCTTTCTTTAGGCCTGAAATGTTATCTAAATTATTAATTAGACCTTAATTAACCTATCCAGGCCATAATCAACTCTAGATGGCATCGCTAGCTTGCGATCTTTAGTGATAAGCCGATTTACTGCAAAACTCTCCTTCACGATTTAACGATTAAATGGACAATCGAGACTATGCTGTTTATCGTACTGACTTTTGTAATGATGATCGAGGCTAGGCGGAAATTTCAATCGCTTAGTTCTCGGTTCATAGTGGATCAATTTGAATAAAATTTTCAGCAAATTGCCTTTACATTATCTAGTTTTTAACTATTATAGTGAGAACTGCCAACTCGTTATCGAATCCCCCATAATATATCTTTAAAGAGGAAATATGCCAGAAGAAAATGTAGAACAAAAACATATATTTGAATATACATAATATACTGATATTTATTGAATGTCACACATCTTTAATTGTCTCAGTTCATAAGAATAATAATTATTTTTATAACTTTCTAGGACCTTTAACAAGGTTTTCCCTTTAAATTTAGTTTAAATTCTCACCTATACAGGTAGTTTACCTTTCTGGTGTATGATTATAATACCAAATATTATTAACAATAACTGAAAAAAAATTAAGAATATAAACTGAAATACCACCTTCTATAATTCATTTGAGGTGCTGGTGTTTTGTTATTTCGGGTTATTGTTACTCGTTTTTCGATATTCTGGTTTGTATATCCCCCCCCCCCCCAAAAAAAAAACAGATTTCAGGAATGAATAGGGAATAACTCAGAAACACATTTCATTAAATCAAATAATAAAACTAACTTCTTAATCATAAATATACATAAAATTTTCAATATTGGCCCATAACGAAAAACAAGTAGTCCGTTTTTTTGATGTTCACAATTAAATGTAAAAAAAAGCTGATTTTAAAGGATGTGAACCCATAGAATGCCTCCCAAACATATTTCATCAATATAGTTTTATAAAGCAAATTTAGAAACCATATTGGATATCAAAACGGTAGATTTTAAGGATATATATATATATCTACATAATTCCTCATAGAGACAGTTAATTAAATCAGTTTTCTAAAATGAACTAAGGAACTCATAAATGAGGATGCCTGGGCAGTGGATCTCCTTTTTAATTTGTTGATATTAGCCTATAAACGAAAAACAAGTAACTTGGTTTTCAATATTGGCGGATATCTCAAAAATGCCGATTTCAAGGTTGTATATCTCTACAGAATGTTTCCCAAACAAATTCAATTATATCATTTTTCTAAAACGAATGAAAGAAATCATAAGTGAGGATGCCTGAGCAGAAGATTCTCATAAGAACTGACTTTTCTGCTTGTTTTTCGATATTAGTGAATAACGAAAAACAAGTACATAGAAACCATAAATGAGAATTCCTGCAACTGCCTTTTCTATAATAGTTGTCGATATTGGTCCGTTTTTCGATATTCAGATTGGGATCTCAAAAAAAGCAGATTTTAAGGATATATATTGAATATCTCCGAAACAAATTTAATTAAATCAATTTTGCAACACGAACTAAAAAAAATCACAATGACGATGTCTGAGCAGTGGATTCACATAAACCGCTTTATGCTTGTTTTTGATAATTAGATTGGAATCTCAAAAAAGCAGATTTTTAGAATGTCCCCTCCAAAAACATTCAATTAAATCAGTATTCTAATTCTCAAAAAGCAGATTTCAAGCGTGTCACCAGAAACATTCAATTAAATCTTTTTTTTAAAAAACGAATTAAACAAATCAAAAATCGAGCTAACTGTTTTTCGTTATTCGCCAATATTGAAAATCAAAAGGAAAAGGCGTCCTCATTTATGATTTATATACATGTATTAGTTTTATCTTGTTGTTTTGTTATTCGCCAATGCCGAAAACCGAACAACGAATATATCCAGTTTCACACTGCCATAAGCTCTATACCAGACATTTTCATTTGTAATGTTGTTTTTTTTTTTATTCCCAACTTTCAAAACTATAATCAAAAAATTAAATTTAACATTTTTTCACCAAATTCAAAGAAGAAGTTTAAACCAATACAGAAATGTTTCAAAGCCACGTTTTTTGTTACTTTATCAACTTGTGTTGATATTTTTTGATATCAAAAAAGACTGGTAGGAGATTCTCTATATATACCAAAGCACATACAAAATAATGTGCATGGAATTTACAAAAAAACCCTAAGCCTAAAATATATTGTGCTACAGTTCAAATACTGGTAAATTGACTTAAATATGCCTAAAGATATTATTATGGTACACTTGTAGTACATTGTAAATACTAATGAAACCAAGGAAAAGACGCGTAACGATTCTTGTATATACAATGCAGTGCACATACAATTGTACATACAAATAAAACAAAGGCATTGTACATTGTATATTGCATAGTTTACATACTAGTATAGAGTACATATTGTATATAAATTAATGTACAGATAATGAATAAAAATTACAATAAATACCTGTAATGCACATATACCAACTACTACTCCTATAGATATAGCTTCGTTATCTTTAACAATTTGCCATATTACATCATAACAACCCTATATAGAGCAAAATTAACATAATATCTGTAATGGTGTGTGTCTTACTTCTAAACGTCCATATATCACGATTTCGTCAAAAAAAAATGGTTTCCTTTTGTAGGCCCATGGCCCACCTTTAAAATACGTTGTTCCTAAAAACTCTTAAAGTTTCACTAATATATTTTTTCCGGGTTAACTGAATCAATGCGTTATTATGTTGTATGCCGTCATTTTGTTTTCAATTCACACGTCTGTGCCAAGATATTGCTATATTAAAACTTTCTCAACATATTCTAGTTCACCGTATTATCTCGACACAATATGTTCGCAAAATATGTTGACAGGGTTTCAGAATTACAATATCTTAACGCAAACAAAACAAAATAACGACATACAACATTGCGCATTGATTCAATTAACTCTGCAAAGGGGATGAAATCATCGCAACGATATCGATTACCTTATTAATATCTCGGCATCTATGGTGCTATTGACCCTTATACATACAAAGATGAAACTGAAATGAAATAGGGTTTAACGTCCTACTGTTCTGTCCCTTCTGGGCTATTGAAAACGGGCATGTGTCGTGCAATCTTCTAAGAGGGGAATTTTTCCCGGACAGCGGCACTACGACCTACTCTTATTTCGAATTCCATCTGTCAATGGTTCTTTTACGTGCACACCAACGTGTCACCGGACCTTGGTTTTTCGTCCAATCCTAACGTCTATACGTTGTTCCTTGCCAGGCTCTACCGTCATGCACCACTGAAAAGGGGGAACCACGCCGAAAAAAACGATGAACTTTCTCGGCCAACGCAAGGATCGAATACGGGACCTCCATGTTAGTGAGCCAACATCCTACTCACTGAGCCACCATGACTCCCCTAACAGTATACAAGTGTTTTATGATGACCGTCACTTACCTTGTTATAATTATTCTTGTTAACATCTGTAGCATCAGGTGTTTCAGCACAGCTTGGTGCCTGACTTGTATTCTTACAGCAGACCATGGGGGTTACAAGATTATGTTGCATTCCATCCTTATCTTTAAAAGATCGGAATTGCCAATTTGGGGCATTTTCTTCACTAAAGTCCGTATAGTTATCAATTCCACAACAACCTTGCTAATAAAATAATATAACCAAAATACTCTAATACAACAAAATACACAAGACAGCCTGCATGATGGGTGGGGTTCTAGAAAAATCAAATCGTTGGCCGAAACAATAGTCCTAAATTCCAGGTGTTGTGCACAAAGCAGACTATACATGTAGTTAGAACTTCGTACAATATATTCAACAAGCAGCAAAAGGTTTGACTCTAATTTAACTGAGCATTTCGGACACGCTGACATAAAACATAAGTGACTTACAGAAATCATCAATATATTCAAAGCCATGCTACCAGCACTTGTACCGTTGATCCCAGTATAGTCGTTCTTAACAACTTCCTTAATATGTTCCTTTAATGTTGAATCAAACTGAAATAACATAAAAATGTCACTGCGTCTGTTTTGAGCAATATGAATTATTTGGAAGATACAATATTTTGAAAGATGAATCTCTAATAGGAATGGTTCAATTCTGTTCAATATTTACAAAGATATGTTGGATTGAAATTTCATCGATCTATGAACATCGCTTAATCATAAGCCATTTTGTTGTCCGCGCATAATTATTGATGGGCCTATTCTTAATCCGATTGAATCCTAGCCGCGAGAGTATTTAGTGTTGGTATTTTGATTTTGATTTCTTAATCAATGTTAAATAATTAATATGCGTACATATTGGTGTTGATTTAGCTTTAAGAAATTCAATATCTTAGAGAAAAATCAAAAGACGCATCGTTACTATAATGTTCTGATTAAGGATGTACTATCAGATATACACGTACACGAGAGGCGTCCAGTTGAAATCAAATCTGACAGGTTATTTATCTTCTTTCGGGGTGGGATGTAAGCTTCTAGTATTAAGTTCGGACGTCGTGTTTTCTTTTCGGTTTGCGTTGTAAACGTTCTATTGGAAACTATCTTGTAATGTGATTTACTACTAAAATGTGTTCCGTTTTAGGGGTTTTGTTAATTTTCGCTTCTTTGATTTTACTCACTTTTTGGTGGATGGGTGGCTGTAGAAAAGATAATAGAATTCCACAGGCGTCCTGAACAATATTCGTAAAAAAAATTAGTTTTTAGTCTCAAAATGGCAGTAATTAGTATTTTGACTTACCAATTCTCGATATTCAAAAACAATAATTACTAGGAGAAGCTGACTGAGCAGTAGTAGAATCACAACAATTACATACTGAAAGAAAATAACAAACGTCACTGAATTTGTGAGTTTGTAACAAAGGAAGGAAACACAAAGCAGGAAAGTACTTTCAATAAGGTATTTAAACCAAACAGTAACAAAATATTTACCTACAATCTGTCAATAAGGAAGGCAAATGGCCCTTAGCGAAGGGGTTTTGATGGTCTAAGGGTTTGGTCTACAAGTATTTTTGGCTCGGCCCGCTCAGCGCCAACTGGCCTTCGACTCAAACACGAAGTTCTGGATCCGTGCTTGAAAACATGGGTTTATTTTACTGAAAGACGTGTAAAGAAAAAGAATACATTGACATTTCTTACCACAATTAATACAATTCGAACTTCACAGTAGGCTCCAATGATTCCTAAAATACCAACAATTAGGAAAAACAAACCCAGAACAATGAGAACAATTGTCAATTTTCCAACCAAATCGTTGATATTTATATCTGTTGATGGTACTGGGAAACTAGCTAAAGCAGCGGCTTGTTGTAATGATCCCTGTGCTGATTGTAATGATGAATCAAGTAAACTAGGTTTCACCTTCATGATAATACCCAATGAAAAAAGTACTACTCCAATTAACTGAAAAATATTTGAATATATGGCTACGGTTAGCTTAATTTCTTGTTTATGATGATAACTGACTTTTCTGCTTGTTTTTCGATATTAGTGAATAACGAAAAACAAGTACATAGAAACCATAAATGAGAATTCCTGCAACTGCCTTTTCTATAATAGTTGTCGATATTGGTCCGTTTTTCGATATTCAGATTGGGATCTCAAAAAAAGCAGATTTTAAGGATATATATTGAATGTCTCCGAAACAAATTTAATTAAATCAATTTTGCAACACGAACTAAAAAAAATCACAATGACGATGTCTGAGCAGTGGATTCACATAAACCGCTTTATGCTTGTTTTTGATAATTAGATTGGAATCTCAAAAAAGCAGATTTTTAGAATGTCCCCTCCAAAAACATTCAATTAAATCAGTTTTCTAATTCTCAAAAAGCAGATTTCAAGCGTGTCACCAGAAACATTCAATTAAATCTTTTTTTTAAAAAACGAATTAAACAAATCAAAAATCGAGCTAACTGTTTTTCGTTATTCGCCAATATTGAAAATCAAAAGGAAAAGGCGTCCTCATTTATGAAAAAAGTACTACTCCAATTAACTGAAAAATATTTGAATATATGGCTACGGTTAGCTTAATTTCTTGTTTATGATGATAACGATGATGAGGATGGTAAAAATAACATGAAATGAAAATGAAATGAAATGGGGTTTAACGTACTACAATTCTGTTCCGACTGGGATAATGAAGAAGGGTATACGCCACGCAGTGTACTATGAGGGAAATTTTGCCCGGGTAGCGGCACTTTTGCCTACTCTTATACTGGATTTCAACTGCCAAGGATCTTTTACGTGCACGCCAATGTATACACGGGTCCTCGGGTTTTCGTCCCATCCGAATGACTACACAGCTGCGCTACTGACAAGGGGATACCACGCCGGAAAATCCCGATGAACTTTCTCGAACACGCGACCTCCGGGCTAGCGAGCCAGCGTCTTACCCACTAAGCCAAAAAATAAGATGATCATTACACAGTGGAATTAGTAATGGTCATTGCCTCATTGGTTATCATTCTTGTATTGATGATGGTCGTAATGGGGTGGTGGGGTGGTGGGGTGGTGGCGGTGGTGTTTCTTTGATGAGGTATATATTAATACTTACAGCGAATACTCCACTTAGAATAGAAATAAGCAGACGTCCTATTGAAGCGAAACAGGTACACATGTTGGCTCGTTAAAATCGTAGTGTATATTATGAAGTCAGTGAGGACGGATTCAGTCAAGAGTTATCTGTACGTATTATTTTCCTGAAAATAGAAATAACAGAGGGCACAAGAAAAAATAATGACCTAGATTTAGTATTTAAAATAAAACATACCAAAGATATGAATCTGATTGTAAGGTTGTAATATTTTAACGGTTTATTTATTTGCCCAAAAATGTAGCAGAACAAAAAATCGAATCCACTGCTATCGTGGCTGATAACTTAAAATTCACAATTATACGTTGTTATGTTTAACATGTTGGGAGTGAGTTGGCTCGCTAACCAGGAAGTCTCGCTCTGAAATGTCCGACGTATATAGTTTCCCTTTGCCAGTGTCGTATTCACGTCTTTATTAACCTAGTTTACAGGATTTAATCCCTAGATAACATTGTTATGAACTTCAACGAAATTTACAATACATCTTTTTAATTTAGAATTTTAAAACAATTAATATGAATTTTACAAAACAGAGATATCTTAATCCATGAGTCCAGAAACTGGCAATTATATGTGCACATCTATGTTGAGATTCTGGTAGGGTAAAAAAAAAAGTCCAAGAGGGAAACTCATTTGCATCTTGTATTAGACCACTGTAGCAATTAAAATCCGAAAAAATTAAAATCTTGTAAAGAGCCCTTCACGAGAATTGCACTTTTTTCGCGCCTCCGGCGCGCTTATACGCGTTCCTTTGATTATACGGCAAACATGAGCGACAATTTGTAGTTTCTGTGGTTTATTTTGATTTTCTAATCATGAAGCAAGACAAATTACGCGGGACCAAGTATTTTGGTGGTCATTTCCCTTTAAATAAGGGTTGCCATGTTGACAAAATTCAAAATTCTCATCTGGCAACCATAGGATAAAAACTTTCCGGGTAAATTTTGATTCACAGCGAGTGAAGCCGAGTTTGATATAGGGCGTCATTCCATCGCAATTTAAACAGGGTAACATGTCTAAACGCGCTGCTACTCACGAAAGGGTAGATTTCATGGCGGCCTTTGATATGAAACTGGCCAACGCGTTTCTTGGATTAGGCTCACATTCATCAGCGGTCTAATACAAGATGCAAATGAGTTTCCCTCTTGGACTTTTTTTTTACCCTACCAGAATCTCAACATAGATGTGTGTGTTGTATGTAATAAGTAAAATAATATATAATTGTCTTACCTTTTTACCGTGTGTTACTATTTGAACCGATGTAATATCATTGACTTCTATACCAGGAATTTAAAAACTTATATACCTTACAAGGTATAAATATATAATACCGAGTCATATATTCGTGCAGGCTTTAGAAGATTACAATGAAAAGAATCTATTGTGAGATTATGTTTTGCTGTATATAATGCACAAAGAACGTCCCTTTAAATGACACGTTAAGTATAAATAAAAATGAAGTCATATTCATAATAATAATAAGAGAAAATAACAGTTATTTAATGCAGTTTATGAAGTGCTATAATTACGGATGCTTTTTTCAAAATTATGACTGATAGTATCAGAATTATTTTCTCAAATATCACCCTTACAAAGAAAATACATTAATTTTAAATAACATCTTCAAAATAAAACGTAAACTCGCCTAAAATTCGAAAATATAATCACCGGCTAGCTTAAAGTACACCCCTTTAATATCGTTGAAAACAATAGGTATTATTTGAAATTAAAACGTCTACATCTCGGCAATGGCTCAACAGATTTATTTCAAATTTTACAAGCAATCTAATTTGCATATGAAGACGTAATTATGTAGTCAAATCACGTTAAATGGGAAATATAATTTTATCAATCAGTACATAATGCATCTATAAATAGATCCGTTTACATGTTTTATGTTACAGACATTTTGTACCACGTTTCACTCGTTTCATAATCTATAACTATATTCATATTTTAAAACGTTCTCGGAAATACAACCGAACTATGTGGAAAAACGAATCTTTTAAACATCAGGTATAAATTTGTCAAATACGGTTGGTTTAAGTTTGTTTTAAATGTTTTATATAATAAATATACCGGGGAAAAACTATCTGATTATTCCATGGCTTATTCATCGGTACTCATTTTGTATGTCCGGGAGTTTTATTTAATATATTCCCAGGATGTTTTCAATGAATCACAAGGTGGAAAATGAACATTTCTCTGAACTTGATGGCATTGTCGATTTCGTCATTGGAATATCTCTATGCAAATTCATAATTTTTCCAGCGTCACAATTTTACTAAATTTTATAAACTTGTTATAGGGAGTCCTGTGCTGTCATGTTTCGTATAACACAATATGATATGTAATTTATGACGAATTTGACCTTGTATCGATATTCAGCACTCTGTGATACCCAGGGTACCGTTTGGTGGTACCTGTCATACTTGTTTTCTTTAAACTACGTCATTATACTGTAATCCTTGTCACTCCACTATTAATGAACCGTGTTGAAGGTCGCTCGTCGTATTGTTGGATATTCAGCGGATCCCACTATTTCTTGTATTATGGTACAGCTTCAGTCATTTCACAAGGGTTTCTTATCATCTTGTCCTGCGGAATGACAACATATGCCTGTATCTCCAAGGATTTAGATCTGTCGTCAATCGATTTAAATATATTGCTGTATTCCTGGTTTACATTGTGTATCCTTTGATAATAAATTCTGCGGATGGTTACACGTCCAGTTATTTCATAAAAAAAAACCATATTATTATTACCTTGTATGAAGTCTGTTTTGTTACCATTTGTATGTGTAGTGTATCGAGACGTCCGTCGGCATTAAGTACAATATGTGAGCAATGCCGTAGACAACCAATGATTCAGAAGATTCAGTTAATGGTGTTAGGACTGGCATATCTGATTGCGGAAAATGGTCTGGAAGATCTGATTACTGGCATAGCTATAGAACATCCTGAGGCAGTAGGCTGGTTGGAGAAGGTGACAAATCCAGCTTTGTGGGAAAAAATTCCTACCCAAATGATTTCTTCATTTTCTGAAACAACTATTTCCCTAGTGTTCCAGAAAAATTTTCCCCGCGGATCGGAGTTGAGCAAAATTTTTTACAGCACTTTGAACTTTTCACCCCCTGGGTCAACATAATGAAAATGAAAACCATTTATAACTTCAAAAATATCAATTTTACAGTCTAGAAATGTATTATCAACATAAAGGAAAGTGATACCAAGGAATCCAGAAATGACGTCAAAAGTAACGTACGACCAAAGCCGTATAATATTATAGATAAAGTTGCGACAATTGTGAAGCCAGAAATTTCATATGACGTCATGAAAATATGACCTCAAGTGTAGTTAGACGCCATCTTGGGTCCCAAGTATTTGTACCTACTATCTATTTTATTGTTGTGTCGAAGTTGGCTTCCCCCGACAAGTATGTATACAGATATGTCATAGTATACATTTTTTAAACGAAAAGTATAGCTGAACAAACTATTATTATTATTATTATACAGAAAGCGCACATTATTGTTATAAGAATAGTCTAATTCATAAGAAAGTGAAATAAAAGATACACCAAATAAAAGCGCAATTAAATTGCATACGCTTTTAAAAATCAGATTTTTTGTGCAGACGGGTAAAGTGAAAAATGAAAATTTAAATAGTAATTTGGGAGATACAACCTTTTTGCCTTCTAGCCGGCAAAATAAATGCCTGAAATTCCATGATTTTTGGTCTGGAGTCATTCCGGATTGTGTGTCAGTTTTCAGTCATCAATCATTAATTGTATCATCAATTTTTCGAAAATAGAAATTTATTTAAATTGACTAATGGATAAAACATTTAAAATCAGTGTAACTTAAAATCAGTGTAAAATCAGTGTAATTCAAATAAAAGGTGTCTAGCGTGACATGTGTTTCGGGCATATGTTTCATCAGTGACATTTGATACGAGATATCGCTCTCCGAAACTTTCTGGTTTCTTTTGCAATTTGTTTGGGGTAAGATGTTATCACTCCCCGCCCATGGGTAAATAATAATAATAATCTAATATATAAACCGCAAAAATTTAACAGATACAAATAATGTACATGTTATTCCACAGGTAGACAGATATTGAAGGGGCCCAGTGAAGGACTCTTTTGGCTATTTGCGCCCCATTTCCAATGAAATAATCATGTTGTTCTGATGCTCAACTAGTATCAAATATATATCGTGTCTGAGATTTGTTACAAATCGCCTCGAACATGTTCCACACATCTCAATTTTTATCAGCTTTTTTTTCAATCTATAAAAGCCTATATACATTCCTACAAAATTTTGTGTTTAGTTGTTTAGTCAAGTGAAACAAGAAAACGCATAGGCTAAATGAAACAATAGAACAAGTATACCTTTATAATGTCGACAAATACGTAAAACTATGAAATAAGATACTTCTAAGATATGATTCAACCGAAAAGTCCTATATATGCAACATAGATATATAATATCTACATTCAAGTTAAACGAACTGCATCCAATCATTTTAAATACCGGTATAGCGTCGAGCTGAATAAAGGATATGATTTATTGTCATTAAAGGATCTATGGGTGGTTGGTAAACAATGTGTAACTAAAAACTATGATATTATCTTTATTGCCAACATTTCAATGTACCTAAAATGAATTATCGCTGCCCTTTTATTACCAAATTAATGTTGTTTTTTTCATTTTAATTTTTATTTTTTAGAATGATATTCTTTTACCAAATTTGGCAGTCATATTGAAAGAAATGCCCGCCACCAAATGACAAATACATTTTTTTTATTGATGTTTGTCAAATTCGATTTTTCCACACATTTCGCTTGCATAACCACTCTCCGAAAATTCCTGAAGAACACCAAATTGAATTCTGTTAATCATGTCATTTTGGCCGAATTTGAGTATGATTTCGTCTGACATATTTATCATTGAACCAAACTGCATTGGTTACTTTTGCAATTTGTTTATGATGAACTGTAGCCCGTAAAACGTTATACCAAGAAAAAAATAAAACGTTTTGTTAAGTAAAGCTATATGACGCCATGACGTCATAGTTTTTATGGCGTTATAGTTGGGACACCAAAATGGCGCCTGTAAATGAGTTGTCGTAACTTTCCCTATACAGGGCTTTGCGTACGACGTCACCGTGACGTCAGAATAAAAAATGGCGGAACTATGACGTCACTGTGATGTCAAAATTCAAGATCGTTGACCACTTGATTGATTAGACGGATTTTGTTTTCAGTGTTGGCCAGAAACTGGGCTTGACTATAGATAACTGTGGTGTCCGATTTCAGAGAAATGTCACTGCTCCTATATTTAGACGTAGCAGCTCGGCGCTCGTGCTCATGATCCTTAATATTTGGTTCATAGACGCTGAACACGACGATTGGCGAGGGACCTGAAGCCAGGTGTTAAAGTTCAAGGCACGACAGTGCGAGTGCAACCAGAAGTTCTTTTCCAAAGATGTATTACGGTGGCACAGCGCACAGGTACAGATATTCAACAGTTCTTCAAATATGAGTTGAGTGCCTTCCCGTCCTCACTGTTTGCAGGAGCTTTCATGCGACATGTAACCAAGTCCGATCTCGCTGAGCATTTGCTCAAGAACGTTTCACCCGTTTCGAACACTTCGCTCGCCAGTGAAATAACTGTCATTGATGGAGGTCTGCTAATCAACTTTGTAAGGTAGAATAAGGGTACGAATATCTCCAACATCTTAGAAAACTATCGGTCATTTGTAAAAAGATTTCCCTCGCCAATAGTCGTGTTCGACAGCTATGAACCAAATACGACAATTTGGTGAGGGAAATCTGGTTGTTTCGGATTCGGTAAATTGGGACTTCTTAAACATACGAACAGTGACATCTTTCAGGAAGCTAGCAAGACAATAGCTTCACCTGGAAGTTCCCAGTTCGAAGTATCTGAAGCTGGGGAAAGGTTATTCTGTGCAATGTCAATGTATGGTCACAAAAATGAGATATCTCCGACTAAAGTCCGGTACCTAAGGTACAAAGCTATGATCGCTGAAAACATTTCCATTCAAATCAATAGACTTCACTCAACAGCTGCTGCGGCCGAGCAGCATGCTCACCGCATTCATGTTCAGGTTAGAATTTGGGATGAACTAGACGATGGCGTCGATCCTGTGAATTGGGGTTGGCAAGTGATAGAGAATAGATACGTTCCCATCGCGACTGTTCTTCCATCAGCACCAGACAACGTTCTGAATTTCATCTGGTGTAAATGTAAATCGTTGAAACAACAATGCTCGTCACGTTCTTGTACACAGAATGGTTTGAAATGTGTTGAAGCGTGTGGAGGATGCCACGGGGAGGGTTGTCTCAATAGCGAACAAATCAGCATTGATTTAGAAGATGAAATTGGTACGGGGTAGAACAAATGATCCGAATGAATATTTTATTCCTCTTGTCTATTTGCTTGCTTTATTCACAACACGTCTCCGCCATTTTGAATTTTGACATCACAGTGGCGTCATAGTTCCGCCATTTTGTATTCTGACGTCACGGTGACGTCGTACATTACTATTGACGTCATTTCTGGATTCCTTGGTATCACTTTCCTATGTTGATAATATATTTCTAGGCTGTAAAATTGATATTTTTGAAGTTATAAATGGTTTTCAGTTTCATTATGTTGACCCAGGGTGTCAAAATTTCAAAATGCTGTAAAAAAATTTTGCTCAACTCCGATCGGCGGGGAAAATTTTTCTGGAACACTAGGGACATAGTTGTTTCAGAAAATGAAGAAATCATTTGGGTAGGAATTTCTTCCCGCAAATTTTCTACCCCGACCAGACTACAGCTAAAGATAGATCCGACAGGACAATAAAAATACGGATGATCAGATGTGTTGTAGACGTTACAACGGGACGAGGAAGTAACGCTGTAGCCTACGAACACATTCATCATGAGACGTTTGGTTAAAGCCCCCGTCGCACCAAACTACTTCTCACAAATGTTGCCAATGTAGTAGAAAATCTTTACGATCTGTTTAAGAACTTCTTGGACCAGCTCGAACTGGCTTCGATGGGAAGGGTGTTCTAGAACTTTGAGCCTGTTCAGAATTTTCCCCGTCATGCAATTAGACGTTGTGACTTAAAATGAGATGGACGTACTATGACCGGAATAATTGCCGTACTCGATGCCTACTAGGGACGTGTTACAACGTGACGTGACCGAGCATCAATAATTAGCAGTGCGGCCACGTCAGGTTTTTGGTATAGCGGATCTCGTTGACCTTCAATCATACCACCATGCCTTCTTCTTGCTCAGGGGTGAGATGGGTGTGAGTCTTGGTTTTCTTCATGGACTTCTGCGGCTCTACATCTTTTACTGAGGCAGGCTCAGAAGTTAGGCATGGGTGTCTTGAAGGGGCAAGTTTACGTACTTTTGACTTTGTTCCTTTTTCCAATAATATCGAAGTTAAAAACACGTAGATGTCATCTATGGACCTCACGCTCAAAGGTTAATTTCACTGAAAAGTACTTTAGGTCAGATTTCCATTTCTTGTCACAATTGAATATGTTATATTTTGGTTCTATGCTACATGCATATCAGACGCCAAAACGACCTTAATGAATAAAGGGATATGATTCAAAATTGTCCCGTCACCAAATGGATGAAGATCACCAAAAGGTCTCATATTGATTTAATGCTAATTCTTGTGTCTTTGACCGGTTGGTGCTAACTAACCATTAAACACCATTTCAAATCTTCCACAAATTTTCTTTCATGCTGACACTCTCCAAAATAGTGAGCAACAACAGGCAATGTCTTGCTTTAAAGCTGTTATGAGGTTGACCATTGAAACCCTTTGCACAGGAATCTGACCTTCGATCCGTATATATATATGCATACACCATACTCAACTAGACAATATATCATAAAAAAAGAACAGGAATGCAATGCCTGCTCGTTTTTTTTTTAACAATTCGTAATGTCAGGCAATCTAACCTCTGTCGATTCACTCTGATATGTTGTTTTTTTCAATCAAGCCGTTTTGATTTGCATAAATACTCACCACAAAACGATATCATAGCCATTTGTTTTCAATATTTACATTATTTTCGTTCTTGAAGTAGCATATTATGTAATTAGCTGATATAAAAATCGACGCATTCAATCTCATACATAACTCTATCATGAGAGGGGGGGGGGGCGAATGGTTAACGCGTGTGCGTTGGATCAGAAGGTCTGTCATTGAATCAAGTGTCGTGACAAGGATTAAGATCGCATGTCCAACCTCGTGGGTGTTCTCCGGGGCCTCTTGTTTCCTCCCACTGCTAAAGCCACCTACACGCAAGCGAATTATTGACGAAATTAAACCATATGTTAGTCCCGAAATGACTGAAGAACTGGACTAAAATCCACGTGTTTACCTATATTAATCGCTAGTGTAGAAATGAGAAATAAAAAAAGTTAAAAAGAAACGGTGTTTAATGGAAATTTTATTTCAATAAAATATGTTATCTGTATTCACAGCAACATAACAAATAACAAACTATTTATACGATAGAAACTAATAATAGTCCTAAACAATATCTAATCATTCATAACAGTCTTTCAATTGTCCAATTTATCACAGAATTTTATTTCAAGTAACTGTTTATACTGATTCGTGAAACAGTAGTTATGAATATTATCAGCCCATTAACTATTGCTACACTTACTATGACAAAGTGACGTTTCTGATTAGTTTAATAGTTATCGACGTAGAAGGTCTAACAAAAACGGACTTTCTCTGAGAACCGGTTTAACATATAGGGTAACGGGTTGGCTTGGTAACTTATATTATTTACAAATAAAATCGTATGCATATTTGTATAGTATACCGTATCGGTTAAAAGATGTAAATGAATAAGAAATTCAAAAACAACCCAAACAGATTACACAATGCAGGTCGAATTAAAATGAACTATACGAAATAAAAACACCAGAGATGTATACACTGAACTTGTTTAGTCGGTAAGCAAACCTTATTATAGTACAGCAATGGTGTATGAGCTTTTACTGCTCGTTACCAGCGCTTTGAGAGTATTGCATCCCAAAACAGGCATGCGTCATATAATTCGCGATTTGCATTAGTAATCAAATTAAAGAATAAAATGGTGTAAAAACTGGTATGGAATATTTATTTTCAGATTTTCTATATAATGTATATGTATTTACAAATAGGTAAACAACAAGCATGGCATATAAAAATAATATAGGTGTGCCATCAATAGTGGATAACTGTACAAAACAAAATGGCCGGATTATTTTGTTTTCAAAATGAGCACTTGGTATGTCGATTATGTTGAATTACGAGACGTCTAAGTTAATTGGAATTCTGGATGATAATCGTCTTGTAGAAAAACCAACAAAATAAATATTGATTGACAATAAATACGTATTTTACATAATATGGAAACTTCAATAATATTACAAAAAAAACTCAAGCAAAAAAATCAGATCTTTTGTTTAAATACATGTGTAAAATTTATATATTTGATAATTAAGATCTTATATATTATACATAATGTAAAAAAAATATAAATATATTTTGATTTTTAAAAATTATATTTGGATTTATGAATGACTGAGGCGAATACTATCATACAGAGTTATGTCCCATGTGTCAAGGTGATTTTTCAGCTAAGAGATTCAGGTGGAAACGGTTTTATGGGAACACAATTCCATCGGGAGCTTTAATAATTTAAAATCTAGATTCCAAAAATGCCAGTCATCGCATTGTCATGAATATAGTCATCCGTAAGTTCAAATTAGGCATTAGTGTTAATTTTAGAATATAGCAAACAGCCAACGATGTTTGACTAAAGTGGATGTTTAATGTATTTCGATAGCTTTAGTGATTAGGTATTGAGACACTAAGATGTGGGTTGTACAATAATGTTTGTCAAAAATTACAGTGTCGTAAAACTGACCAGAGCTTTTCGGCAATTTGAAGTTATAGTCAATTTTCTCAGAAGAATATAGAAATAAAAGAGTCCCACAGCACTGAAGTCAAAGCATTTACAAGTAATCGTCATTTTCATTTGCCAGCAACAAGGAATAAATACTCTTTTCTGAAAGAAATAAAAACATATTTTGTAAATGACGTAACATGATGAACGCAAAGTGTCATGTTATGATGAAGAAACTCACAACTGTGAGATATTTGTAAGAAATATACCCTCCCAAAAAAGTAGGGGATATTGAAATGCAAATACCTATGCAGGTTATTATGATAAATAGTCATGGACACTTGACATGCTTTGAGAGTATGTTCACAGATGAAGAACTTATCGCCCCAACAGAACCAATAGCGCCATACACGTGGGAGGGATTCATTGTCAAATTTGACACTTCAAGGAAGGGTTGATGAAAACTGCCGCGTGCTGGTTTATCTATCCATGTTTGCTTTCCTATCGGTTCTTGCATAAGATTTACTGTTTAGCGTATCTTTGCTTTAGTGTGTTAAGTTTAATTTGATCGGGAGACATGTTCGTCGACGTCAACGTCAACCGACAACACTGCAAGAATTGTCCGTGGCACTGCAAGAGAAGTGGGTCAGATTGCCCCAAATAGTGATTGGACGGTTGATTAGGAGCATGCCACGACGAATTGCTGAATGTCTGAGGATTGGTGGACAATTACTCATTATTAAGACAAAAATCAAAAACGTCCATTTTCACTTTTGACAGTGTATCTCTTTGCGAGTGAAATGGGGCCGTCAGATAAGCCGACCATAATTGTTTATGTTTTATGTTCATGTGTAGGTAATTGGCCTGTTATTAACATACACGGGTTACCTCTAATAAAAACAGCAGTGCCTTTCCGCAGTTTTGTATTGTTTCTGAATATTCCCTACTTTTTTTTTGAAGTGTATATAAAAATTACGAAAGATCAGAACTCAACGAGGTTTATATAAAATATTTGCAAATTTTAGGCTGGTCTGTGGGCATTTCCGGAATCCGCATCAGTCCTATGACTCTGTTTTGCCGATAGCATTGTTTGAAACACATCATACATAGATAGACGTAGAGCGGACAAGTTGGGTTCGTTTCTGAAAGTGGTCTGCATCCTCATTATATTTTACACAATCAACTTCTACAGTAGATGAAACTGGAACTGCGAGAGGAAGTATCACTAGGCTGTTTTGTATAATTGTAGAGTTTTCAGAATAAGGATACTTACCATTACATTTTTTCAAATGGCTCCAACCTTATCTTTATCTATTTGACATATGATACTTATACCAAATATCACCAATAATAACTAGAAAACAAAATATACAATATCCAGAAAATGTTCACATAAATTCAAATACAGTAAAATGTCGCCATCGCGAACTTTGTTATCTGGAAGTAATTGTGCGCTCTTTATTTGTTTATAATAAAATATAACGAGCCTATACTATTGATAGAAAAAGAAAATTTTGATTTTATACTGCAACGTAAAGTTCGCCTGGATTTTCCCACGTGGTACCTGTATCAATGGTGCAGGACGGAGGGTCTGACAAGGGGCAATGTTTTATCGTTCGGATGGGACGAAAAACCAAGGTTTCGTGTACACATTAGCGTGCACGTAAAAAATCTCTTGACAGTTGGAATTTCGATATGATAGTAGGCCGTAGCACCGCTGTCCGAGCAAAATTTATTGTATGACGTACGCCCGTTTTCATCAGGCCAATCGGAGTAGAACACTCAACACAATTTCATTTGATTTCATTACATCAGATTACATTTTCACTTTGCTTATTTATTTTTATTTTTTTATTTCTACACAGGATTGTGTACAAGATTTTAGAACAGACGAAACGTCTTTAAAAGGACTATTTTGGGATTGGTGGGGTGGGGTTGTTAATAAAGGGCAGCTGCACGACAAAATAAAGCCATTAAGACAATACTAATTAAAACATAGTTAGATTTTATAATGTTTACCTGTAATCCACATATTCCACCAACAACACCTATCGATATTTCTTTATAACTGTATACAATTTCCCATAAAGAATCATAACATCCCTATAAAATATTAAAGAGGAAATTAAACTGGGGTAAATTTCTTTCATATTTCTTCAATAAATGATATTAACTGATAGCTGCATGACAACGTTAAGATATTTCGATCGTGCCTCGTACATCTATTGCAGTAACAGGTGCTTCGGATGGGTCATTAATTTTCTCCCAAAGAGACAGAGTATTACCGCATCGACAAGTTTTTAACGATGTTCTTGTTTCAATGCAAGTCACAAATCAATGCGAATGAGACAGTATAAAATGGCGTGGGGATAGTTATTTATCCGCTATTCAAAGGATAGAAAAACATTTTGTTATGACTATCCTCATTTACAAAAAATACAATTTTATTTACTTAAAAATACATTATGTGAGATTAGATAAAGAGCTGGTAGTTCTCACTATAATATTAATAGTCAAAAACTAGATAATATAAAGGGAATTTGTTGAAAAAATTTAAGTCAAATTAATCAACTCTGAACCGAGATAGAATGTTGGGTCTAGCCTCGATCACCATTACTAGAGTCGGTACCATAAAAAAACAATAGTCTCGATTAATTATCAATGAGCGTTGAGCAGCAGATATGATTCTAATCCAGAAAATATCTCATGCTAGGGATGACATCGAGAGTTGATTATGGTCTAGATAAGTTAATTAATGTCTAATTAATAATTTAGATAACATTTCAGGCCTAAAGAAAGGCCTGCATTTGGCAGATTTAGCTCTTGAATAATGTATGTTTAAAGCCGTCTTCGTGATTTTGTTATGGCTTCTCCGCAAGACGGTGTATCGACGATGAGCGCAATCATTACCGGGAAGCGAGATGTCAAAACGGCAGATTGTGGTTGATTTTCTATGATATCATTTATTTTTTTGTAGATTTTTTATGTAAATTGGATCAAGAATTATATTGTTCATTAGTACAAATTAACATAAATTTACATCGCCGAGCACGTGACCCAATTTTACTGGAGGGAAAATAATTTTGTGGTTGAACTCACCTTGTCATAATTATTCTTGGTAGCATCTGTAGCATCTGGTGATTTGGCACAAGTTGGTGCACTTGTAGTATTTTTACAGCAGGCCATGGGAGTAATGAGTGTATGTGTATTTCCAGAGTCATCAGTATAACTACGGAATATCCAGTTTGGAGCGTTTACTTCACTGAAATCTGTATAATTGTCAATACCACAACAACTTTGCTGAAAAGGAAGTATTCGTATTTCGTATGGGTGTTTTTGGTTTTATAGAATTAAAAACTTTTATGCGCATGTATTTCCTATTCCCCGCTAAAATTTTTTACCATTCGTGCGGGCGTGGGAGCCGCGCTGGTCCGTGATGTCCAAGAAAGTTCAGGGGATTTTCTGGCGTGGTTCCCCCTTGTCATTTGTGGGCCTGGCAAGGGACAACGTATAGACGGTCGAATGGGAGGAAAAGCCGAGGTACCGGGTACACATTGGCGTGCACGTAAAATATCCCTTGACATTTGGAATTCAAAATAAGATAATGGCGTATGCCCGTCTTCCTTACTGTCATTAGCCAAGACGGTGCAGAAAATGAGGACATCAAACCCTATTTCATTTCATTTCGTCAAAACTGCTTATTTAGTAGAATGTGAGCCGCGGACGAGATTTGGTGTATACATGAAACGTAATGGAATTGGAAATAAACCAACATTTTGCAACATTGAAATAAAAAGGAAAAAGACAACTTACCGAGGTCATTATGAAGTTCATTCCCAAATTGCCAGCACTTGTACCGTTAATACCAGTATATTCAGTTTTAATCACATCCTTTAGGCCTTGTTTTATAGTAGAATCGAACTAAAAGAAAATAAAGTACAATATTAATAACCTGACAATGCATAAGCCTAGTTAAAATGTGAAACAAAGGGTAAAAAGATATTTTTTTAAAAGATCAAGATGATAAAATGTTGACGAACTGCTCCATCTTGTGTTATAGAGTCACTCAGATAAACATAATTCTAGTGAATATTTGGATGTTTTTAAAACTATATTTTACAAAGTGGTTATTTGTGTACATTTCAATTTTATTGACGAAGATTAAGCAAATGTTAAGATTTAACAGATACGAAATTAAAATAATAATAAAAAAATTCCCTGGCCACACATCATTCAACCCGATTCTACACTTTTATCTGGACATACATCAATATGTCTTAGCTATTTGAATACATTATTCCATTGACTTACCACACTGCGGAAAGCAAAAACACAGACGACGAGACCAATCTGAGCCAATAGAATAACAATCACCAAGATAACATACTGCAAATAAAAAGTAAAGAAATTAATTTTCTAAATACACGCTTATACATATACATGAACACAAACAACTGAAATTTGTAGGTAAGTGGACTTCCAGAAAAACTCGTAATCCCGGCGCCACTACTTCCATCTGAAGCGCTAACTCAAATAAATACAAACAGACAGAAAGGTTAGTGATTGTGGTATCTGTGTAGATGACAATGCATCACCAACTTTCCAGCAAAATCACATCAATAACGACAGTTTAAAGATGCATTGGCATTATGTAAGAGCTAAATCTGTTGGTCTCAAATGTATAAATTAATAATTATACATTTATTTACACGACAAGAACATAATGAACTTTCTAGAACACGATCGCGATTTAATGATTTAAAATTATAGCTAATCGAGATTTTATCATCGTAACCATGGTAGCTCGGATGCCGTGATTTTTAATGGATTTATACACGATCGCCATTTAATAATTTATTTTTAAAAAGGATAATCAAGATTTTGTTTATTATCGTAACAATGGTATCAATGAAAATCAAGACTACACTATTCTTATCAAAATGTCCAACATTCATAACTTCGATTAGAATAAAGTACCTGAACTGAAATTTTCAATATATTCCCTTTTCATTATCAGTTATGATAGCGAGAACTGTCAGCTCTTTATCTAAATGTTAAATAGCGCATCTTTAAATTAATGTGAAAGCTGATGCCAAAGCCTTTCATAATCACATAACAAAGCAATTCACGAAGTACCACAAGAGATTGCGTTAGATTTGCGTTAGAAATACTTACAAGAATCAGCAAAATTCTAACTTTACAGCAGGCACCAATAACTCCCAGGGCTCCTATCACCAGAAAAAAACAGCCAAGAGCAATAAATACAATAGCTAAACCTCCTACAAGGTCATAGATATTAAAATCTGTTGAAGGCGAACTGAAACCCGCCCCTGAAACCGCATTCTGGAATTGTTTCTGAGCTGTCGCTAATAATGAATCTAGCATTGGTGACTGGACCTTTACAACGATTCCAAGACCTAGCAGAATGATTCCTACTAACTGAAATAAAAACGATTAATAAGACTTACGAAATAAGACAATTTAAGTAATATAGCTTTATAATAATTATAACCAAACCAGTATTAGCAAGTACGTGTTTGTCACTGCAAATTTTCAACCAAAAGATTCTTGTGTACCGGCACTGAATTTTCTTCTGGGATGATGGGTAGACATGGGAAACATGGTTTCAAAATTCCACAATATTCTTCAAAACATACAAAGAGGCTACCGATTCATAAATGGTAAAATGAAATGAAATGGTTTTTATTAACGTTCTACTTTCCGACTGGGTCTACTCTTATTTCAAATTCTAACTATAAAGGGTATACCAATGTGTAACCGTCGCGGGACCCCGGTTTTTCTTTCCATCCGAGTGACTAGACACTGTCCTTGTCAGACTCTCCATCCTTCACTATTAACATGGGGAAAAACTTTCTCGCCGAACACCGAGACCTCCTGTTTAGCTAGCTAGTGTCCCACTTTCTGAGCCAGCGTGGCTAGCAGCAGTAAATCTTAAACATGGGTTAACAGTTTATCGTTTTAGTTTTATACTTACTGCAAAGATAAGGTTAAAGACGGTGATGAGCAATCGCCCACATGTTGCTATACATTCACACATTTTGACTAAACGAGATGCAGGTGGTCCTGGTGGTCTATAAACAGCTATTGGCTGTGGTGGTGTCCTAGATGTGTTAGCTCTCCTTGTTACTACTATAAAATAATAATAAAAAAAAAACAATTGAACAGAATTATATAATTAATTAATAGAAAATCAAAGAGGAGTAAAATGAAACTAGGATAATACCTTAATAAGAGATGACAGGGACGGAGTAGGGATGGTAGATCTAGTAGGTTAAAAATCTCAAACTATCGGCTAATTTATAAGCTAACTGTTAGGCCTAGTTGAATTCAACGTTTCCTTTCTGTGTCACCGGTTTCCTTGTCTGGCTGACTAGCTAACGAGCGCTCAAGAAAAGGATGCTCTTGACTAGGCTAGACGTAATAAAGTTAGACTACTTTAAATTACGACATTCACAGACCCCACACCACTTCTGAGTGTTATGGTCACTGATGCTATTCACTGGGCAAAACTATAGGCTATTAAATTAGAAAGAATCTAGCATGGTTGTGATAGCTTGAATACTGGGTTCACAACAAAAGAGTGTTATGTGCTACCCATATGAGGAGCTCCTTCCATAAGACCTTTTGCTTTGGAGCAAGTTCCCGGAGCAAATTACGACTACGACGAGTGATCTAAATCCTTGAAATTAGGATTAGCTTTGTAGTTTGACACCACTGGCACTGCTGGACATGAGTTTTCCTGTCTTGTTATAAAGTTGTTTGTATTCAACACATTATTGCCTCTCGGTTCCCATCACTATACCCTTTTTACCTTGTTCACGTTTAGCCATATGGTGGTAACCTTAGCATTTGCACACATAGGTTAAAAGTAAAAGTAAAAAATTTTACGTTGTTTTAAAGTTGGTGAACATCTGGAAGTGGTCAAATCCAGAATACGGTAACTACACAAATATGACGTCAGGATAATTTTCGTCAGAATATGATGACGTAATAATAACAGCGATACTGGCATAATGTCGGGAGAGCGAGAGAAATGGTGGTTAACGTAATCCGTAAGCGTCCACTGGGCTGTAGAAGATTTTAACTTATAAGAACACCTGCTGGTTAATTAATTATATAAAAAAAATATTTAACGTAATATGTTAGGCTACTTTTACTTTATTTGCAGTACTCTTACTGAAATGGGGTTTAACGTCCACTCGACACAAACTAGGTCATTTCGGGACTAACATATGGTTCAATTTTATTTTCATAAGTCGCTTGCGTAGGGGTCTTTAGCAGTTGGAGGAAACCGGAGGACCCGGAGAAAACCCACGAGGTTGGACAGGCGACCCTACTCCTTGTCACGTACAACTGGGGAATCGAAACCCCGCCAGTTGACAGTACTCTTACGCAAACATGCATTTTGATTAAAGACCACATAAACTCACTATTCCTATAATTGTTTGAAAAATTGCGCTTTACAAATAAACCTCTGCTAATGAATAAAATTCAGTAACTAATACTAACATGATGTCATCGACCGTCAATAATTTGTGTGTTTATCTATAGCTCTTGAGTCGTGTCGGAGAAGCATATATTCCCATATACATGTTAAAGACCTATAATTAGGTTTGACTTGTATTTTAATTAGCTTGTGTTTCTAGTTCCGCATTATTTAACCGCCAGTCAATGTGAAAAGAACAAATGATTTATGTCTTTACTTTCATATTCGATTGCAACCACATAATCCATTAGATTTCATGCAGTATTGATACTGGCCAGGTAGGCCCTGTGCATGCGTTGTAATAACAACTATCATGATCAATTGGAAAGATAAATTAAAATATTCTGGGAAACAGACCCAGCGATAAAAATAATGCACACCTCTTTTCAGGGATATTTTTTTTTTTAAATTTTCTTCAAATTACAGATCTTTCTATAACGATCTTTGCAACCTCTAATAACTGTAAAGCTTTTTTTAATTGACTAGGGCAGTCAGACATTTTGGTTACACATATTTCAGATATAATGCCAGCAATCCACTCACAATCATGTGAATGTTCTGTCAAAGATCAAACAAAAAGTCGCCCGACATGACAACGAATTTGTTTGTTGTGCGGTCCTCCTGCACTCAATACAGATCGTAAATCGCTATCATAGCTTTATCATAGCTTTAGACCTGTGCTTTGCGAAATCGTTGGCCACCATATTTATTCCCAGTTCGTTCTAGCAACACCTCCTTATTTAGATGTTTGGACCGGGTCTTTCTCTGTTAACGAACAAGGCTTCGAATTCACGCTGACGGTTTGCAAATAAATTACCACGGTATGTCTATTTATGGATAGGCTGCAATTTACAAAGATAGACAGGTAAAGCGCTTTATAGGCTAGATATTTTATAGGCCACTGAAACCAGGGGTGGGTTGTGGGTAGGGTTACCAGATTATTCATAGAAGAAACCGGGAATTTGGTTAATTCTAGAAGCCGGGAACAATTATTGCGAGTATTAAGCTAGTGGGGATTTAGAGTGTAGTTTAAAGGCTCAATACCACTCTTGTTGTAACTGAATAATATGTCCCAATCTTTATTCTGGTCAACAAATTGTACTATTTTAGAATATTTCAATTAATTGATGATACAAATTTCATCTTAACACACCTTATTTAAAAAATTTGAAAAATTCAACATAATGGTTTGAAACGTCTAACGTAAACCTTTTCAAATGAAACTTCAATTTAAAAATATTTTCGAACCCTCTGGACAAGTAAAATAGGATGTAATGGATAATTTACGCAACAGGTAGGACACTTAAACATCTAGTACTTAGATAGAGATATTATTTATTTTCTGGAGCTTTCAAGCCAGCAAGAGTGTTATTGTCCCTTTAAACATGTTGGTAATATTTGATGAACTACAAAATAAACTATATATAATGAGTGCTGGGAACTTCCCAAATACACAACCATGAAACACGGTCCCATATTAATCTCAGAAGTGGTCTAATCTATTGTTTATTATATACTCTACAATTCGGTATGACATAATAAATATATTGTTTAAAGCCCTATAGTGTATTGACACTCAAATTGGCAATTGGTCAAAAAAACAAATCAGTAAAGATATACGCTATAGCCTATAGACAAAACAAATATTGCCGATAGATAAGCAAAGAAATGCAACTGAAACACGGTTCGTAATTTCTAGTTAAAAGCGCAATATTTGTAAGTCCTGCTAACCGCAACTATAGGCTACCGTATATTTTTACTGATTTTTTTTTTCTTTTTTTTGACGAATTGCCAAAGTCTACATTATCTATTTGAGTGTCAATAATTATAAATTATACACTATAGGGCTTTAAACAATATATTTATTATGTCATACCGTATTGTAGAGTATAAACAAAAGATTAGACCACTTCTAGTGTTTCATCTAAAACAATCAATCGGCATGGTTTTATTTGGGAAGTTACCAGCACTAATTATAGCCTACTTTGTAGTTCATCAAATATTACCTTGATACTCGCAATAATTGTAAGACCAGAAAAGTAAGATCCAAAACACGAAGAGCCCCCCCCCCCCCCCACACACACACACCCCCAACTACCCCATTTATTATCCCTGGTGTACCTAAGAATGTCTAAAAATATAATTTTTTTAAAAATTATGAGATCCGAATTAAAAATAAACCGAAATATCTCTTAATTTTCTTATTTGCTTGGACTTGCCCCTAAATTTGTATTTAATAAACTCATATATGTTTCAAACACCTATAATGTTTGCTACCCTATCGATTTCTTTGTACCTCTGTATGGATTGTTAAAATATTGAAATAATGTCTCAAAATTACAGTTTAAGTCGCAGAAATGTGATAAACAGTGGGGGTTGTTTTGTCTCACATTCTTTTGGGCATTTTCGATCGTGAATAACAAAATGAAGGTCGCCGACAAATAATAATCTTAAAGAGGACATGTCCTCGCGATATCCATTATAAAAACTATTTGAAAATAATTTCTGAAACAAGTATGGAACAGTATACAGTTATAATTAGTTATAAATGTACATAGCAATTTGAAAATGTAATTTAAGCCCTGATAAACGAGGAAATACTTCCGTTGTGCACATCGAACAATTTATATAGTAAATGTTGAAGCGGGTTGGTTTTAGAATCGATATGATTTGTCATATAAATATATATACAATTTTCCCTTTAAAAGTTTCAGACCTTTAAATGAAAATGACATCACGGTCACGAGACAATAATTATGTTGCCCATGGTAACATGTAAATAGTATTGGTACCCAACAGTGAATGAGTACTCTCCCGTGATATTTAATGGCCTCAGTATAATAGCAGTAAGATTAGATAGGATTCGAGGCTTACCTCGTATAATTCTAAACAATAGTATACAAAACGTATTTGCCCCTGATTAGGTTTGGCGTTTTTATTTTATCAGAGAAGATAATTCCTATTAATTTATGTGTGTATGTATTGGTTCATGTCTGGGCATCAGTTTGATTTTTTTGTAGTTGACTTTGGAATGGTGGTATCAATGAGAACCTATCATGCAGTTGTCACGGGGGTTAGGTTTCATTCCATAACACTGAATACCTTAGAGCATGGATAGCTTCGCACCTATATAGAATTGATTTGTTCATTGGCTTATGGGTGATACTTGTTATGTCCTTTTCAAACAAACGACTAGTTCCGCCCTTAGTTCGGAACACGCTGACGTATACGTATCTATGACAAAATACACTTGGTATTTCTATGAACCTTATAATACACAAGATCCATGGTATTTCACCCTTAGTTCGGAACACGCTGACGTATACGTATCTATAACAAAATACACTTGCTATTTCTATGAACCTTATAATACACAAGATCCATGGTATTTCACCCTTAGTTCGGAACACGCTGACGTATACGTATCTATAACAAAATACACTTGCTATTTCTATGAACCTTATAATACACAAGATCCATGGTATTTCACGGTAGTTTCAAGTACATGATAAGCAGAAAGTCGAAGTGTGTCCACATGCATGAACATGGGTTATAAGAACATTGGTATTCTCGTCTAAATCAGCTAAACAATTTCCAAGTACTAACAGAGCTTGTAAAGAATGTGTCGTAAACTTAAACATCTGTCAGTCCAAATAGCAATTTTCCAGAGAGCCTGCGATCATAGACGCCTGTAAAGTGGAAATATTTAAAAAATAACATCAAACTATGACTTAGTATATGTCTAAAATCTGTTCGTAAGGGAGATTTTCAAATAACTGGTCTGGTACCAATTTCTAAATCAGGGGCAAATAACTCGTCTGAAACCGGTTCTCTTTCAGTAGATGTAGTAATACCAATTGCTCTAACAACATCAATCACTTTTATCTATAGTGATGAAATATCTCAGCACAGTATCCCTTTAAATGCCTGAAAGGTGTCTTTAACAATAGAAATAGTTTTGTACGACAGTGTTATCTGGGCGTGGTCCATATTCCTTTAAATAAGAAAGTTAAAGGAGTGGACGCCTTTCATCTTTTTATCAAAACATGATAATGCAACTGGGTCAAGTTAATACATCATCAATCCATCATATTGTAAAGCAAATAAAAGGGCGCTGGTTGAGCAGACACCAATATTGGGTCACCCAATTACAAAATAATTTGAAATGTTTCAGGTGTATAAATGTAGTATGTCACGATGTGGTTCAGGCTATCACCAGGTAGTGGTGGGTGTCGGGCACGAGGCACCTAATGCCACTCATTGGTTTCGGAACTTAATAAACTTATAAAATCATCCTCCAAATACAAGGGTCAATTGAGCCCATGGAACTGAACCAATGCATTCATGAATCAACGATCATGTCTGCTTTTTTTTTATGATTTTTCCCTCTTTGTTATTTGTGATATGTTGGTGTTGGTGTGGATGAGGTGTAAGTTCTTGTTATTGTTGTTTGTGTGAGTGTGGATGATATGTTTGTACGGATGTGGTGGGGTAAGTTGTTGTGATATGTTTGTATGAGTGAGGAGGGTGAGCTCTTCATTTTGTTATATGTGATATGTTTGTGTGAGAAGGGGTAAATGAGGATGGGTAAGTTGTTCCTGTTGTTATTTGTGATATATTTGTGTGGGTGATGAGGCATGAATCGTTTCTGTTGTTATTTGTGATAGGTTTGAGTGAGGAATGGTAAGTTGTTCCTGTTGTTATTTGTGATATGTTTGAGTGAGGAATGGTAAGTTGTTCCTGTTGTTATTTGTGATATGTTTGAGTGAGGAATGGTAAGTTGTTCCTGTTGTTATTTGTGATATGTTTGAGTGAGTGAGGAAGATAAGTTCCAGTATGAATTATTTATCGTGAAATAACACTATAAAATAGTAATAAAGGAAGTTTATTGTCATGGAATATGGATAACATGTTTCGCTTACTAGGGTATATCTTAATCGTTATTATAAAATAGTAATGAGATCAGTTCTCCTAAAATCGATATTTAATCTTTGTTATAGTTCAGTTGACTAGAAATAATGATTAGTTATATAAATTATTTAACGTCTCTGTATATCACGGTTCGTGGTGATATAAACAATAGGGTGATGTAATATATCTAGTATTATATGTTTATCACCGGTATCACGTTCGTTTAAATCATATTAAAAACAGGAGCAATATTAATAAGTATTATATCAGTTCAATGATTCGACAGCTTCGAGGCTTTATAATAATAATAATAATAATATCAGTATTTGTATAGCGCATAAAAGTTTTCAGTTTGTTCTTAAAAACAATTTTTTTACTGACTCTCCTTACATCGTTTATTGAATAAGAACTTGATTTCTTCTGTGTTTAGAGATCAATTGCTAGTGCTATTTCACGCAAAGATATCACTAGAATGGCATAAATAGATTATTGTTGTAATACGTTCTGGAAATGACATCATATTTTGCAGATCCATCGGAAATAGAATAAGAAGCCTATTTTAGGAACAATTCGTCATATTGGTTTTAAAAGTAAAATCGGGGACAAATTTTATACTCTTCAATATGAATACAGTAAGCCTGTTTGATTTGTGTATAAGGGTAAATGGTCGATTTCTAATATTTATTGGCTTATCTTTGATGTGTTTAATGGCCATCGAGCTCAGAAAAAGTGTTGTTTTATTAATAAAATGTTATTGTTGTCTTTCCCTTTCCCAAATATAACATGCTTCACATAGTGTTAATACATACAGTTATTTTGTTATTGCTCGGCGAAGTACCTTTGTAGTACATAAACATTGTGACAATAACTGTACCTTCTCTATCGGATTATCATAACAAGGTGTATGAAATCCTATACATGTATTTCATTACTTACGATATAAATACAATAAATATTAAGGGGAAGGAATATCGACATAAATAAAGATTAACATTATTGTCAGGTATATCACAATATATAGACTATTAGGACGATGTAGAAACTGTCTGTAGATGTCAAATCAATATATTAGGCAACATAAAGATAAGTTTCTATCAACTATTTACATAAGTGAGATAATATGAAATAAAGATCAACCATAAAAACATCACGTGTTCGTTAGCATTGATTTTATTTTCAAATACACCCCTACCCCCATCCCCACTTCACCCCGTCCCTCCCACTCCTTCATTTTACTGACAGGGAACAGTTTACAGGGTTTTTGATATCGTGGTACTAAGAAGGGCATGCTTGATTATTAATTTGTTCTAGTATTATTCTAGTATAATAATGGGTTTGTCAGAGCATTTCGGCGGTTTGTCCGTTGACCTTATATCTGTAGCTATAAAATGTATCTTCGTTTATTTTTTAAATGGCTAACAAGGAAGTAATATATAGATAAGAATTGTAAATCTGTTACTTGAACTAGTTTATAACATGGTGAATATTGTTTATATACACTTCAAATATACGACCAGAGATTATAACTACAGATTTATTATTACCTTTCAAGTAATAATATATTATCACATTCGCTTTAATAAGTTCAGTTTCTATATGACTATGATGTACAAACATTTACTAGACAAGTTCTAGAACATCTGATACCACTTATATTTGAGCAGTTAACAGATCTAACAAATTTGTGTATGTACAAATTACAATAAAATGAAATAGATGATGTTTAATGTCTACTCGGCAGTCCATATACTTGACTTTCAGACTAACGAGTTTAAAAATGAAATGAAATGGGGTTTAACGTCCTACTGTTCTGCTCCGACTGGGATAATGAAGACGGGCATACATCATACAGTGTACTATAAGTGAAATTTTGCCCGGACAGCAGCACTACAACCTACTCTTGTATCGACTTCCAACTGTCAAGGGATCTTTTACGTCTACGCCAATGTGTACACAGAACCTCAGTTTATTGTCCCATCCGAACGACTAGACAGCACCACTGACAAGGGGCTAACACGTTTAAAGATAGAGACTAAACAACACGACAGCATATCAAAGATCAAAACAGTCGAGGGTGGCAGTTAATGGTAGCGAACCAATGTGACGACAAACATGATTTGTTGACGTAATGTTTTTGTAATTTGTATTTACTTGCAATCTACATTCCCCGAACATTCCCACGTATAATCTATATACGAGTAGTTATTCTAATACTGCACACAATTGTTTACATATTGTTTTCTATGGTGTTATTCCCTTGCGTTTACTTATATACGATACACTATAACAAACTATACATGTACAGGAATTTATATATAGAATCTATATTCCTAAAATTCCCTATAGAATGTCAAGTTAAAATTCTCTCTTAATACAAATCTCAAGTATGAGAAGTTAGAAAATAATCCAAAAAAATAATCAAGTGTTGCGAATATTGTACAATATCATAATATATATCTTGAGCTATTAAATTCACAATCCAGTCCATATATTAAAGTACTTTTTATTCATATTGTCCAATTATTTATACAACATAAACAGTGAGATATGTCAGCAGGAAGTGTCAACTGATGTTCTAAAAATAATTAGTGTATTCCCTAATCGCCTCATATACGACACCTGTCAAAATTTATAGCTGAAACGAGTGATGTAAAATCTTCAAATAGTGAAGCTACTTCGTAGAACGATAACAAAGGACAGTTGAAGATTCGCGTTTCGGTTTTTTTTTCTCAATACGGTAATTATATTTCATATTTTTTTTTTCGCTTTGTTTAATAAGACGAATTATTGATTGTTCTTAGAACAGTAAATAAAATAGATTTCGATATCACTGAGAGTCATACAATCAAAACTGAAATATGTATAGGTCAAGGCTATTCCACAAAATGAATCTACATCTTCTATATTAATTTTCTGTTAGTAGAATACTACCCCCCAATATTGAATATATTAGTATTCCATGTTAAGGCACTTACCTCTTAAAATTTAATCTCAGCCAACTAAACGTTTCTAATCAAATAACTCTATTTATAATAAGGTGCTACCAATGGGTGAGTCAAATAATATAAAATTAGATTACTACTACCCCCTCTTTCTTAGATGTCACGATCGCTGTGGACCCTATATATATGTATACCTACATATAATATTCTTATCGTTCATATCACCATGGTACACACGTGATGACAATATGGCTTACTCAATTACCGTGTTTGTTTAAGCATGACCACTTGCTATGTTATCGAATAGTGGCTTCTAATTAGCGTTTGTCGAAACTGATCTATCAACTACTTGGGATTAAGCTTATCGCATTTATTTTTCACGCCAAAATTAGTATTAATTAGATAATCTCATCAGAGTAAACCGCGATGTTTATAACTCACTAATAACATTTTTTTTTTTTTGTTTCTTTTTGTAATAAAAAACCTATATTTATTGACATATCTAAGCTGTGACACACTGAGTAGTGGTTATGATACAACAATATGACTGCTTTCGAAAATCAAACTATTAAGAAAGATAAAGCTGTTGAAGAACTGTATCTTGCAAGACAGGGTCTTACAGAAGTTTGTATCTTGCAAGACAGGGTCTTACAGAAGTTTGTAGTCTAAGGATCCCTGCTTAGGCCGAGAAAGTTCATCCAGATTTTCCGGTGTGGTTCTCCCTTGTCATTGTTGCAGGACGGAGGGGGTGGCAAGGAAAGCTGTCTAGTCGTTCGGATGGGACGAAAAACCGAGGTCCCGTGTACACATTGGCGTGCACGTAAAAGATCCCTTGACAGTTGGAATTCGATAAAAGAGTAGGCCGTAGTGCCGCTGTTCGGGCAAAATTTCCCTCATAGCACACTTTATGGCATGCCCGTCTTCATTAGCCCAGTTCGGAGCAAAACAGTAGGACGTTAAACCCCATTTCATTTCATTTTTTTGTAGTCTAAGACAATTTATGTTTTTAAAACATTTGTGGCTTAATGGAAACAACCTAAGAAGAATAAATTGTTTAAATGGAAATTGTCGTCTAGTGGAATTGTACCTGCACAATAATCAAATTGTGGGGATAACTGGTGCCTTACATCATCTAACATGTCTAAAACTATTGTTCCTAAACAATAATCAACTTACAAGACTAGGTTCTGTCTTCACAGAACTGAAGAAAATGAACTGCTTGCAGACACTAAGTTTGTTCGACAACCCAATAGCGCAAGAACCCGACTACAGAATACATGTTATAAATGCACTGAAACCAGTTTTTTTTTGTTAGATCGTCAAGAAGTTATTAATTTGGAGAGAAATATGGCGCGCAAGGTTTACCAACAAGAACGTAATCATGTCAGTGAAAGCGTGGCTTTTGGAAGGAGATCACAGGGCTCAGCAGGTTTATATCATCGGTTTTAAAGTGTGAAGCAACTAAATTTGATAATCGAGACATTGGAAATATTTTTCTACGAGATCAGGTTCCTTATGAAACACATGAAGATGCCTGTAATGATAGAAGATCCAAGAATTCAATTATGCTTTATACTTGTTTGGATTGGTCGAAAATTCCGAGAATTGAAGAAAGAAGAACATCCGAGCACCCATTTGATTCACCTGAAATCGTTACTCATGTGTACAGATAGATCATGGATTTTTAAACAAAACCATTTATTTAAATATTTGGACGCAGCATTTTATCATAATAGATATCAATTCATTGTTTGTGTAATAAATTATAATAACCAGAATCTCTGTAAATGTTTGATGGAATAAATTGTATTTTTATAGAAAATTAAAAAAACAAACAAAAAAAAACTGGCTCACTAAACAGACGATTCTGGGTTCGATAATACCTGCATTATCCAGAACCTATGGCTAATATTAAATATAAAAAAAACTAACAACTCTCATCTTTCCATGTGCTAATATCGGGATACTGAGCACACACATTGTTGGAAAGAAAATGGGGTCATTTCTACACATTAACATATTTTACATTCTGTTACTATAGTAGAGACATTTGTTATTATAGTAGATACATTTTGTTGCTATAGTAGATACATCTGTTACTATAGTCGAGACATCTGTTACTATAGTAGAGATATGTGTTACTAAATTAGAAACATTTATTACTATAGTAGAGACGTGTTACTATGGTAGAGACTTCTGTTAGTAGAAATAACTAGTTAATACAGTATAGACATTTTGTTACTACAGTAGAGACATTTTGTTAGTATAGTAGAGTCATATGTTACTATAGCAGAGACATGTTTAACTATATAGTAGATAGATTGTAGAGACATTTATTACTATAGAGCCATTTGTTACTGGAGAAATTCTGCATACGTGAACAATTTATAGTTATCTGTAGCATATTTTGTCTGCAGCGTTCAAAGATTATGTTACGAGCTTTAACTGAAACCGTTGTTTTTTGTTATAGGCTATTTTCATTCATAGTTACATGTCAAATCGACAGTGTGTAAATCAACAACGATAATTAAAACCTTTCCATTGCCGAAGTTACGTCAATGCTTTCCATAAACCACGAAAATCTGCCAAATGAGATAAAAAAATAAAAAAATCATATCATTTGTCGTTAGGTTTCGAACATAAAATCTAAACATAAATTTTGACGTTTATATGACGTGCTTAATAACAATTTCTACATTTATGGCTTGTGAGATATATAATGTGAATGATTTGATTTATTATGCCTTTAAAACATTCACTAATTTTAATTATGATTTTCAATTAACCTAACTACGCAAACGAACACATGCAAAGATGGAGCAGAAATAAAGCTCGCGATGTAGCTTTTGTCTAAAAACTGGGTCAAGTGAACTGTGTGTGTGTGTATAGGGGGGGGGGGGGGTATAAATTAAGGGAAAGGTCAAAATTCCAAATTGTAAACCACATAAGTGGTTTAATATTCGAAAATAGATCAGCATATTTTTTATCAAATCAAGCATATTAATATATTTTTACCCGGACGTACAGGATAATATTGAATGTCATTACTGTTTATTACCGATTGACGTTTTAACTTGGATTATTTAGGATCAAGACGTCGCCCAGTAATAAACAGTAATTGTATTCCATAGAAATATAGATCGTGTATTTCCACACTCGCTCTCACATGTCATGGTTCGGTTCTTATTAATCTATATTTCCATCACATATTGAAATATGCGGGGGTGAATTTTACCAATTCATTACCAAATTCCCACAACCTGTTATATATATATAACGTCCATGATATATTTTAGTAAATATATTTAGTAACTCTCGTAGAATTATAAACAGTAATTTCTCTGGTTGTATCGGCCAGACATCCTCAAGGGGAAGAAAATAACTGCTCTATTTGCGGTATAGGTCAAAGATTGTATGTCAATGTAACTGAAATCTAAATTGACTTAAATATGTAATACTTAGCCGGAACTAAACAACATTTAGATCATTCACTGATTTAAAGTAGCTAAGTTTCTAACTTAAAGGGACAATAACACTCTTGTTGGCTTGACAGCTCCAGAAAATAAAAAAATAGCCTTATTCTAAGTACTAGATGTGTTAGTGTCTTACCTGTTGTGTAAATTATCCATTAAATCCTATTTTAATTGTCCAGAGGGTTCAAAAATATTTTTAAATCCAAGTCACATTTGAAAAGCTTTACGTCAGGCTTTTCAAATCATTTAGTTGAATTTTTCCAATTTTTTTTTTAATTAGGTATGTTAAGATGAAATTTGTATTATCAATTAATTGGAATATTGTAAAATAGTACAATTTGTTGACCAGAATAAAGATTGGGACATATTATTCAGTTACGACAAGAGTGGCATTGAGCCTTTAATATCATCCAAAATCTTCGACATCGAAAACACAAATTATTTGTCAGTTTAAATCAACATTGATGTTGTGATCTTGCCGGGAAAAGGTGGGCTTCTTATATCCAATATTTAAGACAAAATAAACATTTTATCATTGTACACGAATCGTGTACCATAATACGTTTCAGTGCCATTTGTAACAAGGGCTAGACATATTCCACAAATCATACCAAACGGTGACGTCATATTCTTATCTGGAGAACATGCGCAATAAATACTATCGGTGTAGACTGGAATAACCAGACGCTAGAGATTGCCATTCATATACACCGTACCCAATTCTCCCAATTCGAAACAAAATATTTAACTTTTTTCAGAAGCAATATCAAAGCTAGCTAAAACTCCGTGATGTAGGTAAAATTAAAGTACTGAATTTAGTCGAATTGTTGTTTCACTTAGTGATTAGACAAGTTCTAAACCATTATATTACATTATTGATTCCAAAGATTAAGCCGAAGTCCAATCTGATTAAAACACAGATCCCATTTCGTTTTGTTTTTATAGTTCAAAAGTTCGTTTTACTTGTCTTCACAACACTAGGATCTGGAAGAGTTGTTACATAACGCGCGTTCTAGTTGAAGTGAGGAATTAGCCAATGAAACGATCGATCTGTTACGGCGAGTTCTTGGCGTGCAGGCGTGAGATGCACGGAACTGTGGGTAACCCACTAGAAACGTCAACACTGATTGGTTAATCAATGTCTGCCGTCATAGGATCAAAAGCCGCTCGTACTACCACTGACGCAACCTTCCACAACAACCAGTCAGAGCTTCAGGTAGTGTAGGCCATCGAAAGTATAAAAAAAACGAAACGAAATATAGATGACCGAAGTAGGTTCATTTACTAAAATTTAGTAAAATTTTCAAAGTAGACAGAATTGGCACCCCAATATAAAATTCATGTTATAAAATCCAATGAAATCGATAATTATTTTTTTGACTTTAGTGAAAGAGTCTAGATAGAACACGAACTAATCAAATGTCAAAACCCTTGAGGTATAATTAATTATTTATCTTAAACATGGAAACAATAAATAAAATCGATTTAAAACCAAATGAAATAATATAAGGGAGTGCGGCTTAACTTTTCCCTATGTGCACTAAAACGACGGTGGCCAATGTCCGGCGGTGCTCATCCCAAAATTGCTTATCCCCAATTTTTTTGTAAATCATGAATTATATCTTTACCTGTGAGATGGGGTTTTGCTTGATCATTATCGATTTTATTTTTTATTTATTTTTTTTTTTTTTTAGGAACATAGAAATTTACAATGGGTGTGTTAAATGAATTTATTATAGCAAGTGT